GTTGTTTCTTCTTCAAGCTCCAGCGCCATGGGTTCTGAGCGCAAAGAAGTTTACAACTTTGGTTTTGACCGGGTTCGTTCTCTTCTAACAATTCTTGCACAATTTTGAGGTTGCTCTTCCTCAGGTATTCGAACCTGAATCAACCCAGACCGAAGTATTTGAGGAGATTTCGTTTCTCGCTCAGAGCTGTGTGGACGGCTATAATGTCTGCATATTTGCTTATGGCCAAACAGGTTCTGGCAAGTCTTTCACTATGGAAGGCGGATTGGTATACATCTTGTTTCGTGTAGGCTTCATATATCTCACCCACTGATTTTCCAGACCGAGGCCACGACAGGTATGATACCTCGCGCAGTGAATCAGGTGTTCAAAGCTGCCGATGACCTGAAGTCCAAAGGATGGGAGTACAAGATGGACGGCCAGTTCCTGGAGATTGTACGTGTCTCGTCGTTGTACTGCAGGGACCCCGTTGAGAAAAAATGTGCAGTATAACGAAACAATCAACGACCTCCTTGGCAAGGGTGAGTTCGACAAGAAGAAGCATGAGATCAAGCACGACAAGTCCGGCACTCGTGTCACTGATGTGAACGTTATGCCTCTGCCGTCTCCAGCGTCTGTTACCTCCCTCCTCCGTGTCGCTAACTCCCGGCGCACCGTTGCAGCTACCCTCATGAACGAACGTTCATCGCGTTCGCACTCTGTCTTTACACTCCGAATCTCTGGCACAAACACCCACACCGGTGAAAGCTGTGAAGGCAGCCTCAATCTCGTAGACCTGGCTGGTAGCGAGCGCCTTAACTCAAGTGGGGCTGCGGGGGACAAAGACCGACTGAAAGAGACGCAAAACATCAACAAGAGCTTGAGTGCGCTTGGGGACGTCATCGCTGCACTAGGCGAGAAAGGTGAAAAAGGAGAGAAGCACATTCCGTATAGGAATTCAAAGGTGATTTGTGGGCTTCTTGGCCCATTGCCTTCTGATCGACGCTGATTGGGTTTTCAGCTGACATATTTGTTGCAAAACTCACTGAGCGGAAATTCCAAGACTCTGGTGGGTGCGAGATCTAATTATGGAGATGTTTGTACGACGTGATTCTGTGGCAGATGATCTTGAACCTCTCGCCGCTGGCGGCACATCTGAACGAGTCTCTCTGCTCCTTGCGATTCGCGACGAAGGTGAGCCCCATCGTTGTGCCATGCAATGACTTCTAAGCATTTTGCAGGTAAACAATACCATGATTGGAACTGCCAAGAAACAGATCCGAGGGTCAAGTTAGCCGTCGGTCGAATGTCTGCCGCCCCACGTCATCGTCGCTGCTTTCGTACAGGCGGGATCATTGCGCTTCGTATTTTGTTATTCTATAATATAGCCGCCGTGTCGTATGCAAAAATTTTATGCATCTCGCTTGACGTCAAAAAAGTGATAGTTGCCGTGAAGTGCATTTACCGTCCGCTAAAAGGAAAATGGTCTCAGAGCAACAGCACGCATGATGAATGAATTAGTATTTATTGTAGTCTATGGACATTTATCATCCGCGCGGATCAGTGCTCAGGGGTACAAAATGTATAATTATTTTCGTGGGTGGATGTCTTCATCGTGGTTATATCGTGTAAAGCACGCACCAAACACGTGTCTAATGCTCACGCAGTGACAACCCAAAAATAAATGCCTAATGAAGGACAAGAGCTACCGCGGCCCGAGGTGTGTATGTATATGCAACTATTCGAGGCTGATTTTGATTTCATGACGTGGAAAATGTGTCCTTGGCTTCCCGTCTGACGTCGCTGCTCCATTTGAAAAATTTACACCGATATCGGTGATCCACCTCTTCGCGGAGGCGTTCACTTTTACCTTTATCGTACCCCGGGCCGACTGGTCTAAATGAAAGGAATTAGATAGAGGCGAGATGAAGAGTACTAATAGGACAGACCGCGAACAGAGGAAAAAAGTTTTCCCCTTGTTTGAACCTGGCTTGTTAACGGTGTGCTCTTTCGCAGGTTCACCGTGTACGTGGCAATTTGGTGGTTGAATGGGAGCCATCAACTGTGACCACGCTGCTTTACTTTGCGAAGCCGAAGGCGTCGCCGAGGCAAGCAAACCCTGCGATAGCGGATTTTCAAACACAGCGGAAAGCTCAAGTGCGAGCTGATGGTCGGAATCTATGTAGTCTCGGTGATCGGCAATGTCGCCTGAGGAAATTTCCTGACTGCAAGGCTGCGAGACGGATGGCTGCGCAAAGAACGAGGAGAGTTTGCTTTGACCACCTTTTAATTTCTTTGGCACTTTCTTGGCTGCATTGTCCGATAATTTGCGTTTGGCAGAATTAGCTGGGGGAGCAGTTCGGTGTGACGAAACGGGATTGGACTGTGGCGATGGTGCAAGGAGCTGAGTCGTGGATGTGCACGCCGAGTCACGAGAACTTAGCGAGAGATTTGTAGGAGGAATAACAACGGCAGGCTGCGTGTGATCGGGCTGTACAGCATTAGAATAACCTCCGGACGGCTGTGTGTCTGGAGTGGGCGAAAGCGATGAAATTGGAGAATTGTTGGGTGAAGGCAGCTTGTTCCCTTTCCCAAAAAACATGGACAGTAGCATCTGCTTCCCGGAATACTCTTCCCATCGTCGTGCTGCGAGCCGAGGCAGGTCTTCCCGAGTTCCGTTGATTGGCAAGACGTCACGGAGGAATAATCGTTCACCAGCATCGGTTGTTATTTCGTCATGAAGATCAATATATATTGGACAGTGATCAGAACCTTTGAGCGACGGCTGAATGTCTCCGTGCTTGATCCAGGGAAGCATGCCAGGTGTAACAAGAATGTAGTCAACCCGGGTACCATAGTTGGTCTCCCGAGCTGAAATTTTCATGTTCCAACCTAACATAGGGCATATAAACGATGGGAAGAGATTGACAAGACTTGCGTCTTACATGTGTACATTCCCTTTCTGTCAGGCCAGAATGTCCGCACGGTATCCGTCATGCAGCCAATAGGACTCGACCACCTATGAAACCACGCACGAGCAGGATGGTCATAGAAACTTGCAGTGTTACTAGCAAGATGTCCGTCGCAATGGTCCAATGGTGATGCGCAGATATTGATGTCACCGACGACTACAACTTCACGGCCTTCATTCATGAGCTTTTGGACTCGATCTTGCAACATGACATGGAAATTTATTTTGAAAGGAAGTCGAGCATCAGAAGTTTCGTTTGGACAATAGACGTTAATCAATACGAATAGGCCAAAGTCTACGATCAGGGCACGGCCTTCAGCATCTAAGGCAGCGAGATCACTTGGGGTTGATCCATGCTCGTCCGGCATTAGTTCGATTTCATGTGCGCAGGGATATGAACGAGATATCCGTTCATCCGACGTCAGAGGTGGCTTAGGTTGCAAAATGCCGGAGAGACCCTCCTCTGCCCGGAGTGGAGTGACAGTGCGGGAGTTGGCGTAAACCGCGACACCACTATACCCTCCTTTATTCTGTGGAAAAGAGAAGAAAGCTTCAAAATCGTCTGGTAAAGCAACACAGCGTAACAGGCTGGAACGCGAGGTTTTCATTTCTTGGATAGATTAGGTTTGGGCATCTGACAGGGAAAAGTGATATGAATGAACGACCGCACCTTGAAAGCAGATTATATCTGCCTTGAGATGCTCCAGAATTCCTTGAAATGAAGTGAAGGTATTCCATCTATTCTTTTTAGGCCCTTGGTAACCAGGTGGAAATCATGGATAACTGACGGGTGATATTGAGGAAGAGTCCTGACACCATTCTGTCGGGTAAAGCGGAATGTCAGAGTAGATTCTTTCGTGAAAGGATACAACTCTTTTCTTACAATGTTCCATGAAAGGATCCGCATAGTTCATGAGTACGTTAAGGTCCTCTACTACGGATGAGTTTGACTGGATCTAATACTCGTTGAGTGGGGAGTGAGGCCGCGGAAAGAGTAACAGGCTGGTCAACGTCACATGCTTTGTCACATGTCACCCAATGAAGTCCATATGGTACGACGATGTACGCGGTGCAGTGCGATGCAGCAGGCTCCTGCCATGCATTTCGTCGAAGATGATACCGGCAGTTGCCCCATGGCAGAAATCTTTGAATAATCTCTTACTTCTCGACTGAGAAATCAGTCAAAATAGTTCAGGCAAGTCTTTCACCAGATGTGGACCAAGTCACGGAGCCCTTTTGATACCTCACTCCATAGCAGCCTGAGAAGTCTGATCATAACATCATTTTACGGAGTTCTCCGTGCAGGAGATGGAGCCGTACTTGAAGCTACGATAAGGACCTGAAAGTGTGTTTCTGACTGACCATTGACCATTGCATGTCTAACAGCCATATCACGATTCCAGCAGGCTACCTCTTCAGTTCACCTCGAATGTGTTAATCCATTTAACCAAAGTTTCACCTCCGCGGCCACAAGCTTTCCCTAGTCATCCATCTATGGTCATCCTTTGATAATTCACTTACTTGCAAACACGTTGCTTCCGCACGTCTGATCCATCGTACCGATCATACCGTTTTACGTCTACAAGTTGGGCTCGAAACCCGTTTATATTGTCTCGCTAATTTTTTGGCCCATTATTCTGTCCCGTGCTTATGTATTTTGAGAATGATTCACCGTAGATTCACTTATTATCTTCCTATCAGCTTTGACGGCACTCTGCTATCGATCAACGCAGCTCCACGTTAGGGTCACCGCTGCTTCGCATTCGTCCTCGAGGCCATCACGCTCCGAATCGCTGAGTGCAGTGAGTCTAGCGATAACATGCCGTCATCTCAATAATTCCTCACTGAGATATCCAGCGTATGAATTTCGCAATTTGCCTCCAAATCACGACTTCTACATGCGGTGCTCGCCTAGGCCGTTCTGCCGTCTGAAGCGTATTTCAGAGCCTTACTTTAGTGCCCCATTTCAACATCAAAACTAGGATCCGATCCTTGCACCTATAATACCCAGGGACGATCGCTGCAGCAAACACAGTAGTGTTTTCTCTCTATGTTTCGCGGTACGTCCTCCAGTAGAGCAATTTTGATCATTCTCACTTATGTTCAAGGCACTGGAGCAGCACATGCTTCTCGCTCTTTCCATGACACGACCTCAAGTCCCTACGCTCGAAGCGAAGTGTTTACGGACCCCAGACGAAAACAGACCATCATTAGTCTTTTGGATGTCCTGGGCGAGCTTAGCAATGAGGCATCTTCAGACAACGGTTAGTCGTTCCCCACTAACCATCATACACTACTAATTATATATTTTAGATGCCAACCTTCCCTCTAATTTCGAAGATGACCGAGACGTCCGTGAGTGGTCGTCAAGCGCATTACTCAATCGTGGTCTTAGTTATTTTTCAGCTACTGTGGATGAAAAACTGCAAGTCGCAGGATCGGAATTGTTTAATAAATTTGAGAAGCAAGACTCACATTGTTGTTTCGTCTCCTTGCACTGACTACTCTGTACAGGCGAATGGATAATCTTGACAAAGAGGTGTGAACAGGTGCAACTCTCATGTTCTAACGCTCATCTCCCGTGTAGCTCCGCAACTTCGCTAATGCTGCCCGCCAACTCGGCAGTTCTGTTGGAATATTATCCTCGGCTTTTAGACTACGGGAACGCCTCACAAAATTATTGTTTCTGTTTCGCGAGAACGCAGCTACGCTGTTCCCTCGGAAAATTTCGCGTCAACCCCGGGAAACATTAGTTAACCCTAACTTGATGGACCGACGACGTACATGGAGAGGTCAACAACCCCCGCTCAGGCCCATTCACGATGACGGTCTTGATCCCGAAGGTTTCCCTGGTCAATTCGCTAGTTTCGCAGAAGATGTCGTAACGTTCCTGAACTGCCTGAACGAGTTTCCGGAGTTTACAGACGAGGCGGTCAATACGTCAATGCGTGCTTTTGAAGTTGATCTGAAGGTGAACTCTATGGCTGGCTACGTTGCTTGCCGTTAACGGTATTTTTTTAGTATTGGGCTTCGTGTCTTCAGGAGTACAAAGGTTGTGTGTCTACATGGGCTCGCATTGGGCATTCTTCTCAACTACTTTCAGGTCAATTTAGGTATCCAGCAGTGCAGCGCTATATCCATGATTTGACGTCGGAAATTGGGGAGCACATTGACAACATCACGGTCAATCTATCGATGTTTATTGAAATCGGTATACATCCAATCTACCCTTAGCACTTTCAAACTCACGTTCTCTTCCAGGCGTACCAACGATTAGGTTCGCTCAGCAACACGCAGCAGCAAACCTGCTAAACTTGTCGACAGTCGCGACGTTCTTCTCAGCTGTGACAGCAACGACCTTACAATTCTCATACCAGTTGACAGATGGAGTGCTAGAAAAGTCTGTCAATGCGTTTTGGTTCTCCTCGTTGGTTTTCAGTATAGCAGCCGCAGTGAACAGTCTCCTTGGTCTCACCTGGAAGCAAGCTATGTAGTAAGTCTATCATCATCCTGCCTGTTCCCGTGTCTAATGCTGGTCATTCAGTCGCTCTCCGGGACATAGGGTACCTTGGTGGGTCTTGATATGGATTAAGCGATCGCCTTTAGTCTTTCTCGTCATGTCTGTGGCATGCTTTTCCGCGGGCTTGATGCTTTTCACATACGCTACGGATCAGGTATGGGGTCTTATTCTACTCATGGACGCATGTCTAAGACGTCATATTTTGATCAGGGATTTGTCACATCCACGATCACCACTGTTTTTACAGTAAGTCTATTGATAATTCTGTGCTCCTGAATTGCGTCCTTACTCAAGTTCCCAGGCTGTCACTTCCTTCGGCCTGGCTGCCGTCTCCGCTTGGTTCGCCTCCGAACGGTGGATATTCGTTCAGCACCGCGGTCATGTGTGGCTGGAGGATGTAATAAATGAAACAACCCACCGCATGCTCCTCCTTTCTGCTGTTGTGGAATTGCGGAAGATCATCCACTACTGCAATCAACGCATCTTGGCGATACGTGGCCTGATAAGGCGAGTGTCTTTCAAGAAGGTAACCGACGCGATTACCCGGTTCAGACATAAGCACCATACTCTTCCCACCACACAGGAAGGCCCGCAGATGCTTGAACTTCCTCACCACCACGAGCCAGCTGTATCCGTGTGCTCGGAATACACCGAGCGTCCCAATTCTTTGGATGTTCCTGCGAGTGAGGAGAGCGAGGCTTCCCGTCGATCCATTGCCCGTCAGCGCTTCAAAGGAGCTGTTCGTTCGGTCATCATGATGCAGCAAGCCCAATCGGGGCAAGTCCCGTTGTATCTACGACCCTTCATGCCGCCACGGACGCCTTCTTTTGACCGAGTTTCCTCTGCGGGAATGTCTCCCACCCGATTCTCGTCCTTCGGGTTGAATACAATTCGAGGACAGAGAGTTTCCACATTGATCCCAAAACTGAAAACCCTGGAACCCGTACAGGACCTCTCGATACATACTGCCCTTGTTCGGCATCTACAGTTCTCCCCAAACGGAAAATATCTCGCTACGTCAAGGTGTGTCATAATTTATTTGTAGCTTCTCAGGCTGATATGTTGTGTCAAGTTGGGATCGGTCTTCTATCATTTTTCGTGTCGGAGTAAGCATACGAGGTGTCACGCTTTTACAAACATTGTTTACATTAACCTTGCCCAGGAATCGTTTTCAACTCAGGCTGTTCTGGTACACGTGCGAGGCTTTATCGGCCAAGTCGCATGGTATGTAACGCAGTGTTTCACCATTTTTAAATGTTAAAGTGTGATTGGGACAGGTCTGCGACTGGTACCATTCTCTTGACGAGATTAACTCGCGGAATTAAGGTCTGGACGGAGGACGGACTCTGTAAGAGGACAATCGACCGACCGCACTCTGTATCATCTATTGCATGGCTGCCTAACAGCGAGAGTAAGTAGTTTTATCGTCCTGTCTGATTGAACGTTGCTGATGCTTTACAACAGCGCAATTCTTCTCCGTCGAAGGTAGCGATGTTTTCAAACTGGTTAGTGCAACTGTCATCACTCGTGTACGCACTAATAAATCGTGAATTCTTTCTTCAGGACACTCAAGGAAGGGTGATTAAATCGCTCTGTGTCAGCAAAATCCCCACTGAGTATATTTTTAAGGTTCTTGATTCGTATCACTTTGGTCGCATTCAGTTGCACAATATAGCTGTGACTCCGGATGGTCAGCGGTTACTAGGTGTAGGTCCACTTCTTGCAGCACCTAATGGGTTGCATCCAAGCCGCACCACTAGGGTTGAAAAACGCATAATAGGTGAGCGTTGTGCATGTCCATAGGCCATCCGGTTGACTTCATATACCGCAGTTTTCAATATGGAGACTAAGGCGTTCGAAAGGTGAGTTAGCTTCATCTTTTCGAACATTTTTTACTGATGGAGTTCAAAAGCCAGACACCCGTCGTGAACGATGTGCGTGACATTACAATATCTAAAAGAGGTGGAAACGTGCTGGTTTCCTTTGAGCGCAAGGTACTGAAAGCCGTAATGTCTTTACATCCTCTGATCACTCAATCATATTTGCAGACGCCTCCGCAGTTGTGGAAGATGGAACTAGTACGGGATGCTAGAGGTCGCGAACACAACCCATATGCACAAGTCGCTAGGCTACTTCTCCGTCATACGTATCTGCCCAAAGCTCAGGTGGATATGGCGGGGTCTAGCTACTTTGGTGGCAAGGAGGACCAGCTAGTGTTATGCGCAGGGAAAGGTACGTTTCCCCTAACCTGCTGGCTTCATCTAAAAAACTATGCTTATGAATACTCGGACACAGCGGGCGATATCCATATTTGGGATCGCGACAGTGCAGCTTTGCTCCACTACATTAGACCTCAAACATTTGGCGGGGATCTGACATGTGTTGCGTGGAATCACTCCACCGACGAACCCTTTATGTTTGCTACGGGGAGCCACGACGGTACGGTACGGATATGGACTACGCCAGCGGGAGACCGTTGTTCCGATGACGCATCCTATCTCGAGCGGCGCACTGATGCTGGTGTGACAACTTCTGATCAGTATGGGTCTTCGCCCATCCTGAGCCCGCCGCCTGCGCCTGGATCCAGCCGTCGAGAAAGAGCGCCGACCATACGGACTACATTCTCGATAGGGCCTGGTTAGAACATTGTTAAGATTTAGTATGGGCGTTATGCAATAGATGTGTGTGGGTCTGCATGTTTGCGTGTTCACCCAGGTTTTATATATAGTCTCTGTTAGTATCTTATTTAGGACGGCATGGTTTTAATACAACACCGACGTAATCACGCAACTATTCTTCCTTGTCGGACCCTCTTGACGATACTAACTACAAAATACAAGGCAAGTATTGTTTGATTGTACAACATGAAACAGGGTTCTGACTAGTCACTTAATTCTCACTGAATGGCATATATCTACATCCTAATCTGTCACTCAAGAAACTACAAGTGACTAATTCGTGCGGTGTCTACTACTCTCCCTCTCTCTGCGCGTCACGGTATGGCAACTCCGACTCCGACCCCAACCTCAACCTCTTGCCCAACTACTTCGCCCCCTGGACGCACGTTTTCGAACCAGCATACCCTGTCGGAGCTCCCAGTTCCATCTCTCGATGACACTTGCAAACGCTACTTGACTGCTCTTCAAGGTCTCCAGGATGACAAGGAAGTGCTGCCACTCAACATGATGTTCGAATTTTCTTAGATAGAGAAGGTCCTGCTCTACAGAGGAGATTGAATGAGTGGGCTCAAGAGAAAGCAAGATGAGGTGAGTTTCGTGCATTGCTAATCAAATTGTTTCTTCACTATGGCTTCCGGATCTTACCTCCCACCCGGGGCCCTTTCGTTGTTCGCAGCTATATCGAGGACTTCTGGTGAGCTTCTCTTATTTTACCTCGAGGTACTTATTCTAATCATGGGTTTCTCATTCTTGTGGGTAGGTATGAAGGCTACTGCTCGCACAGCGATCCTGTAGTACTTGCTCTCAACCCTTTTTTGTCCTCGAGTACGTTTATATGATTTTCATTTGACTTCAAAACCTTTAACTCACTACCAGTAGTAATGATCCTAGCCCGGATCGAGGATCTCAGCTACCCCACGCTATGGCTCTATACGCCCTATTGTATATGGTCATTTCCTTCGTACCACTTCTTCCCTCCTGGGTCAGTCTGTTCCATCGAGACTAAATGTATGTTCGTTTCATTGTCTCGCTACCATAACTAGATACTAACATACACTGTATTAGTGTTTAAGTACTTAATATTAAACCATTCCATTGACATCAACTCGGAGGTGCTTACATTTTTGATACGATGGAAAAGTCACACGTGTGCTATGCCTTTTTCTCTTCCGTTATGGCCATCATTCAAAGACTTCCGTACTGTGCTCTGATACTCTGGTTTAAACTTGCATTTGGCGAGCCCGATCCTTTGTGGATGGTCAAATCATCCTTTCTTGACTCAAAGCCGGACACTCAGGAGCTCTCAATCATTCATATCGACACGTTCGTTCGCGCAGCTCACTTGCGGTCCATCTTTGGCGGGGGATTTGTCCAAGAGAAAACAAAGTACGGTCTATGAATATATATATACTATATATATATACTGCAGGTTTCACGTTAATAAATTCGCAGATCATCATACTTTCGAAATAGCATCTTGAGTGCAAGCTTGGTCGCTTCAAGTTAACGGCTGCCCGGATTCTATGACTTTACCTTTCCTTCCGGCCATGTGAAGCGACTGCAACGCTGCCATGCACAACTATCGCAAACACTGTTTGTGATCGTTGAGCGCTGTCACTGACTCCATCTACGCCTATGAACAGTGCAGTATCTTTCACTCACCCCCGCACCGCGCCGCAACCTGAACGCCGTACAATTGGCTCTTAATATACATGCAAATCGTTGCAGATTTGTCACTTATGGGAGCTCAAGCGCTCACAAGTCGACAAGACGACATGACCTTAAGGATTTTACAGGCAAAACATCAATCTATCATTAGGCATAATACCTGGTTATTCTAACAGTGTTCCTTCTGAAGCGGAAGTCACGACAGAAGGGAATAATCACTATTCTAAAATCTTTCGTGATCAATCAACAGCAGAGTTCGAAGCAAAGCACCCCGAATGGACTTTTCAAATCATCCAGCGAGACCTGTTGCCACACATTGGCTAACACGAATCATACAACTCCCTAATGGCTCCCCAGAGCATTGACAACAGTTATGTGCATCAATATTATTACCCCGTAAGATGGCGTCTCATTAATGATAAAATAGTAACATTTTGTGTTGTTTTCTGCCTGCCGCTTCTGTCTGCTCGTTCAAAATTCCTCTGGCGTTCAGGCAGTTGCAAACCACTAGTAACCACTCAAAAATGTGATGAGTTTGATCACGGGATAAACAATCATCCATAGCCAGCTGCCGGACAGCTCAATCATGAACATGTTCTACGTGGGCTGAATTTCTGAAGAACGGGTGGGAATGTCCGTACTACAACTCAATGCAGCCTGTCTGGAGACCACAGGATCCACTGAGTCCTACCATAGAGATCCTAGCCGTCCATGCCATATCCGTCCCGTTCATCACAACAATGCACAAGGCACTACCCAGAGCACTAGAATTTGAAATAGTATGAAACCTCTGGCGAGGCGCCCTACGTTCGTATCAAGATCCGAGCCAGCCCACCTTGATTGGGGAGATGATTATGTCTCGACCTCGCAACGGTGTTCTGTGTCCTATCTTCCTCAAATGCCCCATTGGAAATTTGCAGCAAAATGATGTTTTAATTTCGGCGAACAGCGTTGGATGACATTGTCAGCACTGCAATTCTCCGTAGAATACGGGACGTTGTACTTCGGTGACCACCTATATGAACGTGATCGGGTTAGTCTAGCTGCGAGATCAATCTGATGGAATCGAGTGCACGAATCAGGCACTAATCAGTGTCAAACTTCACGAAGTATCATTGAGCACTGCCCTTGTATAAATGCAAAGCAGGTTGTGCTCAGCAGCTCACCGCTATCCAAATCACGAGAGCTGAGTAGCACTCTGATGAATGCTGCTCTAAATAAACTCCCCACATTGCCAATATTCTTGGGATCGCTTCCCCAAATATTTATTCATGGCCTTATTTCAGAGTCCGTTGAAACGGTGAATTAAGGACTTTATTGGACTTGACGGCGTTCCTCGATACTCCGTTCTTTAAGTGCAGCCGTTTCTCCGTGCGCGTTTTCTGCCATCAACACCCTCTAACACCGTGTAGGTTTAATAAAACCCGGAGGTGATGGATTTGCTAGACAACAGTCGCTTAGGCGTTCTTCCGGACCCCCTCAACCCCGCTGCAGCCACAGGGCACTGTCTCTCATTATTGAGAGACAAATAGACCACCTGGGTCAATTATATTTACTCGACTCAGATGTGGGGATGTCCTTCATTAACGGATACCATTCTTGAACCCCGGAGGCCATCTTGAATCAAGTACAATTAAATTCCCATTGCGACATGACAATACATACTGGAATACGCCAACGTCGATTGGGACATACATGTCAAATTAAGTGTTTGCGAGCTTTCTCAAACGGAGTGCACCAAGCTGGTGTCTTGCGCCTGCAGCAGCGACTGGCCCTTCTTTGAACTGATCGGCAATATTAGTGACGTGGTCTATCGCAAAGTCTTCAAGCAGCTCGCCTCAGCCTGATTCGCCTATGGTGCCTGCCGGGTGTCGGAAATTGGCGTTTCTGCGAGTGCGGTGTTTGTCTCCTGGGGCCAGGCATTTTATGCCAACAGATGACTCATTGTGCTGCGATCGTGACTTTGCATTCCCTCTGACTGGATGGGCGAACCGCACGAGTATACACTGCCACTGCACAAATCCTAGACACCAGCTCCAGTTCCTGTAAAGAATGAGCGATGTTTTGTGATCATAATCACTGCAGAGGCCGAACGCCAACAACGGTCGTCATTGCTCAGCATGTGAAGCTATCGGCTCAGTTGTATGTGCTCGGCGGATCTGCTAATACCGCTACTGGGCACGGATGACTTCCTGGCTGCAATGCAGACATCATCATCAGCTAGTTGTCATACATATACAGGTAATCTTCTTTTGGAAAACGGCGTTTGAACAACAAGCTGGATTGCCGTGAGGGAGTGGTAGAGGCTATCCGATCCTACAAATGAACCTACGGACATTTGCATGTTTGACAATGTTTCATGCTGTAGAAATGTAAAAGGGCTGGTTAGGAACAGTTTTCGACTTAAATTTCCAATCAGACGTGTCTTTGGATGCGTTTTATAGTGTGCATGCGGCTCATATGACATGTCATACGCAATATGAATACGTAAGATGCGAAGCAGGAAGGTGGTACAATCAGACTGTCGAGGGGTACAGCATCTACATTTGAGTCAATATATAAAAGTCGGAAAAGGAAGAAACGAAGAAACGCACAATGCGGACATTTTCACCGAATGCGCGTGGAGGAAGGTTAGATCTGAATTTTGATTTCACAACGCCGGAGTTGCCGTGTGGACGGGTGACACGACTGCGAGTACAAACATAGTTATCAGACCAACTATACTACTATTGCAATAACGGATGGACGTACCCCCAAATTACACGAACCTTCGAGCCCTGTATCTCCCTCTTAGCTTTGTAGACGTATGCTACACGCTGTACACACAACTGAGTCTATTTTTGAGTGTAGAAAAGGAGAATGAAAGCGTACCTTGCCGAGGTAAAACTGGGCATCCTCCTTCGTTGTGACACCCTCGATCTGGATTAGGGAGGTGTTGGGGCGAGTGTTGCGCTTAGCACGCTTGTGGCCGAGGACGCGTCCCTTGGAGTAGAGTCTGTGTATCAAGAGGAAGCATGAGTACAGTCTTGACCTTGTACCGAGAACCACTTCATCCATATCATATCTAAGCCATCCACCCTGTTCCAAGCCATCCACTGAGATCTTCACCACCAAAGTACGCAAATACGAGACAGCGAAGCAAGCGAAGTGGACACTGACCTTGTTGAGCCCATTTTACCGTCTAGAGATCTTCCGCCGTGTCGAGGTCGCTGAACTTGAGGATGAATGGAAGGCAGCGTGACAACGTCACAGTGTAGTAACACGTAACACGTGACCATGTCACTTTTCGCAGAGTATAAAGAGTCGTCAAATGTTTTGAGTTCGCTAGTCATCGTTGCAGACATCTAGTGCTGCACTTGACAATGTCTTCATCAGATGTTGTTGAGTAACGGAGCGATGGGACATAAAAGCTTTCGTTTTGTATAAGCAGCTGACTGTAGAACTTGTTCTACGATGGCGTTGCGGTTTATCACACAATGAAACTACATCCTTGACATGTGTCTTCGCTTCGCCGTTCATGTCTGAACTCAACAATAATAATAATAAGATGGCGACTTCTTATCCTCACGAGTGCTGGTTTCCTTGTGCGGCCTGGGCCCGGCCCTTAATCCTATTACTCAGGCTGACAGCAGTCAAGACTGATAACCCTAACACAACTTTCAAGTACCCTACATACTCTTCTTCCAAGGCTTCAGTGAGCTCAAAGTCAGTTTGATTGCCAAATGAATCGGGTTGGCCCTTCAGTTTGGCGGCGCTTTTCTTCTACATCTTCGTCTCCAACTTTCGTAGCCAAACCTGCACCTTCCAAAGCACGCCACCATGTCCAAATTCCGGATACTTCCTTTCCACTTGGCTACAGCCTTACTGGTGTACATTGCGGCGTGAAAAAGAATTCATCTGTACTTGATCTAACAGTTATACTTTCGACCTCTTCAAAACCTGCTTCTGCAGCAGCATGTTTCACTCGTAACGCATTCAAGGCTGCCCCGGTGCTCGTTAGCCAGGACGTGCTTGAGAAAAGTGCTGGTCGTGCCCGTGCCATCGTGACTAATAGTGGATGTGCCAACGCAGTAACTGGCAAGCAGGGCTTGGAGGATGCTTGGGCCATGGTCAAGGCTACCGATGCTCTTCTCCCCAAGTCAGAGACTAGCGAAGATATCCACGATACAGTCGTAATGTCGACAGGTGTGATCGGCCAAAATCTTCCCATTTCCAAGATTCTCTCCGGAATTTCGTCTCTTGTACCTTCGAGTCTTGGTTCAGATTTCGCAGCCTGGGAGCGTGCGGCGAAAGCCTTCATGACCACTGATACATTCCCTAAACTTCGTGCTCGGACTTTCAGCCTGGGCGGACAGACGTTCCGTATGGCTGGGATGGACAAGGGCGCTGGCATGATTCATCCTAACATGGGTCCCTCCACTGGCCCTGGCCAACTTCATGCTACGCTACTGGGTTGTATCTTGACGGATGCCGCAGTTTCTCCGCAAGCCCTACAATCTGCGCTCACGTATGCAGTCGATCGTTCCTTCAATTCTATCAGTGTGGATGGAGAGATGTCCACGAATGATACGATCATTGTCCTCGCAAACGGAGCTGCTACTGGAGAGACGAAGGAGATGGAGGAGGATGATCCTCTGTTCCCAGCCTTCCGTAACGAACTTACATCCTTCGCCGCTGAGCTGGCTCAGCTTGTGGTTCGTGATGGTGAAGGTGCAACTAAATTTGTCACGGTGTCCGTAGAGGTCTGTCGTCCTATCGTTGTCTATTTGTTCCATAAGCCTAATCCGTGCAGGGAGCACCGACATTTACTGATGCACATCGTGTCGCATCGAAGATAAGTACATCAGCACTGGTGAAGACCGCATTGTATGGCGAGGATGCCAAGTACGCCAGTTCACCCTTGATTGTGATTCGCCACTGATTTGGATAAAACCTACTTCAGTTGGGGCCGTATCCTTGCAGCAACTGGCTCTGTTCCTTTATCCACGCCTATCGACCCCTACCGTGTGAACGTCACCTTTGTTCCTGCAGATGGTAGTACTCCACTTCCAGTCTTGGTGCACGGCGAGCCAGAGCTAGTGGATGAGGTGCGCGCGAAGGAGATCTTAAGCCAAGAAGATTTCGAAATCAAGGTGGATCTCGGCCTGGGCAGTGAGAGCGCCCAATATTGGACGTGTGACTTCAGCTATGTAAGTTTTGTGCGTTTTCCCTCTAGACATGCGCTGATTTGTGATCGTAGGAGTATGTACGGATCAATGGAGACTATAGAAGTTGAAGGAGTCCGCTGTGTTTGTTCGATACGTTTGATATCAATGTTTTCTCGTGGCTACTGGGGTGTGGGATCTGCAGTTGTTGATTTGATTTCGGATATACTGTCGACACTAGTGTGGCCGTGCATTTGATTGTCGCCGCGCGATGAGAACAGGGATCTAACGAGAAAATTTCAGGCATGAAGATCACGCTGGTCCTGTCCTATTTGTTCTGGCGCATGCTATGTCGCGTCCGGTAGAACTTCGACACAGCGGGATGTCTCCATTTTCCCCGACTTACTCGGCGGAAGTTGATGGCCACCTTCGTGACGGCGTCCACAAGAACTCGAGGGAGCTTGTCTTCAAAAATCATGACACCCTTATGTTTGTGAATACTGCAAATGCGGAGTGGGCTAGACAGCCTATAGTGTTCAACGGATTGGTCAAGATGCTGATGGTTGATTCTGCAGTGCGTTTGGGATCTATAGGTTGAAACCAATGATATCAGAGATCATCATTCGGGTAAATTGTACTACAGAGTGTGCTACAGAGCACCTTGTAGCAAATTACGTTTTTCTCATGCCGGCATGATGATCGATGAAAATCGTGTATCGCGATGAGTCGAGTTGTATTGGGTGCAGCCCACAGGAAGTACATGAACAAGGTTTCCATGCGCACATGACACATGTTCCTCGCAAATGCTGTGAGTCCTGTATCTGAGCAGAAGAAACTAACCTGAACTAACAGTACTCGTATGACTCAGGAACCCCCTTGATTTTTTCCTCGATATCCTGTATATTAATATTTAACACCGTCCTGCATGGAGTGAAAAATGCATCGGTCAGATTCGACTGAGAGTTAGCCAAGTCCATGTGCATGAGATCTGGACTGCGTCGATTATCCGAGTCCGCGGTTGACTAGGACTCATCTCCCATAGGTTCATACATCGTATCGTCGATGCCGATTCGCATGCTCTTGTATTCCCCCCCAAGGACATACCAAACGGGCCGGATGATTTGCAAATTATATTATAGCGTTTCGACTACATGATTTTACGCTGCTTCAGCACTTTAGGAAAGTAATGGAGTGAAGCGCCCCAAGATCATTAATACTGTCCACAGCAGTCGCTCAGTTTGTACTTATCTTAATTAAGACACTGGATTACTTATACTATGACACAACTTCCTGTGCATGAACAATTAGAAAGAAAAAAACTAGTGATGCACACCCGTGGATCGGCCTTGATTACACCTAATAGAAAACTTGTACAGCACCGCGTGTGTCCGAATTCCATAATGTTGAAAGACCAATCAGCCTCGACTCAGTGTACAGGGCCGGGACTGCTAGTTTTGCCGTATTCAGATTGCGAGGCATGACATGTTACACCCCGCACAGCGATCGCATCGACCTCTGATTTATCTCATCGATACGATGCATCCGAACAAACCCCGCCCAGAAATATCCGACGGCGACAATTCTGAAACGGAATTGCAAACAATGACATTGCTGTATGCATTGTACTTCTATGCGATGCGGCAGATTCGATATAGCACGAGGTGCGATTGATTCTGAATGATTTGGGAATAACGATATGATGTTTCCATTCGGTCCGATATTCCAATCCAACTCATCCCCCGCATTGCAGCTGTAGGCGTATCATGATCATATAAAAATCAATGTGATATATTCGGGAGGTTTATTCTTCCATTACGTCAATAATTTCACAGCAGTATCTTCGCGGGACGGTAGAAACCATCTCTATCGCCTGAGAATATCAGACGTGGACGTTTACATTACGTCGACGAGCTGAATGTTGGGGATGATGTAGGGGTTCTGCAATTGGCGGTACTAACAAGAGACTATTGATCAGTTTCAAGTGCAAAGAATGCAATACAGGACGTACGTTGGTAGCAGCTTCGAAAGCACATGCATACTTGACCAGCGTGGCCTCACTGAATCGTCTACCAAAGAAGGACAGACCAAAGCTAAATAAAATAAAGAAATAAATATTCGATATGCAGGTAAAGAACACCACGCCCTACGGGAAGTTCGGCCCCAAAGACACCAGCGTGCCACGTGAGTTATAGGTCACATTCGTAGTGGCAGGGTAGTAGCCAAGCGGGACGGTGACGATGGGATACCCGGCGATGGCTGCATATCCCGGTGACATCGAGCTTGGAATGATCAAGGCATCAAGATCATATGCTTCTAAAGCGCCAAGGATTGCTGGCTATGTTGTCAGGCAATGTAGATGATATCAAGCGCTGAAACTCACTGGCATTGGATCCATAATAATATTGTTTAAGCAGCGCGGTATAGTAATCGGCATCTCCCATGGTGATATTAAGACTTGCAGCACCGACCCACCTGATGCGATTCGAAGAGGTAAAAAAAATTAGATCCCATCATGATGGATCAACTCACGTTGCGATGTTGCGATCGGGCTGTCCAACATAAACTTAGTTAATGATAATACATCAATGAGTCCCCCAACGCACGTAGTCCTCTGGAGGATAGGTCTCCGTAAAGTTCATGAGCTCTTGGAGGTTTCTGTGAGGTATCATATAAATAAACGGAAGGTGATCAAGAGTCTAACAACACACGTGATACGGTTGGGGTTGGTCGTCATTTCGTTGAAGTAGTTTGCTACGTCAGCGACAAAGTCAGCACCGACGACCGGATCCGTGGTATACTGAATGAGGACCATTATCAGTTATCAGAAGTAACAATCGCGTGAGGTCCTCACGCCCGCCCCAGTAAAGTTCAAGTATCCGGCAAGGTCTGGGAAATCAGCATTATCCACTATCGTAGCACCAAGTTCCTTGAAGACACTGATGGATGCGTTAAATGCTGTAATTTCTGGACCATTGGTTGGAGACACCGTTATGGCATTGCGCGGGATGCCAATCTTGGCACCTTGTAGACCTTCGCTATTGCACCCGGCTGCATAATCGGGAATAGTTTCGAATGGAATAGCAGACGTATAGTTGTCGTGAGAATCTTGGCCTGTTGAAATCTTTAGACCAGTAGTGTGACATGCATCAGGAACGAACGCGCCTGCAATAACGGACAGGATGTATGCTGCATCCATCATTGTTCGCGTCAGGGGGCCGATAGTATCTTGAGTCTGTGAGATAGGGACAACGAGGTATCTGCTGGTCAACCCGACAGACTGAAATAATACAGTATGTATGGATCCATAGATCAAGGCAGGTATGGGAACATACAGGCTTGATTCCAGTCAAACTATTTCTGCTTGAAGGGGAGATGATAGATCCAGACGTCTCCGTCCCCACAGCAGCAGCAGCCAAACCGATGGATGAGACGACCCCAGGACCACTGCTGGATCCAGATGGGTCTTGCATCGGGTAGTAGGCACCCATAGTCTGGCCGCCACGAGACGTCCATCCATTTGTCGAGTTCGATGAGCGGTAATTGGCCCATTGAGAGAGATTGCACTTTCCGATGATGATTGCGCCGGCAGCTTTGAGCTTTGCTGCAACCGTGGAATCGCTCGGTGGAATCGCACCGAGCAGGGCAAACGAGCCGGCTGATATGTATTGAGCGACGCAACAGATTCCGCATTGTTTACTGACCGGTGTTATTCATCTTATCAAGTGTTGCGATGTTGTCCTTGATGCATATCGGAATTCCGTGTAAAACTCTACAATACGATCAGGGCGAGGAATATGGGGATCAGAATAAATAAAAATACCCTCTGGATGATCCAGCCGCTCTTTCGGCGTCTAGAGATGCTGCTATTGAAAGAGCATCTGGGTTGGTCTCGATGACTGCATGCAAAACAGGATTGACCTCGTCTATACGAGCCACGTATGCCTTTGAAAAAAGAAGATGGATATGGATGGAAAGAAACGAACAAATTCCCATACGTTTACAAGGTCTACACTGGTGAAGGTGCCAGCCGCCAAACCAGATTGGAGATCGTCAATTGTTGCGTATAATAAGTCCGGCAGGGGTTGGCCTAAGGCGACTAGTCAGATTTCGAGATAGAAGGTCAAGAGTCTTGGCATACCATTCCTGGGACTGGTTCCATATGTGACATAGGCTACTCCGGAACCAACCGACAGCAAGGTCGAGAGGACAAAGCTGAGCTTTGTCGCAAACATAGCGATACTGAAGAATTATTTGCGCACGCAGACATTTACTTGTGAAGTAGCAGCATCATATATATTGTGATTGAGCTTGAGGGCATGTCGTGGAATGACGTTGTTGTCAGCATACGGCATAAGTGATAAGGTGAGTATTATTCTGCACGCACATGAGGCATATGAAACACTTGACCACTCATGCATCGGGTGTCGCATGGTATTAAGACCCAAATAAGTGTTACGTGATCTTATCTCCAGTACAATGAGCACGTTCCTTTCCTCGTGACCAGGTACCTAAGGCTATGTTGAAAGCTTGACGTACGGTATGCCGAAGCCGTTGCTTGAAATTCTGGAAAGAGAAATGAGAGGAAAGGAAGGAACTCCTTGAGACAACAAATCTGTGTACATGTTTTTGAAGGCAGCGCGCCTCCGCGGGATTCCGCATAGTGCCAGGTCACAATACGGGAGAGTTGCAGAAGTGATGAGTTGAAAGAGTTGTAGATCAGAGGACGTTTACATAACCGAGTTAATGTTTTGGAACGAGCACGAAAGTTTCCGAGTCGGCAATGTGACGAATTATTCGGTTGCGTGGAATATTTGCGTAGGTTTTCGTCGGTCCGTCTGCCGGCGGCCGGCAGTCCATAGCGGTGAGGCTTTTACTAAGGGTGGCAGATGGGTGAACTCCACATCTTCCAGTGTTTCTCGACTTCGTACAGGATGAAACGTTACTAGTTCGGTACGTCTTCGTTTCTCGAAGCATTACTCGGACGAAGTTGAGGATGGCATTCCTGACTATTTGCAGATTAGGTCTCGCATCAGTACTAGCACGGATCCATAAGCATGATTCACGCGCACGTTACAAGGACCTCAAAAGGGGCTCATCAGTGATGGGCATCATATTTCAAACGTATTTCTGATAACCGGTGCAGTATGATATCACGATTCATAACAACTACCAGCGGCAATCTGATCGATCTCTCCCAGCTCACTAGTACTTATGGACGTCGGGTTACCGCCGCGCTCACTCATCATTGGAGCAGCCCCACCGCAGTACTCCTGCTCTGGTCGAACCACTTCCATTACAATGTGGGGAACGGAGTCTGTCATCACGTTCCATATACGGATGGTAGCAACGCCATCCCTCACAGCATACCCTCTAGCTCCAATATCCGTTGAGAATCTTTCGATGGGATAACGCCGTTGTAACATTTGGATCCAAGGATGGCTATCGCCTCGAGAGTCGTTGCTACCAGTGGCCTTTGTCATGCCTCTTTGGGAGATTGGGCGAGTGGCCGCACTTTGCATGATGGATGATCAAGAGATTGAGATGCGGAGAGGCGCGATGTTTATTTATACCCTTGATAAACAATCATGACGATAATATCATGACTCGAAAGCGCGTACGAGCCTCGATCGACCGATTCCACTAGGCGCAGCACGTGTTGCTCTGGCTTGATCAACCTCCACCATCATGAAGGCGGTATCGGTCAACAAAACGATTCGAGCCATGTGTGAAGAAATGGCTTCAGGAAGACCGGGTACAATACACAGAGAGTTATTTTGCTCCCGGAGCTATCCGCGGTCTAGGGCTGAGGCCTCAGGCCTCAGGCCTCAACTGCGATCCACATGCAAACATGTAGCCCTGACCACCCGATAGATGTCAGCGGGGCGAATAAAGAAAACTACAAATAGAACAATGCCGTCCGTACTAATTGCAATTGGTGATTCATGTTTATTTTCGATAGATATACACGAGTTCGAAACATTGTCAATTGGGATCTGAAACTCGAGTAGATAACAAGACCACAAGCTGAGACCTTGGGACAGAATAAAAATGAGACCATATTCTCATCAGTGGCGTTCCTGGAAATACTTTTATACTAGTACTGTTCCCGCTATTTGTTCAGGGACGTGCCTTGTGCGTACGACAACTCGCAAGTTCTCGATTGTCAGTCCGTGGGGCGCAAACCTATGCCAAGGGCGTTATGGCAGTCTAGCTTATCAGTCGTAGTAAAGCCGCTGCATTGTCGCAATCTAAAATGGCAGCCTTTTTTTTCAGACCGTCGGAAAGAGATGATGGCGTGGTAAGTATGAATATTTCTCATGCGAAAGAGAAATGATACCTAACTGAGCGTGACGACGAAAGGTTGTTGTAAAGCGGGAGAAAATGCCCGAGAGAACTGGTGCTCAATATTAAAAGACGATTGTAGTGCGCGCTGTGATCCACCTTGACGGGAACGTATAGGTCTTGTCTTCCATGAAACGCCGGATGATTGGCTATCATGATGTTGCAAACGTGGCGGAGTGACGGGATCGGGTGGGCGCTAGCTACTAGTAGAGTAGGAGGAGAAATCCAATTAGAGTCAGTCAAATCAAAAAAAAAAATATGAAAGCTTCGGAATCTGATTGATGGACAGGGTCGTTGTGATAGGGTAGGCGATCAAGATGATAACCCGGCAAGCAAATATAGAACAAAGGCGACACTGGATCGCAGGGAGCGGGTTGATGGAGACAATTGGCAGGAAAGGTTGATCAATCATGATGAGAATTTGTATTGAGGAGGGGGCGGGGGTGCACGCTGGTGAGATGATCCGAGGGGAGTCGCGGGGATTCGCGTTAATCGAAAGATTACATGAGAGCGAGCCGCGTGAGCCGTTTATTTAAAGTCCGATTACTAAAAGTAATTATAGGTAAAACTCGTTGTAAAATGAAAGTGTTTTACTGGGTTCTACTTTCTCCAGAGGATCTCCGCTTCCTCTTTTCCATGTTCTCTAATTCGGATCACGTTGCCGTATTACCGCAAGACGAATGGCAAGTACTCGAATACTTTGTATAATAAATTTATAAGTATAATATTATATTAAGGGAATCTCGTCATCACCATCGCCTTCCTGATATCCGACCACCCGCTCATGCACAGGACTCTTTCAATATTAATCCACTTTCAGAATCAAGATCTCAGGAAACAGCTTTAACTCCAAATTTAACACTCAAAGACCCCAGCTTAGATCAGCGCCGTGTTAGTTCTTTATATACTTCTATGGCCGTGCCAAGTTTGATGTTGATTTGATATCAGGTTTCGACATCTTCGCCACTGCATAAATCAGAGCCAGACCCTTCCCAACACCATTCATCATCACCCACTTATCCAGTTCTTCCTCCTCTCCAAATGCCCCACCGCGTTGACTCAATCTCAATGCCGTCCTCGTACGTACTCCTCATCACTTCCTTTCCCTTCCATTTATCTAACCTTTTATCACTAGCCATCGTCGCGACTATGATTATGACTATGATCATTCATACAGGAGACCATCTCCTCCGCCAATTGCAACTTTGTCCCATTCTCCTTCGCTATCCGTTTCATCATTAGACCGTTCATCCGTATCTTCACCGGCGCCACGCCGATCACCCACTGATCGTTCGGTTGATTCACATTCAACCTACTCTGATGCCTATTATTCTCAAGATCAGATGGCTCGGCAGTCTAGACCCTACCCCCACGACCCAGTCCGAGACTCGGGAAGGGTCTCCCACAGTTATTCTTATACCCCTCGCCCTCATCCTGAGCACAGATACTCGCATGACTCTCACCCATATCATGTGTCTTCCTATACAAGCCCCGCACTGGCTCACAGTGCTGCGAGCAGTGGACGTGATAATCCACAGCTTTCGTATCCACTTCCGGGTCAAAGTTACCATGCCACAATTGGATATACGGACGATGCTGCTACGAAATTAAGTGACCGTGTCCGTAGAAGGTGTTTCAATTGCTGTACCACAGACACATCGACGTGGCGCCGTTCTAACTTGAATCCTGGAAAAGTTGTAAGTTTGCATGTGTGCGTTGATCGGTATGAGAGCTAAATTCCGTTCTGTCACAGCTGTGCAATAAATGTGGCTTGTTTGAGCGCACTCATGGTCGGTCGAGACCGGATCAGTTTCCTCATCGCAGGGGCGCATTAGCGACGACGGCAATGCGGCCAAGGACTCCCCCACAATCAACGCATCTACCACCAATCTCCACTCACGTTCCCCCTTTGGCGCCTTACCATTTTTCACACCCTTCCATTGCCCCTCTTCAGTCTGTACCTGACTCAAGGAGGTCACAGCACCCGAACACGTTGCCGGAGATCCAATCTTGGATAGATGCTCCAGGCGCACGGACCTCCTACTCCGGTGGGTCAGCAGACCGTGGACATGAAAGTGCGCGTCAACGGTCACCTCCGCGCTTGCACCACGTAGATATGCGTTCGTCAAGCGTTCATGAAGCGGTGGCATGAAGAAGGAGGAACGTTTATCCCGTAATGGCCCGGAGCTCCGTGGAGGAAAACGAATAACCTAAAAGTTGATGCTTCTATGCCTGCTTATTCGCTACTCGACTAGTCCGTTTTCTTGCATTAATGGCTAGAACGTGCCATCAGCTCACCGCATTCGTCGTAATTATTTGAGTTCAGATACCATTCGCAGTATTCGTATTGTTTTCGTATATAAAAATTGCAAAACACCTATAGTACATGTACGTCTACGATTTTTTGGAGTTTTGTTGTACTGCTATGCCATACCCGTCGATCAATTTTATCATTTGCTTCCGCACTATCGAGTTTCCGTTTTTGGTCAGGTGGAACGCGATCAGTTGATCCCGTTGATCGATCAGTTGCATGACAAAGCCTGTCAGATATCCGCAGCGCAATCGATAGTTTGTTACTCAGCCAGCGCTAGCTGTAAACCAAATATATACACATGTCATGCGTTGCAATCGCAGTAACTCGGAAGCCTCCGTTCCAGGCATGCCATCAACGGCCCGGAGCGCGCAATCACCGATACCTCGGGTTGCCGTCGGCCTAACGTTGACCAGACACGTATGTCGGAAATCTCCCTTGAACATAACCCACGGGAGAGTAGCTTTCAACGAGTCGTTGCAGATCCCTGTCGCTCCGAGGATATGGAAAACCGGGCATCCGCTTCGCCCAAGCTCGTTTCGAGTGCTTCGAGGTCCTTGTACGGGCCCGCAAGAACATAGCGCCGGAACTTCGCTCAACGTTGGAAAGAAGGGAAACTCCGAGTTCGACATGGGCAGCCCAATCACCCAGATTTACTTTTGATCCGTGGAGGTCTTCACGTGATATATATCCTTATTAAATTTTCATCGAGGTAGAGCAGTCCCTTTAAATTCGCCTATCAATCGACAAGTTAAACCAGGCACTTTTCATTAAAAAGGGGTGATGCAATCCTGTCAGATGGTGGACACACGACGGCCTTGGAAATATCTTCTTCGCATGTGAATTAATCCTTGCAAAAAAAACTCACTCGACCGGCGCCACAAGCGATCCGTCCAAGATATCCTGTCATCATTCAAGAACGGATATTCGTGACTAAGCTTCTTACTACAGACCAGGGCTTTCTTTCACCTCTTCAAGAGATGGCAGACGATAACCCTCTTCAACTATAGTTCGCGCTATTCCGTCGTAAGCGGCATATGCGTGCGCCTCAGCGTCGAACGCCATCAACCACTCTGGCATGGGAAGTTCGAATTTGTTCCCGGAGTCGCCAGCTTTCGCCCCATGCCATAGATTACGCGTAGTCACACCCAACATCTGTGCATCATGCACCCGTTGGTACCTGTACAATGTGATCCAGAAGTTTGTCCATCTTTTTTGGGTTCAAATTATCTCACATACCGCATGCATTCCCATGTCCTCGTTCCCAATCGAACGTTGTCTTTGCCAGCAAGGTTCAGACTAACTGCTAGAGTTACACCATCCTCAATGGCTTGAGATGCGCCTTGCACGCTTGTTCTGCCAACCACATGGTGAGCGAACGGAATCCGCATCAATCAGCCATACTTCCTTACGGTAAAAATGGGTGAGCCGCATCGCCAATCAATACTACCCGACCAGATTTGCTGACCCAAGTAGGAAGGGGGTCGTGTACAAGAAGCTTCCAGTCGATGCACGAGGGAGCTTTGGAGACAATCGCGGCGCACCGCGGGTCGCGGTCTTTCAAAAGATCAAGTACGTCTTCTATCTTACCCGGGGATGACCAATCGCCATCAACAGCTGCGTTATCTCTAAAATTTTAATATTTAGCTATGAATATCACGAGAAGGGCGATTTGCACACTTGTGAGTGAGAAAGAAACAGATAGTTTTCCCTCCTTGAGAGGAAATAGCCAAAAAGTGCATATCTCCACCTACGAGCAGTGAGTGATCAAGAAAAAAAATGTGGACAAATACTACTCACCAATCCACGCGTGAACTTGATTTCCATGAACGCTCAGAAAGTCTGTCAATGGGTCTGTCGTAATACCATGTTCTTCAGCATCAAACCACGCTCGGTAAATAGCATATCCAGAAGGTTTTGGGTTGTCGCAGTACCCCTTCATCAATTTGACCGGTAAGTTGACCGGCGGCGTAAAATTCAAACTTACAATAACGAATTTTCTCGCCAAACTCTTCACACCATCTGCAGCAACAATGACATCGGCATCAAACGTTTCACCTGTCTGGATTTTGACACCAGCCTTTCCATTCGCTTCGTCCTCCCAATATTCGACGGCCTGATGTCCCATGCGAATCTCGATGCCCAAGGACTTCGCATGCTCAAACAGGACTTCGTGGATAACCGCTCGATGACCATTGTAAGGAAACGCTCCGAAGAGCGGATAGGACATTTTTTGCACTTGAACGAGGTCTCCGAGGTAATCATGGATGTGGATTTCGCCTGCGGAATCAGCGACGCCCCACAATCTGTCGCATTTTCAATTACTTTATCAGAAAAAAAGATTTTTTCTGTACTTTTCATGGAGACCCCATCTGGCCAGGATGCGACTAGCATTTACGCCAAGACTCAGCATCTAGCGGTTTGTCAGCCCTCGAGCTGGGAATCATCACCCTAACGACACTCACGTCGCCTTTATCGCGCTATCAGATAAGAACAAAACGATATGCACGATAGTCACTGACCTAGTTGCTTCAATTCATGCACTTTCTCGAGGATCATCACACGGTGACCCTTTCTTTTGCATTCGACTGCACAAGCAATACCTGCAAAGCCAGCGCCGACGACAATAACATCGATTCCCGTGTCACGAATGTCATCGCTAGGAGGAGGATGCTCCGCCATAATAGTTGATTAGCGCAGGAGTGATATCGTACTACTTATAAGACAATCAGGCACACCATACTGAAGTTGGATAAATGCACAATGCGATGGTCGGGCGATGACTAGCGCTGACTGGTGGTGACCGGTGACTCACCTTGTGTCCGCCGTAGCGATTACCTGCGACAGCACAAATAAGTCACCTGCACACCGTTCACTAGCAATATTCAAAAGTAACGTTGCGTCGAGTCAGTGATTTGGAATGAGAACAGGTGTCCGATATGGCATTGAACTGAGAGTACAAACTTGAAATGACCAGATCATTCTCCATGGGGTCCAGGATGCCTGAATTAATTCGAAATTCCCTTAGTCTATCTGGAAAGGTGCACGAGCAAATATCGGAGTCATATCCAGTCCAGACTTCAGTGGTAGTAGGAAGAATGATAGCGGAAACTTCCGGTAAACTATTCCCATGGCAATGCCCGCCAGCGAAGTGTGATTAATAGAATGGACGATATCATATGTGACGCACTCGCACTCCTTCTATGTGCAGCTAACGTTAACTCTCGATATCATGATCTTTTAAATCTCACCATAATATTCAACATCAAATAGCGCGTCAAGTACATTCTGGCCCTTCGGAAAAAAGATGCTCTAATAAAGCCAAGAATCAAACAGTGATTGCAATGTACAATGTGGGGAAGTTATCGCACTTGAAAGATCTACTTGTAGCGATGAGATTTACAGAGGAGTTTGCTGTTGGGGGACTAATTGCAACATCCACGGCTGAAGAATGGGACCTTGCTGCGATGCCGATATCGATGAGGGTATGTTGGGATCTTGGCGAAAACACGCACGAGAAAAGCCCAGCACAACAGTTTCGGATCAAGCTGCTTTTTCACGCAATGACACTCAAAAATTCAAGAATGCCATGTATACTGATGAAGATCATGCTCACTTACGATGTTCGATACAAGTGGAGTTGAGAGGCAGCATCGTGAGGCATTAAGCCCCCGAGAAGAAGACCATGGAGAAGCAGGAGGCCTATTTCTCAGGTGTTGCGCTAGTGCTTGATCAACTCCCATCTGCTATTTTCTCCATTCACTACGGAGTCCGGTGGATAACATCAAACCGGTACCCTATCTTAAGTATTTCTAGCCCTGCTGTGATTATGCTTGAGATAGCCCAAACACTCGGTATGTATTTATTACCATGCAGGAACTAGGCTTCACTCTCACTCTCATATTTGAGGTGGCCTGCCAAGTACTAGCTACTGATCACAGTGCTCCCGCCCGGAACCAGGCATGATGCATTCCGAAGGACTCCGACGCTTGAATTCTTATTCAGCCACCATCGAGGACCTTCACAAGGTGTGGCACGACGGGTGTTGTAAGTCGATCCACTTCAAAGCTGTCGTCAAGCGTCTAAAAATCATCCAGAGGGAATAAGTATTTTTCACAGCCGGACACAATATGAATCGCAAAGGGCGAGAACCATATTCTTGTATGCACCACTCGGGCTGGGCCTATATAACAGCGGGAATAGCAATCGCTCTCATACGCGGTGGGTTATATAATTTCTATATCTTTCTTGATATGAATTATGTTTCAGGTTTGCGACGGTCCGGTGAGCGTGAGTCGGATACATTGCGTTCGACTATGGAACGAGTGCAAAAAGCCGCATTGTGTTTCTACCCATTTGGAAAGCATTGCCCCTTGGTAGATCCAGGAATATGGACGCCTCCATCTTCGACCGATTTGTGATCAGCGAGCCTACGAACGACGAGTCTCAGTTTCTCCTTGGTGCCGCAATAGCATAAGTATGGAAAACGGACAGTTCCCACACCTAGCACACCATTCCCAAGTTTGCAGACGACATCTTGAGGGTAATAATTGTAGGAGAACCGAAGGACTCGTTGGCCATGAAACCGATCGTCGGCATGACCAAGATGCAACAAGTGTAAACAATTATACGCATCAAGCCACTACATGTACTGTTTCACCTGTCTTGGCCAGGAATCCTTTGACTGAACGAATGACTAACCTGTCCGTCAACAAGTCCCGCACGAATGCCATTGATACCATGCTGTCTCGACAATGCTCACCCGAGGGATAGAAGAGGCGTTTGTTGAAGGATCAGAATGACGAGACGGATATGAACGGACCAATGTTGCTTATCGAATCATAATGCAAGCATGAATACCCGAATGACGCACCCCGGAAAGAGTCTGGTTGCTGAAAGTTAGCACTTCTCCTGTGTTAGATTCTCGTAAACATCAAAATACTCTAATTCACGTGGCAGGGTAAAGTGAGGGCTCTCGAACAAGTTGGGCGTATACGTGAGCATATGAGGAAACCTCACTGCTGCTCTTTCGAAACCGTCCAAATATTACACTGCTCGTCCTTGGTTGTGTTGGGAAGAGTCGCTTTATCCACCAGCTGTAAGGGCCCAATTTGTCGCGAAAGAGCGACCTTCGCCTCGACACGCAGGTGACGTCTCTGTGAGACTACGTTTCAACACTCAAGTTCGCTCACCGGTCGATGTTGATCCGCTGCGAACAGTAGCAGGTCGTTCCGGCAACTTGTCGTTTTGCGTGCGGATGCAGACAAAGACTAGAGGGAACGACCTAATTCCAAGTAAGGATCCGCATATAAACAAACAAAGATTCCCCGCCGTGATAAACTCCCGGCAGCCCCGATACCTAACAAGTTAACACAAACAGTTGTGCATGGTTCCTGGTCCTAATGGCAATCAGACCCCTTGGAACTGCAATTTATTTCTGCTGGCATCCCAAAAGCCGCTCCTGCTGAAGATCAACTTGCAACGATTCCGGCCATGGGTGTTAATTCGGACCTCTAGCTTGAGCATACCCGCGGGATAAAAACACTAGAGACACTGCCATCGGGCTTGTTGATGAGCCAAAGGATTCTGTTCTCCGATCCTCTCACCACTATCTGTTCTTGAAAGGAACGGATATTGGTGAGAGGATCGGGGAAAAGTTACAGTTTGGGGAAAGTTGACTCTAAGCGCCGAAGCGTTGACAAGTGTAGCAATCAATTTTTGATGCTGAAGAGCTCCGATCAACTTCACCTTTCCTACAAGGTCAATAATATTCTTCAAATTTCGACCACAGCATATTTTATTTTCCCGATATCTGCGGCTGTCTGGACACAGGTCACCGCAAATAAAGGAAATGGAGCGTCCATGACTGCGGGACCGTCAAGCGTGAGCCATCAGAAGGTCGCCACCGCAGTTTTATGAAGTGACCGAGCGAGTGTTGGTCGCAAAGTGAGTCATCTTCATTATGTGAGCGTTATAAGCGATGGCTAGGCGGGTAATAGCGTCTCGTTTTCGCACTGCGGATCCGATATGGGTGAGGTGAGTGGATCGAGTGAAAAGCTAGAGTAGGACATATTCGGGCAAATTAGTACAAACAATTTTTTTTTGTAACCGACTCGTGCTACATACCGATCGTCTCTACAGATCAGTGACTGGCATTCTGACTCTCACAAACCTACACGTATTCAAGGTGACTGTACCGTCCAAAAACCACCGCCGATGGTGTCTGCTCCATAGCCCAGACATATCTGCAGATAGCATGCTGCTGGTAAGTGGCTAACACGATGATGCGAGGATATGTCGTGTCTGTCTGGCCCATCATGGACTGGATCTGGAAGGCATATGTCGTGGGTGCTTAGGTGGAACTTAACAGATGTCCTGAACCTTGTGATGGTGGAGCAGCATATAGAATGTCCAGTCAATGGCTCATGATCGTGGCTAGCAGGTGATTATAATATTGAAGAACCGTTGAAAAGAAACACGTGTAAAGTGTGTAACCCGGACTTGGGTGACTAAGCCGGAGTCTAATTAAACACATGCTTGCGGCGCCCAACGGTATTATAACCTGCTCTTGCTCCAGTCACATCAAGCATCAACATTAATCTCTCCACGTACGATGGCTTCATCAAGCGCTAGAGCAAAGCTTCTTGCTAAGAATGATAACGACGTCGTTATTGTAGCCGCGGTGCGGTCTGCTCTCACTAAGGTATCATTACTGTTATGAAAGACCCAGACATGAGGTACGACTTACTTATAGGGCAGGAAAGGTGGCTTCAAAGATACTCATCCAGAGGAGATCCTGTCCGGTGTTTTGAAAGCCGCCTATACTAGAGCCATGGTTAATCCCGTCCTTATTGAAGACATCGCTGTCGGAAACGTCCTACCTCCCGGTGGTGGCGCCAGTGCTGCTCGCATGGCTGCCCTTCATGCAGGAATTCCAAACACAACTCCAATAAACACCGTAAATCGTCAATGCTCGTCAGGTCTTGCAGCTGTCAATCAGATTGCCAACGAAATAATTGCTGGACAAATCGACATCGGTATTGGTAAGCAACGATTCGGCACTTCATCGTTTGTTACTGAGGAGTCCTCTAGGTTCTGGAGTTGAATCCATGACGTTTGGATATGGCGCTGGATCCTTACCTCATGGTTGGTCAGATGAGGTCCTCACCAACCAGGAAGCAGAGGACTGTTTGATTCCTATGGGTCTGACCTCTGAGAACGTTGCCTCTGACTTTGGCATTTCTCGCGAGGTACAGGACAAGTTTTCAGCTGAGTCCTATCAAAAGGCTGCTGCCGCTCAAAGGGCTGGAAAGTTTAAGGATGAGATTGTCCCTCTGAAGGTCAAGATAACCGATCCGAAAACCGAAAAGGTTTCTGAGATTGTCGTTGACGCGGACGATGGTATTCGTGATGGTGTCACCGCAGAAAGTTTGTCAAAACTTAAGCCCGCATTCACGAAGAACGGTTCGACACACGCTGGTAGGTTCTTTGAGATACTTCCTTTAGACTGTTACATCTCAACGTGATACAGGAAGTGCTTCACAGGTATCTGATGGCGCAGCTGCTGTAGTCCTTGCTCGCCGCTCCGTTGCCAAGCGGTTAGGTCTTCCCATCGTCGGCAAATACGTTACTTCAGCAGTTGTGGGCGTGCCACCGCGTATCATGGGCGTTGGCCCAGCATATGCCATTCCTAAAGTCCTGGAGAAAACAGGACTCTCCAAGGACGATGTCGACTTCTACGAAATCAACGAAGCTTTCGCATCACAAGCTGTGTACAGCATTCAGAAGGTTGGCTTGTCGTTTGACAAAGTCAATATCAACGGGGGTGCAATCGCAATCGGACATCCACTGGGATGCAGTACGTGTCTCATAACTTTTGCGTATCCATTATGTCTTGATGTATCTTCGTCACAGCGGGAGCACGTCAAATTGCTACTGGTCTCAACATCGCGAAACAACGTAATGAGCGAGTGTTCGTCACCAGTATGTGTATTGGCTCAGGAATGGGCATGGCAGCTGTGCTCGTCAGCGAACATTGAAACCCATAGTAATAGTATTATCATACAAAGTATGTATGTTTTGTGTGTCATGTACTTACAGACTTTCGATCTCTCATGAGGCTGTTATCCAACTTGAAGGTTAACACTGTGTTCCGGCTCTAGTCACGGTCTTCAGTGCATGAGGTTGGTTGTCTTCAGCCACTTCTAGTTTTTATAGATTTGACACAAATACTGATACAAAGAGGTGAGTAACTGTTAACCTGTTCAACATTGGGATTCAAAATAGAATTCTAGACTTGCTAGAACACTTGGTAAAAGCTAGGCTAAGTTTCTACAGAGTCAAGAGATTGGCCAGTTTATGTAGACTTAAGACTCCACATCAGGGAAAACCTCCTGCACAAACCCGCTGAGCTATGTTTAGATATAACTTCAATAGTTACCAAAAATTCTTCCTAAATATACTGATTATTAAGAATCTTTTACACCCCTCTCTGTAACTTTTTCATCATTAGATGATGTTTTTGCAGATTATGCAGAACTTCAAGTTAGCATTCATGTTGTCAAGATTTTGATTTTCCATGCTTTCAGATTCATCATTGCTTACTACAATTGACTCATATATAAGAAAGAAATTAGTTTTCATTGAAAATATAAGTCAAGAGCAAGCATATAACAATTTCAAGGGGCAATACTAAGGATATTTAGTCCTTGTCCATCCTGTTGAGGTCAAAGAATGCAAGTGGATCATCAGCTTCTGCATTGGTAGCAGAATTCTTGTATGTACTAACATTTTACTACTACCAGAACATAGTTCTACACTCTGCTTACTAGTAGTACAGCACTTTCCGAAATATTTATAAACTAGTAAAATACCTGTAGTACTTTAGTTAGATTATCAATTGTTACTCAATAACCAAGTTTCCTTTCTCCATAGACCTGAGCTTCATCTCTTGTTGCAAATCTGAGTTTCCTAGGAGTTCTGTCTCCAAAGGACTAATCCACCTCTGCTCCTACCCCTATTTCCAGATACTCCAGACTTAGTCCCCTCATCATCTTCCTTCTATCTTGGACATTGTCCAGATAGCCTTACTCTTCTTGCTTTCGCTTCGTACATTGTCTAAGTGATCCCTCCTCACTGCTCCTCTGGCTCCGGATATTGTCCAAGCCATCCCCCTCATTGTACCCCACATCGGACTCTGTCTGATCACACATTCCACACCCCCCTCACTACTTTGAATAACATCTGAGTGATTTTCCCTCCCAGTCTGTACCTACTCTGAACGATGTTTGCATACTGTATAGTTTCGACACTACCTTCAAGCCCATCTGCGCATGACCATGTCACGCTTAGCTTCATAGCTTCACACCTCAGTGTGACCTGTGACCATCCCTAATTAGGTTCATTACATCGTGACTGCCACTGGCAACTCGCCATCGCTGTCTGCAACTCTGGCGACCAGCACGGACTTCTGTGCTCCTACAAGTTACTTCAACTTAGTCGACATCATTTCGTCGAGCTGCGCATCCTGTGGGGATGGGTGGAGACAGTCTTAAAAGGCTGCATGTCAAATCTGTAAGCTCCATTTCTCTCTAGTCATTCAATCTGAAACTAATGTGTTCATCGCCTCTGAGTGGCTTTCATGTGGCCGTGTCTTTGAGCGGATGACTCTTCCTCCCTCTGTAAAGCGCGAAATCAAACACTTGTTGGCCATTCCAGCTCCCATTCAATCAACCATCCCTTCACAAACTCTGTCCATCACACAACTCCTTGACATTAATTTTCCTGCTTCACTTGATTGCAAACTCGACTCGAACACCATCACATTCTCGTCATGCCTGGTACTTGCCCGTGTTCCTGACTGAGGTGCTTATTGATCACCTTGCATCAGGGGGCATGCATGCCATGGACAGTGGTCTGTCCTCTATGAACCACTCGGAAATCTATAATGTCGGTGAAGATAGTACTGATCTAGGTATAGAGGGCAGTGTTAGGAATGCTGAACAGGAGTGTGGAAAGCATAGACGGATCACAAACAAGATGTACAATGACTTCTGGACCCATTAGAGTAATATGTATGTTTTTTTTTTCCATTTTTACCACATATCACAATTTAGCTTCACCTTCCAAAAATTTGCATGATGGTCACTGTTACGACTTGGATGGTATCTGTTGGCGACGCTCAAACAGAGCTTGTGTCGTCAACGGTCGAGGACGTCCTTGGGCTAGCCCAAGGTTAGGGGTTGTACTTGGCGGGTCTTCGGCAAGTACGATTTGACGCCTATGTCCAAATCGGGTAGCTTATGTCACGCGGGTGCGAGACGATAAGCTATATTGGCCTAGGCTTACGACACCCGAAGGTTAATCGTAAGGATCGTTGTTAATTAGAAGGACAGAAGTCCAACTAGTTAACAGGGGCTTTGCTTGTCGACGAAGTCGATGAGCAAAGGTCGAGACTATAGGCTTATCTGCGATGAGCAGATAAGAAGATAGAATATAGACTGCTGGCGAGGCAGAAAGGATCACTCTGGTGAGAGTAAGAGGTCAAGAACCAAGTAGATTCAAGTTAGGGAATATGGTACATGGTAGCGAGTTTATATAGATGACAGGAGACATATTAGTAGGTGATAACTCGTACTACCTGGAGAGGCAATCGATAAAGGGTAGAACCATAACAGGAAGGCACGTTCGGTCGAGGTAGAACATGCTAGATAAGAGAGTGAGTCAAAGATCGAAATAAGAAGTGAAACGCGCAGGGGCACGATCATGCAGCTGCGGATCTAAGTATAAGTCGCATGTGCGACTGCGCACTGAGTCAGAGATCAAGAAAGGGAACAGGGCAAAGGGGATGCGTCGTGCATCATATCATAGGTTACCGTCCGGACGGTAAGGGTAAAGGGGACTATCCACAGGATCAGTCAGGTGGTGGAACGGAGCATGGGTATGCTTCGTCAGTGAAAGGGTCCAGCCAAATGTACTGGCTTTGCTGCAGTGACAGGTAGAGAGCGAAAGGGAATGCGAGGATGACAAGGATGACAAGGGTAAGGTCGGGGTAAGGGTATGACGCGAGGGCTGATACGAGGAGGATTAGGAGAAAAATGGTAGGGGCCCAAGCGTCTAGATGTTCTTGTAACAGTCACACCAAATAGGTTTGATTCAACAGAGGCTGTGATGTGTGACGAACCTAGTGTTGAAACTATACAGTAGTAGTAGACTAGTTAGTGTAGACACACTCTGTTTGGTTTCCGTTGGATGCGTCTTCCGAGACCCAGACTGTACCTTCCAGTGTCTGTATTTCCATTGGACATCCCACCCTGAAATCTAGGGCCTGTACTCGGGAAAGGGGCACAGCACATGAGCTGAAGCCAAACCCTTTTAGATCTGTCTATCCAAGAGAACTATTCCAGTTTTTAACAGGTTGTTCCCTTCACCTTGAGTCCAAATCAGGTGGTGAGGTGTTTTCCTGTATTTGAGTATCCTGTTGGCTAATATCACAAACCTCCTTATTATCCACAGTTATCTTTATCTGGTTTGATCCTTCACTGTCTCCTTCATTGAATACAACATCTCTTGACTCTATAATATGCCCATTTGACCTTTGTATACATACATAAGCTTTTCAATGCTCCACATATCCCAAATAGATGCACTTGATTGATTTGGGATCAAGTTTCTTATGTTGTTCATCATTTGGTATGTGCACATGCACTTTTGCACCCAAAAACTCTTATGTGTGCAACTGACAGTTTGTTTCCTGTATAGGCTTCATATGGAGTTGTACCTTCTGTCAATGTATGTGTAGGCACCATATTGAGGATGTGCATTGCACATAGAATAGCATTGCCCCAAAATGACTTTGGCAATGCAGCATCATTCAACATGGCTCATGTGCTTTCAACTAGTGTGCAGTTCATCCATTCTGCTACACCGTTTTCTTGAGGAGTGTAAGCATTTGTCTTTTCATGATGCATACCCTTTGATTCGAGGTACTTCAGAAATTCACTAGACTCATATTCTCCACCTCCATCACTTTGAAAGATGTTCGCTCATATGCTGGTCTTGACCTCTGCACATTTAATATATGTTTTCGTGAGTCCCAGCACTTCATCCTTTGTCTTTAGCAATTTGACAATGACATTATGTGAATGGTGTTGATGAATGTTATGAAATAATGATGTCCTGTTCACATGGCTGTTTTCACTGATCCACAAATATTGGAGTACATTTTATGCAGGACTCAGGGATTTTGGATCCTAGACTCATCTGGGATAGGTTTCCACAACTATTTGCCCTTAAGGTATGCCTTGCATACATTTGTATCACAAGTTGTTGATCCTGAAACTTCCATGCCATTGGATCATATCCTTCGCATACACTTTCCTCACAGAATTCGGATTTATATGCACAAGACAATAATGCTAGGTCTCCATGGATGCTTTTGATGAGTATGAGCATGCTGTAAGTGCTCTAAGTGGTTCTGTGGCATCTAGCAACTGATTTGGCCCTTCAACTATATAGGCTCTTTCACTCTTTCAAGTCCATCCTTTCAGTATATTTTGCTGTATTGCTAGTACCATTATGGACCCATCTTGTGTGATCATACAAGTGTGTTGATTGAAACTCACCTTGAAACCTTTAGTTGTCAATTGTGGAACTGACAGTAGGTTTCCATCTAGTTCAGGAACAAGAACTTCAGAGATGAGGTGATAGAGCTAAATAGCTTCTTTTTCCATGTGCATGGCAGTTACATATGTTTTTTTTTTAAAAAAAAATGGAAGGTAAAGGGTTATTGCATTTCACTTTCTATGTTTTGACTGGTCATCCTGCGACAGTTGGTTCCCTCTAGGCATAGAGTGGGTTTGTTGGTACAGTTGTTGTTACAGTTGTTATTCTTGAGGTTTCGTTATTATGATGAGATATGTTTCTATATTTTGTACATGTGCATGAGTTGAACTTTTATTTGGTTAATGGAATCTCACCAAAGGTCATTTTAAATCTACCGGTGCTATTGATGAATCTTCGGAGGGGGTCTATTGCTTTCTTAGAGGCGAGTAGGAAGGCTATGGATGAGGCTTGGCGGCGTAGGGTGTTGTTTAGAATGTGTCTCTCTCGGGTATACTGAGGGCAGTTGAGGAGGTAATGGTGCATGGTCTCATCTTTTTCTGGGCAGAATAGGCAGTGTGGGAAGTCAATCTTTCCTATGCAATGAAGTTGATGGTTTAGTGAGTCACATATATTGTAATTGAATTGTTCACCATCTTCCATACTTAGTAATTGGTCCTTTCCTTACTCGGTAGCATGGTCTGTATACTCTCACATACAGTATATATAGTAGGTGCCCAGCGCATGTATTCCTTACCTGCTTCATTAGATAATACTGTCTTATGTCTATGGTCCGACTGAGACCCAACTTTCTATCAACATACTTGGCCTCCATCATGGATAGTGTCACTAGCTCCTGCTTCTTCAAGCTCCAGGACACAGCTCCACCATCCAGCAAAAATGCATAACCAGAGATGATATGTCTGTGCTCTTGCGAGGCACCATCTGCATCTGCATAGTCTTCAAGGCCAGGTTTGCCTTGACTGATAGTGAGTGCCATTCTTTTGGTACCTGAAAAGTACCAATAAATCTTTTTGACAGCCTCCCAGTGTGCCATGCCAGGGTTAGCATCATATTGGGCAATAGTAGAGACTGTGAATGCAATATCTGGCCATGTGTTGACAGCCTCATGATAGGAAATATTTTTTATTCAGGAGGATTCAGTAGGAATCTTGGGACTCTGGGATTGCAAGCATGGGAGGTTTGGATCCATGGGAATCAAGCATGGTTTAAGATCTGTGAAATTATACTTGGTGAGGATAGAGTCAATATAGGTTTCATAGGAGAAGGAAATGGTATGCATATCACCTTATACTCAGTGATAAGGCAATGGGACCGAGATCAGTGAGTTTGTAGCAAGCAACTACCTCATGTTTGAAACTTACTATAAGGGTACTGTTAGTAGAGAGTAATACATCACTAGAGGGCAGTTGACACTTGCTGTGTCAACCAGTGGTTGTACACTTACGGTTGACTATGTGTATCAGGATTCATTTTCTTAATGCAAATTTTTTCTTGTTGTATTACATTGTTTGTATTATTATTTTCCCCACACCCTGCTACATCTCTTTGTCATCATCATCAGCACTCAGCGTGCTCATCATCGACAAGCTCGTCCTCACCATCGTTGAGCTTGTTGTTACAAGAACATCTTGATGCTTGGGTCCCTACCATTTTTCTCCTGATCCTCCTTGTATCAGCCCTCACATCACACCCTTACCCTGACCTTACTCTTGTCATATTGGTCATCCTCGCATTCCCCTTCGCCCTCTACCTGTCATTGCAGCAAAGCCAGTACATCTGGCCAGATCCCTTTGCTGACGAAGCATACCCATGCTCCGTCCCACCACCTGACTGATCCTGTGGACAGTCCCATTACCCTTACCATCCGGACAGTAACCTATGATACGATGCACGACGCATCCCCTTTACCCTTTTCCCTTTCTTGATCTATGACTCGGTGCGCAGTCGCACATGCACATGTATATTTAGTTCCGCAGTTGCACGATCGTGCCCCTGCGCGTTTTACTTCTTATTTCGATCTTTGACTGACTTTCTTATCTGCACGTTCAGGTTCACTCGTGTCTCACCTCGAACATGTTTTCCTTTTATGATCTTACCCTTTACCACTTACTCTTCTTGGTAGTACGAGTTATCACCCACTAATACGCTTCCTGTCCTCTATATAAACTCGCTACCATGTACCATATTCCTTAACTTGAATCTACTTGGTTCTTGACCTCCTACTCTCACAAGAGTGATCCTTTCTGCCTAGCCAGCAGTCTATATTCTATCTTCTTATCTGCTCTTCGCGGATAAGTCCTTAGTCTCGATCTTTACTCATCGACTTCGTCGATGAGCAAAGCCCCTGTTAACTAGTCGGACTTCCGTCCTTCTAATTAACGACGATCTTACAATTAACCTTCGGGTGCCGTAAGCCTTGGCAGATACCGCTTATCGTCTAGCACCCGCTTGACATAAGCTACCCGATTTGGACATAGGTGTCAAATCTTACTTGCCGAAGCCTCGCCAAGTAAGACCCCTAACCTTGGGCTAGCCCAAGGACGTCCTCGACCGTTGATGACACATGCTCTGTTTGAGTGTCGCCAACAGATACCATCCAAGTTGTAACACAGGTGAGCTCAGGATTGTGGTGCTCATAATATTCCTAGTGAGCTTATTGTATAGTAGAATTTGATTGAAGGCTAATGATATACAGAAATAAGGTGGAACATTGCAGGGGCCACAGCATTCTTGGGAAGGATTATTAAAGAAAAAATTGCAGATCCTCTGAGAGATGGAGAAGAGGATTCCTGCAGCCTTGTCTTTAGTACCTTCATGGCCCTTCCACTTCTTCTGAGTGGTACCTTGTGCCAAAAAATCAAATTTTCTGGGAGCACAGAAGTGGGAATCAATTGTGACTCGCTTGGAAGTGCTGTTGATGCCTATGCTCACCATGTAGCTGTTGATTTTATGTATACGATTGTCATATCAGACATTTAAGATGAGTTTGCACCACAATTGTATTATCTCATTTTCCTAAGTGACTTGCAGGAATTATCACTTCAGATCAGACTATCGTGTTTTTTGATCCACAGTGCCATACATGAGTAGAAGATCTCCAGTGGCTGTGGCCACATATTTTATAATATCATACAGTGTTCAAGGTGACTCAGGGTTGGGACCACAAACAGTCAGCAATTACCAATTTTTTGAAGAAACATACATGTAACAAATTCTGCAAGGCTCTTAGCCTTGATATCAAGAGTACACCCAAAGACAAAGGTCCACTGCATATCAGTTTTTACAATTGGTCCTATACCCTATTCTCACTCAAATTCAGGTCGAGCCTCTTATATTTCTCTTAATGTTTTTTGTTCAACTCGTACAACTTTCATTTCAAAATCACATTCACATTCTAATTTTTGATATGTAGCAGTATATGTTATTGAAGCACAAACATATTGACTAGATTAATGGTAGCATTGCAGAAAAGACGAGCCATACATTCTCAAAAGTTAGCTTAGCAAATCCAAGATTATTGAAGATTAATTGTGCACTTGCACTATACTCAGAGTCAACAAAACGAATGAGATCCTCACCACCAATCTCTTCCATGAGATGCTTGACAATAGCACAATCCAGACTGCAAAAAGTTCTGGGCATTGTAATCTTCATGAAGTGACATTGTGACATTCAGTGAGACGCCCAATGGTAGTTGTTTATTGTGATCATATCGAACTGTGTGCATGTTAAGACGATGCTTGAGTGTATTGAGCTCTTGCTGAATCAATGTTGGTCATAGCCATTGAACGAGATCACTGAAGCATAGATGAGAGCAAGTCAAAAATAGTACAAAACACCAACTTACTGATGGTGTGGATCCATATCGTTGTAGATTTCTTCACCAGCTTCTCAGAATATCTTTACATTGTCTCCCTATTGAATGTGTACACAAAACCAGCCTCACTCAATTGTAATGTTATGAATGCTCTTTAAAAATTGATGGGCTGGAAGCTCGTCAACAGACAAGTTCAGAGAAAACAATTCCCTATAGAATAGTATGCTTAGCATGATACTCGCACTGACTAGCAGCACTTACCTTAAAGCAGATGCAAATCCATATACCTCTGTCGTCTTGCTTCTGCAATCTGTTGTGGTTTGCAATGGCATCCCTAGGTATGCAATGAGGTACACTGCTCACAAACATATATGGGACTTACCACCAATCTTGTAGAAGAGACAAGTACAAGTAGGCAATTGATGTTTTGAGCCAATTGTTAGGCACCACCCACATCCCAAGCCACTTCCCTGACCACTGGTCTTGTACTGACCATATTGGAAAACCAATTTTACTAAACTTATCGTGTCTATCACCGCTCCATTGATGATGAGGGCCAAGTGAGACCAGTGACTGTCAAGAAACTTTCTTTGCTGAAGGTTTCCGTTGGAAAAATCCATTGGGTTCATGTTGCCTCATTTCACTTGTCACATATTTCCTTCCTCAAAATCAGTTGGACTAAATGAAAGTATTACAATGATCAATGTTACCAAGTCAATAGATATCCTGTATCAGCCACAATGGCTTCTCGGACTAAATGTGGACCACGGCGGTGAAGTGGATCATGGGCAAGTTGATCAAGCACCAACTGCTGCTTGGTCGAATCAGGAAGTGAGCCAGTCAATTGGCTACTTCCTAAAAGCCCAAGTTGTTTCTGGCGTCAAGCAACAGTTGCTTCACTATTGATAGAGTATGAGCACCTCCCAGAACACACAGCATCAGATTCACCTCATTGTTATGCCATGCTCTGACTTGAGAAGGCGGCTGATCTTTGTTCTATTTGTGATGTTGTCATGGTGATACTTGTTATGACTTGGATGGTATCTGTTGGCGACGCTCAAACAGAGCATGTGTCGTCAATGGTCGAGGACGTCCTTGGGCTAGCCCAAGGTTAGGGGTCTTACTTGGCGAGGCTTCGGCAAGTAAGATTTGACACCTATGTCCAAATCGGGTAGCTTATGTCAAGCAGGTGCTAGACGATGAGCTGTATCTGCCAAGGCTTACGACACCCGAAGGTTAATTGTAAGATCGTCGTTAATTAGAAGGACGGAAGTCCGACTAGTTAACAGGGGCTTTGCTCATCGACGAAGTCGATGAGTAAAGATCGAGACTAAGGACTTATCCGCGAAGAGCAGATAAGAAGATAGAATATAGACTGCTGGCTAGGCAGAAAGGATCACTCTGGTGAGAGTAGGAGGTCAAGAACCAAGTAGATTCAAGTTAGGGAATATGGTACATGGTAGCGAGTTTATATAGAGGACAGGAGACGTATTAGTGGGTGATAACTCGTACTACCAAGAGAGGCAAACGGTAAAGGGTGTAACCATAAAAGGAAAGCACGTTCGCGTTGAGACACGGGCGAGGTAGAACGTCCTAAATAAGAAAGTGAGTCAGAGGTCGAAATAAGAAGTAAAACGCGCAGGGGCACGATCGTGCAACTGCGGATCTAAGTATAAGTTGCATGTGCAACTGTGCACTGAGTCAGAGATCAAGAAAGGGAAAAGGTCAAAGGGGATGCGTCATGCATCATATCATAGGTTACCATCCGGACGGTAAGGGAAAGGGGACTGTCCACAGGATCAGTCAGGTGGAGGGACGGAGCATGGGTATGCTTCGTCAGCAAAAGGATCCGGCCAAATGTACTGGCTCTGCTGGAGCGACAGGTAGAGGGCGAAAGGGAATGCGAGAATGACAAGGATGACGAGGGTGAGGTTGGGATAAGGGTATGACGCGAGGGCTGATACGAGGAGGATGAGGAGAAAAATGGTAGGGGCCCAAGCATCTAGATGTTCTTGTAACAATACTGGGTAAGAATCTGCTGGATTAATTTGTTGTTCCTTGAAGCTATCGTGATATGTAGATTAGTGTAATGTTAGTAGACCTAGTGACACGACTCACGACAGTGGTGATGTTGGTTTTTGCCCTCAGGGTTGCGGATGAGGCCAGAGGTACCTTCATCGTACAAATCTTCACTTAGAACCTTGTCAGTGTCATGAGACTCCATGCAATGGATGGTGGAGGGTATATTCAGGATGCACACACCTGGTATAGCACAAGAACAAGGGATTTTATAGCTGTCTGGTATCATATGTGGCCTGCCTGATGGCCCCGAGACATGTAACTGTTACAAGAATATCTTGATGCTTGGGCCCCTACTATTTTTCTCCTGATCCTCCTCGTATCAGCCCTCGCATCACACCCTTACCCCAACCTTACTCTCATCATACTGGTCATTCTCGCATTCCCCTTCGCCCTCTACCTGTCGCTGCAGCAAAGCCAGTACATCTGGCCAGATCCTTTTGCTGACGAAGCATATCCATGCTCTGTTCCACCACCTGACTGATCCTGCGGACAGTCCCTTTGCCCTTAATGTCTGGACGGTAACCTATGATATGACGCATGCTGCGTCCCTCTGCCCAGTTCCCTTTTTTGATCTATGACTCGGTGCGCAGTCGTGCATGTGTACTTATACTTAGCTCCGCAGTTGCACGATCGTGCCCCTGCGCGTTTCACTTCTTATTTTGATCTTTGACTCACTTTCTTATCAGCACGTTCATGTTCACTCGTGTCTCACCTCGAACGTGCTTCCCTTTTATAGTCTTACCCTTTACCAATTGCCTCTTTTGGTAGTACGAGTTATCATCCACTAATACACTTCCTATCCTCTATATAAACTCGCTACCATGTACCATATTCCCTAACTTGAATCTACTTGGTTCTTGACCTCCTACTCTCACCAGAGGGATCCTTTCTGCCTAGCCAGCAGTCTATATTCTATCTTCTTATCTGCTCTTCGCGGATAAGTCCTTAGTCTCGATCTTTACTCATCGACTTCGTCGACGAGCAAAGCCCCTGTTAACTAGTCGGACTTCTGTCCTTCTAATTAACGACGATCTTACGATTAACCTTCGGGTGTCGTAAGCCTTGGCAGATACCGCTTATCGTCTAGCATCCGCTTGACATAAGCTACCCGATTTGGACATAGGCGTCAAATCTTACTTGCCGAAGCCTCGCCAAGTAAGACCCCTAACCTTGGGCTAGCCCAAGGACGTCCTCGACCGTTGACGACACATGCTCTGTTTGAGCGTCGTCAACAGATACCATCCAAGTCGTAACAGTAACCGTTAAGTACAGCTGTGAGGTAAATACATACATCAGTTAGTTCAATGACATAAATATATTGTGTGTACAAACTTACCAGAATGGGCCGTTATAGAATTGAGGTCGAAATGCCAATGAGCTTGACAACGACGAGCATGCTGACATTGCATGAGCACTGATGATGACAGGACCAAAGAGTTGGAGCGGTGTGGCCCAGTGTGAGCTATGGGAAAATTAATGATACAAAAGATGCTGACAGTGATAATGAGTGCATTGGTGATGAAAATGAGCTCAATGACGGTGAGGACGAGCTTGACGACAACGAGCACACTGAGCACTGATGATGATAACAAAGAGATGTAGCGGGGTGTGGGAAAAATAATAATACAAACAATGTAATACAACAAGAAAAAATTCGCATTAGGAAAATGAATCCTGATACACATAGTCAACCATAACACTGTAGGTGCTTAGATAAGTGAACAGTACTGAGTGGCCATAGCGAAGGGTTTAATATCCAACAATACACCCCAAATTCTATGATGATTGTAGCTCCGAATGCTCTTGCCACTCTGGCAAACTGATTATGAGATTGTCACACTGCTGTCACATCACGTGATGTTCGAGAATTCCGCATGACGCCTAACCTTATATGAATATGCGAGTCACGGGTTACCCGCCGTAGGTTTTTTACCCTTCATACTCAAGCATGCTCTCGAGCCATGGGTGTGGGTAAGTGTAAATGACTTTAGCGATGTACGAGAATTTTTTGCGAGCTCGCTGTTTGTAAATAACTTGTAACAGCCAGATGCGCCAGAGCTCTCGGTCACATGAAACAGAATGATTGAATCAAGCGTGACAAAAGTCACACGTCAATACAAAGTTTGATGAGACTCTAAAGTCATTTGCAACACACCTGTAAACGATCATTCGTTATTTGAGCGACTGAGTGGTACCAGATCTTCTCCCAACGCGTGTTTAAGTCGCGTGGGGTCGTCCAATCAGCTCATTTCTGCAACATCTATGGCAATGGGATCACTGCCGCCTTCAATACGCACTCCTTTTCTGCACACACCGCGCTCATCAAGATACGTTGACAAGGACATGAGACATTTGTCTCATGTCAGCGCTTCAGATGAAGTACGTCAAGATATGCCCACGAAACGTCCTTTGGCAGAAACGAGGACATGTTTGCGTCTGATAAAACCCAACTAGGAGTCGGGGACCAAGTTACCCTCCAGGTCAACTCCAGGCTTCTTCCACATCAAGTATCAACATGAATCTCGACTCCACAATGGTTTCATCTAGCGCTAGAGCAAGGCTACTTGCTAAGAATGATAACGACATTGTTATTGTAGCCGCTGTGCGGTCTGCTCTCGCCAAGGTATCATTACTGTTACGATCGAGACCCAGACATGAGGTACGACTGACTGCTCATAGGCCAGGAAAGGTGGCTTCAAAGATACTCGCCCAGAGGAGATGCTGTCCGGCGTTTTGAGAGCCGCCTATACTAGAGCCATGGTCGATCCCGCCCTTATTGGGGACATTGCTGTCGGAAACGTCCTACCTCCCGGCGGTGGCGCCAATGTTGCTCGCATGGCTGCCCTTCATGCAGGAATTCCAAACACAACTCCAATCAACACTGTGAATCGTCAATGTTCGTCTGGTCTTACAGCTGTCGATCAGATTGCAAATGAAATCATCTCTGGACAAATCGACATCGGTATTGGTAAGCAACGATCCTGTATCTTATCAATTCTTACTGAGGAGTCCTCTAGGTTCTGGAGTTGAATCCATGACGTTTGCATATGGCGGTGGATGGTTAGCCGATGGCTGGTCAGCTGAGGTTCTCACCAACCCAGAAGCAGAGGAATGTTTGCTTCCCATGGGTATGACCGCTGAGAACCTTGCCTCTGAGTTCAACATTTCTCGCGAGGTACAGGACAAGTATGCAGCTATATCTTATCAAAAGGCTGCCGCCGCCCACAAAGCCGGAAAGTTTAAGGATGAGATCGTCCCTCTGAAGGTCAAGATAACCGATCCGAAAACTGAAAAGGTTTCTGAAATTATCGTTGACGTGGACGAAGGTATTCGGGATGGTGTCACCGCAGAGACTTTGTCAAAACTTCAACCCATATTCGTGGAGAATGGTGCAACACACGCTGGTGGGTTCTTTGTGATATCCCTTTGGATTTTGCCATTTAAATGTGATACAGGAAATGCCTCGCAAGTATGCGATGGTGCAGCTGCTGTAGTCCTTGCTCGACGCTCCGTTGCCAAGCGGTTGGGTCTTCCCATTGTCGGCAAATACGTCACTTCAGCAGTCGTGGGCGTGCCACCGCGTGTTATGGGCGTTGGTCCAGCATATGCCATCCCTAAACTACTGGAGAGAACGGGACTCTCCAAGGACGATGTCGACTTCTACGAAATCAACGAAGCTTTCGCATCACAGGCTGTGTACAACATCCAGAAGCTTGGCTTGTCACTTGACAAAGTGAATGTCAATGGGGGTGCGATCGGGATCGGACACCCTCTCGGATGTAGTACGTGTCTCGTAACTTTTGCGTATCCATTATGTCTTGATGTATCTTCGTCACAGCGGGAGCACGTCAAATTGCTACTGGTCTCAACATCGCGAAACAACGTAATGAGCGAGTGTTCGTCACCAGCATGTGTTCTGGCTCAGGAATAGGCATGGCAGGTGTGCTCGTCAGCGAACACTGAAACTGTTATAATACGTAGTATTACATATTGCCTTTCGATCTCTCATGAGACCGTTTATCCGACTTGAAAGTCGCTTTCCTCAGTAGACAGACAGTAGCCATTTGGATGTACGTCTTCTGCAATTTGGATACAAAGATAATTACTAGTGCTAGCCGGCGCTACCTATGTACAGATTTCCCTTCCATACGGGTCGCCACTAACCTCTGAAACGTCAGGACGAACTTGGTGAAAGGATTCTTTCTCCCTGAGCTGTATAGGTTCAAGATTCTCCAGTAAGAATAGTTCTAAAACCAAGGAGAAACCCAAATATCAACCCGCCAGGTGAACTTTCGATGGAGAAAAGTGTCTAGGTGAGGCTCACATTAAATACCTCTCGTGTTCCCGCGCACGGACCATACTGCCCAGATGCTTATATATTGCAAATTTGTTGTTGTTTTTTTTCTTCACAGTCACCTCGAAGTTGAAGATGGCGTCTTACAGTTCGGATGATGGACGTACCACTTCGTTACTACTCACTGTCGAGCAGAAGGGTGGATGCAGGAGCTGGGCATGCCGTTTATCACTTGTTTATTGTCACTGATTGGACGGTCAATCAGCGCCTGGCACATACTTCACAAATTTATTTTTACTTGTGTTACATACTTGTGTACACTGGCTGGCCGCCTGTATAATCGAATTAAGCCGATCATGGACAAGGACCATGCTTCACCTTTTTACTCATTCTACAAAAACCTACAAGATGATCTTCAATACAACCTAACTTCGACGTTTGCTCGATCATGTCACAGAGTAACAGCGCCTACACCTTCGCGTGGTCAAGGCTACACCCGTGAGGCTGGGACCCACTAAAACTGTTCAATTCATCGCTCGCCGCTCGGATATTCGATGACCTACTTCTTCATCACAGTCCAACTCTTACTGGACTCCACCTACTCGATTTGACGCCAACAAAGGCTTCCAACTTCTATTACGAGCTTTGTTCCGTGGCTTATTATGGAGGTAATCCACGTTGATCCTGCGGCACTGGCCTCAAGTTTTTTCGGATTCCACTCGCAAGGTGACAAAACGTTGCGTACATTTTAGTCATGTCCAAGAACTGTGCAAGAAGTGAATAGTTATCACACTGTGGTCATCGAGAAGGCTCAATATCCCTGTTCGATTGTGGGCGGCGTGTAGTAAGTCATACATTTATTTTTTTCACAGTAAGATTTGAGAGATTAATTTTCTGGTCTCGTCACGTTCACGCGACCCATGCAGGGTTTGGCTTTACCATGGCACTTGATTGCAATTTGAGCACAAGACTTGCCGTTGGATGTTGGGTACTACGACAGGTTTGTCTCCATCATCTTTTAGTTTTTGCTGCGGCAGTAAATCTATGCGGTGTTTCAAGTTGTTCTTCATCATCAGCGCGCGTCATTGCTGCTGATACTGCGCACTTTGTAGTTTGGCTGACGGCAATGCTATTCTCCCGTAATCAGGCCATATGTATGGAAGACAATCGTTCCATTTTAATTATGCAGGAATGCTAAGGTACTACGTGTGCATTTTTGGCCATGATCAAGTGACGTCCTGTCATTTTGTCACTCGGAAATCTCCCCTTTTTCCAGAACGACCTGGATGTAACCGAATGGGTTGTGTGTATGCGTTCAAACATTACTACCGCTCAAACGCCTTGGATTCTTTTGCGAAAAACCTCCACGAGTAGATCGTGGCGCACGGGCTACGTGTTCAGGCCTGGATTCTGGTTATCTAACTTGTCAGCTGGTCACGACAATAACCAAATACCCTGGTTTGTCGTACGCCCAAATCTCGGCGGTCATGGGTGGGCGTGGACCTCGAAGAGATTCTGAGAGGTTAGATTAATTTGCCCTCTCTTGCGATAAGTGGGTTCCATTTTTTTGGTATTACCTTTATGGGTGATCATGGGTCCGCATTCAGGAAGACATTGGCAATGTATTCGCTCACTTTACTATACCAAGCATTCAGGGTACAAATGCTTTGGGTAGTTCCTTCCAGGGCAGGACAGGTGATGTCGAGCAAATTCGTATACCAAGCTGTCGGATTGATCGAGAGGACCTAAACATGTCCGTGGGTGCGCCTTCCAGGAATGGTCCTCTATCACTCAGCACGCACTATTCCCGTCTTCAGCCTGAGTGATATGGAGGGGAATTTCATGCACTCCTTCATGCGCACTTTCCGGATCAAATACAGATCGCCCACCCGGAGCTCCTCGCTTGTCAGGTAATTCCCGCAGCTTTTTTTGACACGCTTGCGAGAATAATTATTTAATCGATAGGCTCCCCAGTTTCAAGTTGACCGACATCACCGTCGGACTCCGTTGGTCCGAACATTGCGGCTTACACTTGCGCGGTCATATCGTGCAATTGCATAACGGAAATGGAAACATATTTATTTCCTCATCTGCGGCGATGATTCTGCTTGTCGCCATTGATTTGGACGTCACGAATGAGGTTGTTCTATTACTCGGATGCTCTCGGAGCATGGCTTCACGGTAAATGCCTATCTCACAAAGGCTTATCCAGACCGTCCTCTTATCGGCAGCAGAGACAATCCGAGCACCGACTTTAGCAGGTTCTCTGAACGTTTATTGAATGCAGGCTGGTAATGACGAAAAGCGAATGGTGGCTGGCTCGGCAGAGTGGGGCGTGGCACGCCAAGCTTTATCGCTTGAGGCGGTATACGGGTTTATGCCTACCCTGGCTGTGGCGTTATGAGCAAGAACGCCGCGAAGCCTATGTGGCCGCCGCGGAATGGCCTACCTCGGATGGAGATGATTCCTCAGCCGACGGTCGTCAGTAAAGTCGCTTTCTGTCCTTTCAATAACCGAACAGTGATTTGAAAGGCATTCCATGGACTAGCTCAGACTTCGATTAACGGAGGCACTATCAACTGGCAGGGTCGGTGATATAAATCTTAACTCTATTTTTTTTCGCATGGGCATCCGGTTATTTGAATGCCGCATAAACCCTTCATATTTTCTTCATGATGGAGCTATTTTTCTGCAGGGACTGTGGTTCGCAACTTTAAAGAAACGAACTCATGTTGCGGATATGGGGTGGTTGGAGGATGAACTGTGTGATGAAGGCAGTCCGCAGCGGTTGATCGCCGGCGACAGGATTCATGAACTGGACGACTCGTTACGCATGCTTGGAGACATCATATGTCTTAATGACGACTACTTTATCCAAATGACAACGCGAGGAGTGGCGTCGATAGCTTGCTTGCTGCGATTAGGTGATAATGTGTTTTCATTTTGATCAGGGTGTTGTTTACCTATGAATGACGTGAAAACTTGAACTTTGTCTTTCATTAGCTGATCCCCAGTTGGGTCAAGCGAAGAAACTCGCATAACGCGACGGAATGTCGTCAGATTGACGATATGGTATGATGAACGTGTGTATTCGGTTTATCACCGTACAGCAAGTTACTATAGTGCATGAACAATTGAATACATCCGGGCCGATCGGAGAATTAACTGAATGCAAATCAGCTGCGCTGGTCGTGAAGGAGATAAAGTAGCGAGGCAACTCTGCGAGTTCTGTTTGATGGCCCATGCTGTTTCTGCGCGCTTTACACGAGGTGAAATTACCATCCACACTGACATGGAATTGGCACAGACTCAACCACTTTCATCGAGGCTAATTGGGCCCAGGGGCTGTGGAACACGTGCAGTTTTACAAGGGAGGGTTGATTGCTACATTTGCGGCGTTAAGGCACATGCAGCCAGTGAACCTGGTTTGACGAGCGAATAGAAAAGGTGGATGGGAGGCTTCTCATTGGAGTATCTCCTTAAGCGAAGTCGTACACATGCTGTCAGCAATATGATGTCAATAGGGACGGGACGATCTGCAGTCAAGGCAAAAGCGGCGTTAGGTGTTTGCTTGTTCGTATTTACGTCGTTAACGTCTGTGGGGAAAGTTTTGCCCCACGACACCGCAGCAATTGTTTTCTGTAACGAGAATAGAATATCCTGATGGAAACCTACTAGCGTCGGGAGTATGATGACGGAGATTACGGAAGAGGCGCTCTGGAGTTAGCGGGTTGAAATTGTCCGGTCGGCTTCCTGTTGGCTTCCTGTTAAATTGATAGGCTTTGGCGGAAAATGAGATGATGCGAGGGAGGATAATAATATCACTGTGGCAGGAATCTCACTGAGACATTCTAAACACGACGAAGTACTAGTTACCATGAGAATGACCACACGTCAACTGTAAATAGCTATTAGCAAGTAGTACGCGATTCGGTCAATAAGCCACGCATTCGAAGACATGGGTCTTTTTTGAAACGCGAGGGAAAAGTGTTAGGAACTATAGGTTGCGGTATCGATGGTGTCCAACTTACGATACACACGATGGTAAGCGTTCATTCGGATATTATGCAAGAGGAGCGATTGTTACCAAATGTAAGTTATGGGCGCAAAATGATGGCCCAAGGATGAGAGGTTTGAACCTCTAGCCTCGTGTATGACGCACCTGTTGCCAAATATGAGGTATCATGTGGGTAACCGCGAGGCAGTCAGCGGACGAAGATATGATTGTCGGATTGATAAGAGATGGGTGGGGGGGTGATCCGGTGGACGAGGGCAAGTGAGAACGGACATGAAAGAGGTGTAGTCCGGACATAGGCGGACACGCGGGAAGAACCGAAATCAAAATGCACTAAAGCTTAATTCCACACTGTCAGTAGCAAATCACCGGAAGTGAATTTGTGCCTTGTAGTTAGTCGTTATCTTCAAAGGTTCCGGGACTAAGCCAAGGTCAGTGGACCGGTTAACAGCCGAGGATATCGGAGACTAGCGGACAAGGTTTGTTGGAGTTTGTTGGTTACGAACCTGAGCAGCTCAGCGATCACAGGCTACACACCGATCGTTTGGCGCAAGTCTTCAAACACCCAAGATTATATAACAGAACAGCCACTTTTAGTCAAGCTTTAAAATCATTCTCCCTCTTCTTTCCGGTTCGTATTAAATGCCCTGTCGATCTCCCCCACTCATTCTGTCCTAAAAATCATGGACACCAATAGGCAACTACCAGAACCACCCCCCCCTCCACGTTTAATGGCCTCCTCCAATTCCCCACAATCCCGTCCTATCGCTCCATACCAGCAACAATCCCTACCTTCTATTCGTCAACTCCACCCCTATCTTCCTCCTTCCGGCATGGCTCAACAACATTTGCCCCCTACCGACCCGACTACTTACACTTATCCACTCCCAACCTCTTATTCAGCCCCGGCTGGCTCCTCCGAAATTCTTCAACCTCCCTCACAACATGCCCTGTACGGTCGTGCCGAAATCTTGGACTCTGAGCCCGAAGGTGAGGTAGAGCAACAAGGTCCTGCTAAAAAGAAAAGGCGAAGACAAGCTCTGAGCTGTAATGGTAAGCTTTATTTATTTTCATTTAAAAATTATATTGCTCATCGTTATCGATCCATCTTACTCTTTTTATCCACATCACGCGATCTCTAAAGAATGCAAACGAAGAAAGATTAAATGCGACAGGTTCGCCTTCGTAATGTCCCCATGTCCCCGTGCTCGTTTGACTTCACATTTACAGAGCTCAGCCCTGTGGACCATGTACTAGACGTGGCGAACAGTCAAAATGTCAATGGCGAACTTTAGAGCCGGTGTAAGCTCCATCTTGCCTCTTCACAAACTCCTCCCCTTATAAATGTCTCAGGGACAAATACGTCCTTCGCACTGATTTTGATGAACTCAAAACCAGGTCCAAGGCCGAATACGACGAATTGAAGGCTAGACTTGATCACCTTGAATCCGTGGTCGCGCGTCTTTTCCCCCCACCCGGCGGCCCTGCCAACGTGCCCATGTATTCAATCCCTGCTGATATTTCAGGGGCGTCGTCAACGGACAACGTAACTTCATACCACTCAACCCATTCGTCCGCGGGACAACCATTATACGTTCCTTCGTCATCTTCTTTCACTCAAGACCCGACAAAATCACAATCTTACGCCGGCTCTTCCTCACCTCATATTGCGGGGTCTGGAATTGGTCACGGACCTTCCATTTCATCCCCCTCGAACACAGTCTCACAAAGTGCAGGCCCATCTCATCTCCGCCATCCCTCGGATGCCAAATCACCCACTATTGTCAGACAGTCTCCGCTTTCTTTAGCTTCCATCACATCTCCTTACAATGCTGACACTCAGCCAAAAAACTTCCACGCGCAGACGTTCAGAATACTGGGCGAGCGTCTGCGCCCGGTTCTAAAAAGTTGGAAAGGCCCAGTGGAACTTCTTTGCGCCATCCTCAAGCGATGGAACATGCTGCGATGCCCGGCTCAGCAGGCGTTACAATGGAAGGCCCGTCGATGTCACCAGGGTCGCACCATCTATCGTCATCGAGACGTTATGGTGATCCTTCCATAGGGCGGGAAGGGGGGGATAACAGAGACCGAAGGCAAGGTCCTGTAGAGCGATAGACTCTTCCGGCATTTCGTCGGCTCATAGGTTAATTCTGATCATCATTGGTGGCATTCAGTTCTATTCATTTTGCTCACACTCCACACCACGCGTCAACCTTGTATGAGAAATACCTTCCGCAGATTCCATTCCCGGTACGCCGGACATGACTTTTTCGCTTTAATTTGGCGATCGCATACCCCACCAGCCTCGTTTTTTCTGAGCATCTTTCACGACACAATTACGAGATCTTGTATTCTAGTAATACCACGAGTCTACTAAGCCTATCATAAACATGTCAGTAAATCTTTCTAGCGCAGATCACGGTGATTGCATATAGTATTTTCGAAACTGGTGCAGGGCGCGATTATCTTAATCCCAAACTAACTTTCCCCGGCTATCCACGGTAGCTTGCATGCCACCGCTAGTTTGCTTGCCCCCTCCGTGGCGTGATTGATTGATGATCTGCTGACGCTCTAAAGCACGCTTACGTTCGGCGAGTTTCGCCTGTCGCTCTACCTCTGCGTCGGCTTTCGCCTCTTTCAGCATCTGATTTCTTTTCGCATTCTGTCGTTGTTTCTTGGTTAACGCCCCTGGAGCTTGCTGTACAACTTGCAAAGGCGTGGTCGAGGGTCGTGACACTTCTACAGCCAGTGTTAGGTTCATAATGAAGTTAAAAAAAAGCAGGAATAAATTACTTGAGCGACCCTTGCCCTTGACCGTGCCCCATTGGTTATCGTCCTCCGCGTCTGCGTTATTTACCGTGCCACTGCTGGCATGCACATCCTCATCTATATCCACATCCTCGTAATCCTTCCAAGAAAATCCAGGCGCCGGCATTTCATCGGCCCGGGGCTGGACACGCATCACACGCGCTAAATTAGGATAACTCGGGCGCTCAAGCATGCTTCACGAATAACATCACGAGGTGGACCAATCAGCACATGGTGATGAAAGAACCAACGTCTGACTTACTCATCGACGGCTGTTTTCCTAGGTTTAGGCAAAAGCCTTTCAGCTAGCGTCCGGGGCTTATCTCCAGGAGTACCTGCGTCTAGACTAGCAGATTCATCCTCATCCGTACATTCGGCAATTCCAGAATGGCCGGTTGATGGACCCACGTCACTGCTGGTCATATCCGTTGTTATCGCAAGTATTTGATTGTCTGATCTAGCGGTCTTAGCGCCTCGTGCTGTCTGACGGGTGTCTATCCGCATCCATGAAGAATCAGTATCAAATGACGGAGAAGAAGACCGTATTTGAGACGTGCGCAGTTCCTGGTCCTGTTTGGGAGAAGAGACTTTGCTAGGCATGTCAATGGATGCTTTGGGAACATCACCGTCTGACTGCGCTGCCAAGGAAGATGACAGTCGTTCATGTGCAATTTCAGCTGTCCCCACTACTTTCTGCTTCTGCTTCTCCTTCTTCGTCTTCGTCTTCGCTTTCGTCTTCTTGTTCCTTTTCACCTGTACAGTTTGGTCGTCCGAGCTCGAGAGTACGGCATCAAATTCGCCGGGAATAACATGCGGAAATGGAACGACAGTAGGTTCAGGCACAGGATTGCCATGCGCAGGCGTTGCGGTGGCGGTGGGGTTACTAGTGGCGGTGGTGGCGGTGGAGGTCACAGTGTTGCTGACGGACTTCTCAGACGGGTTTGAGACGCCGGCATGTTTCGGTGTTTGTTTCTTCTTCTTGCTTTTCGTGCCTTTTTTACTAGCGGTTGGGCGTTCAGAGGTAGTACTAGTACTAGGCGCGCCAGGGTTGGAGTGTGTGAGGTAGCGATACGTTGCAGCTCCTGCGATGCCAGCTATGATGGCCCATTGGAGCGATGTATGGCTGAGCGTCGAACCCATAGTTAAAAGAGTAGGGCGTCGAGAAGAACGAATGCAACAATTGGATGCCCGCTTGAGAGTGAGCTAGAGGCCATGTGACATTGACGTACGTCGCGTCCGCGTCAATAGCTGTCAACAACGCGTTGTCATGCGCTCGCGAAATCAGCGCGCCCATTGTCTGAAAAGGAAATCGATACAATAGCGGGGGACACTATGCAATTGAATCGTTTTTTTTTTTTCGAAACTCACTGTGACAGTTATGAAATTAATGGCGGTTACAGGGCTCCAGTGGTGTCACTGTCGTACGCAGAAACCCCTTGATTGTTTGGCATTATCTGTGGGAGCAATTCATCATATTGTTTTCTGATTCTAGAGATTGTCTGTGGGTGTGAACGATGTGCCTAGCGTCGCTGTTGCATTCTTGGTCATAGGCGCGAGAGAGATTGAGGGTCATTGATGACAATCAACATCGTTTAAATTGAACAAATATACAGACAACAGGGTATTGCTACTACGAAACAAGGAACGTTGAACGACCTCCAGACCTATTATAATTAGCTCAATTAAATTAGAACTATTACATAGCAGATGTGTCGTTGGGTATCATATCGGTGCATCGTGAAAGCTCAGAGTAGCCTGAAAAACGTAAATTATCTGACTCAAGTTCAGCACCACCACCGAGGTGGAGCGTTCCTCCCGCTTGCGCACTGCGCTCGAGGAGATCATCCCAAATCTTAGCCTTCTCGCACTCTGTGAGAGGCGGACGGCGGGGAGTATTGAGTTCGCGGTAGTTAACGGCAGACCGGAGCTGCGAGGACGATGAGTCTTTGGACGTGGAAGTCGATGACCTTGACCGTGTCCGCATCTTAGTAGTAGATGCGTCGCTGAGGGCACTAGGCGCCCGCAGAGATATTCGTGAGTTTGATCCTTCAGTAGTAGCAGTAGTAAATGTGGATCGGGAATGAGAATGTTCGCTCCCTGAGGACCTGCTTGAGCGCGCCGCGTCTCGAGCAAGTCGTGGTGGTGGAGAAAGTGAGGTATTTCCATCGGGAAGTAAATGAGCGTGTGCGGGTGTAGACGGCTTCTCGCCAAGCCTGCGAGTTCTGAGAGACGTTAATGAATGAATGGAGTTCGTGATCGGGGATGTATGGATACGTGACCAGGTTTCCTGGTGCTGATCGTCAGCCTTGCCTTCTGCAGTCGGCGTGGCTCGCCCAGAAGGGCTTCGAACGCTAGAATGGCTTCCATCGCTAGAATTGCTGGGCCTGCCAGAATGCGACATCGAGCCCTGCACTTCTGTGTAATCATCCAAAATGTGGTGGAGCTCCCGTGGGGAGACAATATGACGATCCCCCATGCTGGAAAAACCCGGCATAGTCTCTTCTCCATATGAGGACACAGACGATCCCCTCGAGTGTGACATATGAAAGAAACTTGCCGAAGCCATTTCGGATGAATTAGGAGAAGACGAGGAAGTTGCCATACTCGGCCGTGGGCCTGAGCCAACAATACTCCTTGGCATAGATGCGCTGTAAGATTTTTGTGACATAGCCTGCGCGTCTCTTTGCACGGTCTGGGACCGGGGAGGAGTGTCGAGTAGTTCTTTTGGAATGGCAGGAACAGGTGGTGCTGCCGTATCAACATGGAAGCGCTCGCGAAGCCCGCCCGTGCTGATCCGCTTCATGAGCTTCCAAATCTTAGAACCCTCCGACTTGCCCTGGAGGTCGGTCGATGAGCGGACGTGCCCCTTAGCAGGCTCTCCTTCATTTTTAAACTGTCCGCGGTCTTTAAGACAGTAGAAAGAGCGGCTGTCTTGTAAACTTGATCGGCTATTTAAAGGGTCACGCGAGGGAGACTCGTCAGCCTTAACGCCTCCTCCCGTTGTTTTCTTCCATTTACTCGACATTCTTCTCGAGAGACTTCCCTTCCTCGTAAGACTTCTACTCGGCTCAGAGTGGTGCGTTTGGGGCGTCTGTTCGGCAAGGAGATGAGCGTGCAACGACCAATTCCTGTTATCCTCCGGCCCTCCGGCAGTGATCCTGAATTCGGACTGCGTGCCATAGACAGTATAGTATGGGACTGGAGAAGGCGATCGAAGGTCAACTTCAGAAGGTCCTTCGATGTGATGCACAGATGATCTGTCGTGTCGTTGCTTGTGTGGCTGAGCAACAGGATTTGCAGGTGTCAACGAGGGTTCTTGGGACACAGAACCATGGACAGAATGTGAGGGGGAAGCAGATGTCAATTTCTGTTTTATTTCCAGGTCTCGTTGCATTCTTTCTTTGGCCTTTGCAGACGGCTTCCTACGAAGAACATTCCGCTGCTTATGGACCTTCCCCTGTGTAGGCATGGAATTGGTAGACAAGGAATGGGAGCCTTGGCTTATGGATGGTGGGCCGGTGAAAGAGGAATTGATTGCGCTCGCAGGATGCTCCGGATGCGAGCATCCAGGGAATAGTGAGCCATCGAGTTCAGGGTGATGAGGTCTGGACTTGGGAGGGGTTGGGAGTCGTGTAGGTGAGGAGAGGCCTGAGTCTGACTGTGGCGATGGACGGGTAGGGGACGGGAGTGCAGGTTTGCTGAGGAGGAACTTGATGCCCATAGCAACAGGGGATTCGGGGGTCTCCAGGGTAGCGAGACTTGGTGAATTGGGCACGGTACGAGGACGGGGAGAAGATGGATATTTAGACGCACGTTTGTGAGTGCCACCGTGTATAGGGAGAAGATCAGACTCAGTATTGGATCTAGAGCGACCGCTTAGAGCCTGGGATGAAGGGATACCGAAACGTGAATGTGACGTTGCAGGCACCCTGCTATCTTGGAATACTGAGCGAGGATCAACGGTAGCGCTGGCAGATTCGGATGTGAATGATGATCGTGAGTCTGTAAAGCGGCTGCTGCTGGCATGTGCGGAGGACGGGGACGTGACTGGACTAGAGTGGGGACTAGGATTGTGGAAAGATGCAAAGGAGGAAACGATGCGATCTGGGGTATTGTGAGAGACGTAAGGGTGTCGTGAGCCTGACCTGCGCAAAGAGTGTGGAGGAGTACTTGGTTGGGTGGAGGATGAGATGGGTGCCGGGAGAGGATCGTGGACGTGCGGGTGGCCGAGTTGATAGGAAGAGTGAGAAACTGCGCGCTTTCGTGGAGGTGAGTTGATAGGGAGCATGATAGATGCGTAAAATGGAGTAAAGCGATCAAGATCTGTTACTAGACAAACCTAGACATATATATAAAGATCAAAAGCGGCGGCTGGAAGTCCAAAGGAATACGCACATGATGATATGGGAAGAGAGTGAGCAGTTAGACGCCTGAATGAAAGTACGCGAAGCTAGAATTAGGTCACGGGAGAGCGATCCGTAGGCCCAGGAGAAACAAGGAGTGTGATTTAAGAATGTGGGAAAAGCAAAAGGTCAGTGCTATACTTGCGTTCAACGTTATTATGATCCAAGGTATAGCCAGCTTCAATCAGCCTCATCAAATCTTCCATCGACCCTCATGGATTTATCTTCAGATCGTACCATGGCTCACGCTCTCCCACGCTCAGACCATGATGAAACAGTACTAGTAACACTGCGCATTCACTAGTATATTTGTGCCCTAGCTTCGTATCCAAGTCCAATTGCATCGCCATTGCTTATAATCTCAATTATTCGTTTCATCTCCTTACACTCCCCCTTCATCATCATGGTTCGTATCGACGTCTCCCCCAATGACCCTGCAGAGGAACAACCCACAATCGGTTTGATCGGAATGGGCGCTATGGGCGCTATGTACGCGAAACATCTCTCAAAAGCAGGCTGGAAAAAGTCCTTTCATTTACTTGTCATCATTTCTCCATCTCATCGATATCTATAGAATCAGCGTCTGTGACATTCCCGATAAATTCGAATCCTTGAAACTTCAATACGCAGACGTTCCTGGCATAACAGTACATCGGGATGGACACGCGGTTTCTAGAATCTCAGACTTCATAATGTACTCCGTGGAGGCCGAGTACATCGACCGTGTCGTCTCACAGTATGGCCCTTGTACGTCTTCCCATACACCTAAATTATATCCTCCTCCTAACCTCGTGGGAACTCATACATAGCAACTAAAGTCGGAGCAATCGTCTCTGGCCAAACCTCTGTCAAAACGCCCGAGAAAGATGCATTTGAAAAGTATCTCCCTCCAGACGTCCATATCGTGTCCCTTCATTCTCTCCACGGCCCTTCTGTTTCCCCAGAAGGACAACCCCTGGTAATTTCTCTTCCGCTTACCTTATCGTCAATGACTCCTCATCATCTTATCTTTGACAGGTTCTCATACAGCACCGCGCTCCAGACTCCTCTCTTCACCTAGTCGAAAACATATTCCGCTGCTTCGGTTCACGCTTCGTATATCTCACATACGAAGACCACGACCTCGTTACCGCCAATGTACAGGCGGTCACACACGCTGCCTTCCTCACGTACGAGTGATCATTCCGCTAATCTTCTATCACTTCACTTCTAACTCACACCACAGCATGGGCACAGCCTGGGCCAGCCAGCGCGCATATCCCTGGGAACAGGGCCAATACGTCGGAGGAATTGAAACTGTCAAAGTAAACATCATGCTCCGCATTTACGCGAACAAGTGGCACGTTTATGCAGGCCTCGCCATTCTCAACCCCTCCGCCCGCATTCAGATCGAACAATACGCTTCCTCTGCGTCAGACATCTTCAAGCTCATGCTCGCAGGTGATGAACAAGGCCTCCGCACCCGTATCTACAATGCACGCGAACAAGTATTCGGCACAGTCAACGCAGAGCGCGCACCAATATTCCTAACTGAAGATGTCCTCGATCAGTTCACCATCGGCGGTAATCCAAAGCTCAACGGTAGTCCAAGACTTAACGGCAGTCCAACACCCTCATCCGCACCCCCATCAAACTCCCACCTCTCACTCCTTGCCATGGTCGACAGCTGGGCCCACCTCCACATTCAGTCTTTCGACCATCTCGACCTCGCAGCGACCCCCATATTTAGGTTATGGATCGGTGTCGCAGAATACCTCTTTCGTTCTACCACTCGGCTGGACTCTGCTATTCATTCAGCCGTGTACGATGTCACCCATCGCTCAGACGATCTGGAATTCGTCATCGCCGCACGTGGCTGGAGTCAGTGTGTGTCCTTTGGGAACATGGAGTTGTATAAACGCCGCTTCTCGGAAACAGCGTCGTTCTTCGAGAGCAGGTTTGAGGAGGCGAGCGCAATTGGTTCAGAGATGATCAAGGCTGTTTCAAAGAGTTAGGGTTAAGGATTCTGATTGGGAGATCATTTTTATGTACTTTTTATTTAATTATACTTGCGTTTCACTATGTCAGTGTATACTTGACCGTCCAATCTGGGGTATCGAGTGAAGAAAGTGAACGTTGAGGATTTTTTGAGCAAATCCTCTGATTCTCCGTGTAGCAGCAACCTAGGTGAAAAGCTTTCCCCCCTGAATCCGAATACTCAAAGTGTGATTGGAACCACGGGTCGCGCTGCATATTATGCCATCCTGGAAGTTAGGGTATTTTCTGTCACGATAAGCTGCAAAAGTGTTGTACTCGCCGTTAACATCTGCTTCACAATATTAATAGACGCCCTGGACGCCGTGATGTTCACAGAATGCTCCTGTCGTCATATGTACCTCAGAGCTACCCCGAGGGCCTAATTGTGCCGCCGCAGTTTTTCGGATTGATAATGCTCCGCGGATCGTGCAACCATGACTTCTAAGACTACCATTTTGAAGTGTACATCGGTGTTGCGACCATGTCGAAGCTACATACCAGTAATCGAGTCCCAAGCTGACCCCTCGACAATGATGCAGACGGATGTAATTGGAGGCAATTAGAGAGGGTACTTTTCATATCTGCATGTCTTCGAGTTCATGAGGAATACATGCAATCATGTGCATTCAAGACGAGCGTGCTCACTAGGGTACCGACGAAAAGTCGGTTGTTAATAACATGTTATTAACAGGCACACGGCCATGGGGTGGTGACATGGTGCTAATAAGTCTGTCGACCCCCATAGTCTTGGTGGGTCGCATTCTAATCTTCCGCCGTTGCAGGCTATACTGTCAGATTGAAGCTTAAAGGTATGTGATAAGACACACACCTTGATGCACAATGTGTCTAGTTCCTTGATGTCTGTAACTTGATGCTTCATGTCTGTAGCTTGATGCTTCATGAAGCATCAAGCTACAGACATCAGGAACAATGCACCTCAGGCATTATTTCTCGGTATCAATATAGACCTTTGAGGTAGGGTTTTTATGTTGTGGGAAACTTACCTCTGAGGTGCGCCCTCCCACCGTTCTATTAATAACATGCCTCGTTCATTTCATCCAGCACCTCCTGGCGTGGCTTGCATGGTGCTCGTGCTGCCTGAAACTACCCTCCTTTCATTATTGCACACCTCCAGCGATCCTCGCTTGCCTCGAGCAGGGTGATCTCTATATGCTCTTGGGGCTCTCGCGTCACAGGAATCAGAGCCTCTCATGTCTATATTGTCTGCTAAGTGTCACGAGTACCTTTAACAAACCATTATTCTTTCTTGAATCTTCCTAAGCGTCAATACACAGCACCTAAGTCAAACCCTAACCCCACCTTGAAAGCGTCTATCATTCCCGAAATACCTTTAGCGCCCACGACACGTGTCTTTGATGTGACAGATGAAGAAGATGAGTTCTTTGATTGTGAATAGATTAGATACGATAAGATAAGATATGGTCACATGATACTTCTTTAATATTCTACGATGTTCTATGGTACGATTCCCTTTCTCTTTTTATGATTGGCTAGTAGTTATAACTCAGTTTCAATCTCCGTTTCAATAGTTGGATATAGGTAACATGTCTTGGTCGATAGTTCCTTAGTTCAAACCTCTTGTATCTACATTGTAGCAATCCAAGACGTACTTGCTCCTTTCTCTCTTGTCCAATAACCTTAGTCAAGTCCTAGTCTCTGCCCAAGCGTTAATTCGTTATTTGGGTTGTGACACTAAGTTTGAGGAGTTAGTGAGTCATAATTTTCCCTCACACTCTCCCTTTCACCATGGTCTCAACCAGTGCTCATGCTCCTACTCATGGAGCTCAATGTGTGTCTTCTGGACTAGACCACCACTTTGTTAGCCCGAAGAAACCTAGAGACAAGAAAAAAAACTCAGAAACATGTCGAGTTACCTGGCGCACAAGCCAAACACTGTCAACTGCTAGTTCATATGCAGCAACTGATGAACCCTGAGCCTAAACAGGGTGAAGTTCATGCTGTAGATGCAGTTGAAACTATCTCTGACACCAGCCAGACTGACACTTTTGCTGAAATTCCTGATCCAGACTTTGAAATCCCATCAGAACCTCCTTCCGACATACTTGTAGAAAAATCTCCAGTCAAACACCGCATTTTGCCTGACAAGGCTACTGATTTGTTGTATAGCAGCTGGAAAACACTAATACCCTTCCTTATTGAACCTCATCTCAAATATTTGGCACGAACGCTAGTGACAGCACTGGAGATCACCCCCAGGGTTATCTCTGCATGTGCAACACTTTTGTGCCCTCAAAAGCGAACACCAATCACGTGTTTATTCTTTGACAGTAGGTTTCTTATCTACGACTTTATACCATGTTGACAAATGAACACCATTCAGGATTTATGTCTATCAATGTCCTCAGTTGTAGATGCTCCACACTTCCACAAGTCCTCCTTCACCATGGTCTATTTCCAACCGCTCCCTCACAACCTCATATGGCTGTCTCAATCAAACTTCTATCATTTTATCGGGCACTTTTTGAACGGTCCTGTGATGCCATCAATGCCTTAGTGTCGGCTCTAAAAATGCACTATTCTCGCAGAGGTTTTGTCATGACAGACACCCGAGTAAGTTATTCATGATGAGCCATATGTTTAAACTGATTAGTTGCACTAGGGGGAAATTATTCAGGATCCTTTTCGTCGAGGCCTGGGCTATGCCATACAATGGTACAACATTCTTCAAGTCCAAATTGAACGTCAAGTCGAAGAAGCCCTGCAGAATAGCCATGACCGGGTGGCTACCCTTTGTCCTCAAACAGAGGATCATGTCTCAACCTCATCACCTTTGTCTACCCTACATAGAGGCCGCTGCGCATCCATACTCATTCAACGGTGTCCTGCATGTTTTGGAGGGACGATGTTTGGGAAACCTACTGCTGATGGAGGAGATATTCACACTGCCACAGATGGCAACTTCTACCACCACCATTGGCGTGTGGCAGGGGATTGCTCCCACTTTCATGACCCCACTTATTTCCTTCCAAAACAATTCGTTGATGATGTCGGCCGCCGCATAGAGGCTCAACATAAGAGGCCTGCCAAGTCGGCTGTACCCCTCGTTCCTGATGAGGCTATTGACCAATGTGAAACTGCATATGAAGCAGCCGATGGGAAAAAACAGAAGGCGGCAATGGATAGCTTTGATGATACTGGCATCATGGCACTCATATGTCATCATGATATCCCTCTTTTTTTTGCTAATATCGACTCTCCGGGATAACAGCAGAAATATTTGGTGGCCCTCCTCAAACATTTGTTCTCATTGATCCCACCTTATGCTACAGTTGTAGCTTTGTATGATGTCAGGTGTGTTCTTGCCCGATCCCTTAGCAAGGTAAGTTCATCTGGTCTCCATTTAGGTTCATCCACTCATCATATTTAGTATGACATTCTCCCTGGCAGTATTGTCTCACGTTTGCACTTTGCAACCACTGCCATGCATGCCTATGGGCATGAGTGGGCATGCCAGCTAGTGTACAATCCATGCATGTGCATTGGGCTGGGTCTTTCAGATGGAGAAGGAACCGAGAGGCTCTGGTCTCGCTTGGTGCACCTAATTGGTGTTGAGAGATCGCCATTGGTACGCCTTCTTCATTCTTGTCATTGATTCAAGTCTTATTGCATAATGTCAGTGTCAGCGCCGTCTCTGGCTGATCGACCATCAGGCAGCAGCTATAGGATCTGAAATGCAAAGTGACTTAGGTGATTGGATTCGACGACGCCTCAAGCGTGGTGTTCATGACCAGGGAACTGCTGCCCAAGAGGTGCTTGATCAATGCGAACTTTCTGTCGATGATCTCAAGTCAGAATGGTCTCAGCAATGATGCTCGCAGCTCTCAGTCTGCACATGTAAGTGTTTTTAGTTGATATTGAATACGATACAAGTTACACTTGTTCATAGATGCCCCTGCTTGCCTTAAAAAGGAGTTAGACACTGTATTGACCCTACAGGCCGACCTTGATACCTCCAATACAGCACTACAATCCACCAGGCTAATGCTCAAGAAAGGAACTGCCTCTCAAGACACTCTGGAGGCTCTGGAGGCTCTTGAGAGAGGTCACGATCGTCTTATGGCCAAAGTTGAAGTTTTATATGTATCCCTCAATATTCATGATCAATTCCCTGAACTAGAAGGCATCAATTTGGACTTCATTTGGCTTCTTCTAATGGCGCATGACTTGAAAATGAACATCCGCAAAAGGGCAATCACAAGCTTTTTTGAGTGGGATAAGCTAGACCATGCAGTTGGCGGTGCTCAGCAGGTGTTAGGTCAATCATCCATACCTGTGATTTGCTATCAACTGATAGTCGTTTAGGCACAAAACTACATCAACAAACCCGCAAAGCTATTGCGAAGTGCCAACCCGCTCTGCTGACAGCACTCAGGAAGTTTAATGCTTACTGTGAGCGCTTAGAAGTGTTATATGACCCTTCTTGGGGGATTCCTTTACCTAATCCTCTCCCGACCAAGCTTGCAGAGCTGCGTAGTGATCCCAGTCTAATGGAAGACATGTGGATTATGCCATTGACAGGACAAGTTCCTTGGTGGTTAGAAGATGCTGATGTCAGAGACGGCATCCATGCACTTCTGAAATGAGAGCACTGCCGAGAAGAACAGAAGCAACTCGGTATCGAGGCCGACAATCTATGTCATTTCTTTGGGGAAGAACTTGCTGCACTCAAGCTTGCACTTCGCACACCAGGATCTAGGTTTCTTATTATTGCACAAATTGTTTTTAATGCATAGATAGGTGAAGTTATATCTGTCTTACTGAGGCAGCACCACAATCAATTACCCAGACTTCAAACCCACTGGGCAAACCCATTAGCCTCTTCGCTTCGCTTCATATCCCATGCCAAGGATGCACTGGAGATTGCCATCACCCTTTCAGGTGGTGTCCAATCACCAAACGTGCACTGGTTCAGCACTACGTTACTGGAAGTACCTGATCCTGAGGGAGAACTCAATGATGTCAAGTTTGCTGAGCCTCTTGACCTGCCAGTAGTTGAATTTGAACATGCCACTCTCGCTGATGTTATAGAGGATGATTTGGGTCGAGAGGAGGTTTGAGACTTCAATTCAATGGATCATGTCAATGACGCTCATGCTGTCATCTTGTGGGAGGTTCGTGAGGTGCGCCAGTCCTTTAGGAATCATTTGAATGTTAACTAGGTTTTAGGCTGTGCTGATAGATGACTCCTACGTCCCATGTAAGGAGGAGCATGTCATCATTCCAGGGACAGTTACCAGAAGATGACTACCTTCACGAGATGGATACCCTCATCAAATTTTCAAGCTGAAGGACATCACCTTGCTTACCTCACCCACAGCACTCCTTAATGATACTTGTATCAATGGGTGCACCATTTTGCTATTTTCTGAACTGAAAAGTGTTGCTACTAGTCATTGCACTTTGTTAACAACCCACAACCTCCCTCGCATTCAATATAATGCATCAGACAACATTCTCTGGTGTAATGTATCATACACACATTACTGGCAGAAAGATGTCTGGATTCTTCCTATCCATCGTCCCTCCAATATTGGTCATTGGGTGCTGTGCATTATTCGCTTCTCCAGCAAAGAATTACACCTCTTTGATAGTCTGGCTGAGAAAAAAACTTGGAAAACCGATGTTAAGGTAAGTTTACTTGTGTTGATGATTTCGCATGAGGCTTATGTACTCCAAGGATGTCATGAAGCTGATTGCTCATCTCCTTGCTATTGCACGCCAATGGCATCATCACATCACAACTGAACTTGATGGATGGACAGCATGACCATTGAAAGTTAGTAACACTTTGAGTCTTTGGGTACATGCATCTAAACATTCTTATGAGATTACACCTGTCCAGACCAATGGTTATGACTGTGGAGTATGGGTATTGGCAGCAATTGCTGCTGTCTTATGAGAACGTCATGTAACAGGACTCTGTGAGGATGATATGCACCACCTGTGGCATTATCTACGAGCTCTCATTCTTTCTGTACCATGCCTCTAGATCATCAATATCACATAGATATCTACTTGTATGGATTCAGTCCATGAATTATTAAGTCTGCCTCCTGACGATAGTTGAAGATTTTCCTTGCCTGCCACTGCACATAACACTTCGCCATCACCCTATGTCTTTCACAACTTTGCATGTGCAATACATACTTATTGAGCTCATTCCATTTATCCAACAGTATCCTTTCTGCCGCCTGAATGTCCTGCAGGATGACTTCCACATTTGCTATTGTAAATATTTGAGCATAACGTGTGCAGGACTCTTTCTCCAAACGATACTGTCTGCCATGCATGATGTCTGCAAGATTGCGAGTAAAGCGATCTTCATCTGGTAAGTTTGGAGGAGGAGGGGAATCATATGGTGGTGGTTTCTCTCACTGGAGTACATCAGACTCGTCGCTCAACTCCGATCCAGAGCATGCTTGATGAAACAGAGATGAGTTGGGGAGGGGAAGCACTGTCAGTGTGATGAGAGACTGAGGGAGTGGTTTAGCATTGCTGAGGGATCCAGTAGTAGTCCTCTTCTGTCCATGGAGTTTGGCCTTAGCACGAGCATTTTGAATCTGTTGAGCAGCCTTTCCCCTGCAGTTTGTTAAACAATCAGCACAGAAAGATAGGTAGAGGGAGTCACCATTCTGTCCTTGAGTATGAAGCTTTCTGTTTGCGTAAGACAGCGTTCTTTTCCTCCAGTGTGAAGTATTTAGCTCTGTGACCCATTGATGTTCAGTGTAATAAAGCAATGTGAAGTACTTACAGCATTGCACATTAAATGCTACTGGTGGTAGTGCAGCATCTTCCATCGCCCATACTCTTGCTTTGCCTATACCACAATGACAGGGCACTCCATGGGAGTCATTTGAGCTCATTTCAGACTGATGTTGGAGCACTACAAGGTGTTGTATTTGTCTTGCAATTGTAGTATGAACTGTTTCCTGCAATGTGATTGGTTGTATTTTCTCCCAGAGGCTCCAGAGGCTCAATCTTGTAGCCTCAACACTTCACCCTTAACATCCAAGTCACCCTCGTGAGCCTCTAAGTGTCAGTATTGCCTTCATTACAGCATGTGCCACTGTGTTGGTTAATTGTTCTGATGCGCATCTCTTCTTTCGTATGCTAAACCAAAGTAAGTAGTATGATACATTTAAGGATTGTGATTGGTTGTAAATTTCCTACTCGCCTCAGGCTACAGACCATCCAGACCCTCTGCACCAAAACTCATCGTGGTACCTCACCATCTCAAGCCATCATCTGCAAGCCTCCTAACATTACAGCATAGCAAGTGTGACCCTCTGTTACAGCATAGGTGAGTCCTGATTTCAAATGTCCGCTGCTAATATTCTGACTTTAGTATAGTATACATCTCAATGGAATCATTCCATGCTAATGGAGGGTATACCCGGGGGTGTCATTAAATTAGTACTATGAAAACAGCAATTGTAGCTACCCTAACTGTATTTGGTCCCATCCTTCCTCAAGTTCTAGCTCCTCATCACCTACAACATCCGCGAGGTTGCTAACAGCTAAAATGTCTTCGTTCTTCACCAGACCCAGCCGGCTCCAGTAACTCAAGCACAAGAGGGCGCGAGTGGACTGCATATTTAAGCGAGAATGGACATGCGACAGGACGAGGCAGCTACAGCTGAAGAGCTGTTCAACATCCACTGAAGTAGCTGTGATCAATGTTAGAAATCATTTGAAACAAGTAGGTTGCTTTTACCTTCTTTGGCCGTGTGCTGTCCACACTGGCACTGTCATCATTATTTCTCTTTTTTGATTTGGCCTCGAGCTTCTCGTCAAGTGCAGCCTTGGCTTTCCCAGTTAGTTTGGTAATCCGTTTAGCGGCAGAATGAAAGGGGTTTGGCTGCATGACAGTAGGATGTGTTTGTGATTTAGAATTTAGAGTTAGAGTTTGCAATACTATTTGTATGTCTTTGGAGCTTTGGAGTTGGTAAAATATATATCTGCTTACTAAACCCACACCCACAACATACCCACACCCACAACCCATGTGGGTTTCATATACCCATGCTGATCCCTACATCCTACACATGATAATGGTGTCATGGGAGGTGACATGTCATCTGCTCAGGCTCGTCATGCATCACCACGTCTCCACGACACTCCCCATCCTGCAGCTCTACAGGATATGTTTTACAATCCTATGGAGGCACAACCAAACAGATGGTTGCTGCAGCACTCAAATTTTGAACAGATGGACGATGCATTGTTCACGGCACTGCTCATGGAGACACAGGGACATTTTATGTCTTCTGAGCCAGCCCGAGTTTCACCAACCAGGCTTCCTCCTTGCATGCACCCTCTCATGAGCCTCCGGTGCCTCCAGAGTCTCCAGTACCTCCAGTCCCTCAGGGTGCTAAAGGATGCTCTCATCAGATTGAACCTATGACTACCAATGTCATTCCACCAACACCACTGAAGGATGTTGGCAGCAGTTATAGCCTTTACAATCCTCCTCGTTATCCCTCCCCACATGAACGTGGCGCTTCTGTCAATGCAGGAAATGTCAATGACCTGTTCTCTGATCCTCAGGGCAGCAAAGATGCACCTTCCTTGATGTCAGGCCAGTCATTTGTTCCCAGATGGAAGTCTGCCAACAACAACGTGATCCTCAAAGCTGCTTTCATCGAAATTGAGCAATCATTCCTTGAGCTCTCTTGGTCGACATTCAATTCCAGTGCAGCAAGTCATCAACTGGTTCTTGAAAAGTTGTGGTCAGACGACAGTCAGCACTAACTTCTGGAACATATATGCTTGCAGTTACTTCAAGGATCACACAGAGCAAGAACTTGCACGTGTTGGGCATGAGGTTCCTGCAGATGGAGGCTCTCTGGGTAAGTTCCTATCATATTTGTTGATGTCGTATTTACAGTTCCATGGTCGATGTTAGGTATGTCGATTCGGACAAAATGTTACAACCTCTTCAAAGAGGCCTTTCCAGACACATACAAAGACATTCTGTACGTCCATGATGAAGTGAAAATGCTATCCACTTTCCCTCAAACTGTCTCTCAATGCACATAAGAGTTTCAAAAATACTACTGAAGGATATTTAGTATTGTAAGTATACTTCCTTCACAGCCTCACTGCTTGCTGTGCCCTGACCATCTTCATTATAGGCTGATAGCACTGCTGCTAAATTTAGCTTTGAGACCACAATGGTCATCTGTGGCAAAATTGTCAATCAAGATGCCTCCCTTGGTCAAGTTCATACTACACCAGGCACTGCAGAGGTAAGTATCTTGAGAGTGGTATTCAATACTGAGATGATCACTCATTATGGTCTGCTAGTTCTGGAGTACACGATGCCGGGCTGATGATGACACTATCATTGGTCACCTCAAAGCTCATGTCTAGTAAGTTTCAATCAGCATCTTACTATCTCTTTCTGATTCAACTTCAAAATAGCAATAAAACTTCACTGACAGTAGTTGATGATGCCTTCAACGACTTGCCTGAATATAATGGAGATGCCTCTTCTCGGGATGCTGACTCGATTCCTTCCACCAAAGTTGAGGGTCACGATGAATCTCTCCAGTGGCTCAAGAAAGCAATCGCAAAACAAGTCAGTGAGTAGCTATTCAAGTTGTTTTTCAGTTCAGCCTGACATGCTCATATAGCTAAACTTGGCGGGAAGTTTGCATCCGACAAGAACTTCCCCTGGAAAATGATGCCCAGCTCCTTAGCCTCTGGCGGCCTGAACATAGAAGGGTATCCCGCCCACAAGTGTCTCATGCTGGGTGAATCCCATGATCCGACATCAAAGAATAACAAGGGGATAGGTGTATTGATGTTCAAAGAGGTTGCAGCGCTTGTTGATGCTTTCAAGGCTGGCACCATGCGGGTGGTCAAGTCTTCCAGTATGCTGTAACAATGGTTGCGGCGCTGGGCTCAGAACCAGGCAATCCAACACCTATGTTCATACCATTCCCTGACCTCCCTTGACCTTCTGAAGGCCACACACACTTGTCCAAACCTTCCACAGGCAGTTCTTGTGTTCCAAGGCCCGTCCAAACCTCACAAGTTACCATACATGTCCTATCCTCGTCCTTTTGACTTTGCTGGTGCGTTTTCCCTTATTCTAATTATATGTTGACTACGTCTTAGTGCTACATGGATAAAATTCCATTGGCATCCTGTCGGGAGCCTCGGAATACGTATAAGCAGTACACATTGCAGCTTATTACATGTATACTTGCATTTCTGCTTGCCTCGCGGCTTATTACGTAGGTTCGGACTTGCTTATCTCACTACTGGTTTTGCCTATGGATTCTGGTCTCTCATGGAAGTAGGATATAATCTCACTCACTGGCTACTGATACTGCACTTCACTTCTCATACTTCAAGTTGTAATTAGTAGAGTCACCTCGGTATAATCGTAACTGCACAATTGATCTTTGTTCATTCGGAATGATTGTTTGGCTAGACCGCTGCCAATTTTGCACTTCGTTTATTCTTGAGTTCCGATAGATTAGCATTGTTCCAGACTTCGGACATCTCGCAAAGTCTTATACTGTTATTCAACACATCAACATACCAACATATATTGACCTTCGGATAGCTTTTGCAAGTCTCGGAAGACATCGCGCTACTTTCGGACAATACTTTTGCAGCTTCAGGTCGCATCGGACAAGTTTCTCGGTACTTTGGAAGTAGTCTCGGAACTATGGACGAACATTAAAGAGGTTTACTTCCAATATCTTGTCTACTCTCTGACTATATAAGACTTCCCTTGCATTATCAAGGTAGTTCTTAGGTTGTCTCTTGGGACGAAGCATACTCGCATCTCTCAGGACTAGGGACTCACATTCAGTAGAGCCCAATTCAGATCTACTCTTTACAATGCCCAGTAAGTTTTGTCTCTATTTAGTAGTCTAATTCTAATCAATTTCTGTAGCATCATTGATTGAATCAATAGAGCCAGTTATCATTGGAGAGGCACCTCCTTCCACCTGGGAGCACACATCTGCTCATCGCATGTTTGCTGATTGGCATACAGACTATGGTGGCCCGGAACATGTGGGGACAAGTGTTGCACAGACCAGAGTCAAGAAGGGAAAGAATAGAGCTTGTGATCCTGAGGATGGAGAGGCTGTCATGTCTCCCCTGCCTATCATGTCTCCTCCCCCTGCTCGTCCCTTTAAGGTTGTTGCCAAGCCCATTTCTTTCAAGCCCCTCGCCCCTCCTCCTGCTTGTCCTTATGGGTTGTTGCTAAGCCAACTGCGCCAATGGCTCCCAAGGCTGCTGCACAGGAGGTCATTGAAATCACTTCAACTTTGGAGGGCTCAAGGGATGTGACAGCAGAGGTGGACACTGAATACGAAGATGATTCACATGGGAAGAAATGGAAATTGAAGACAGGAAGTTCTTCTCAGGTGTCCAAGAAGTGTGTGTCTGCAGAGGTTGTCATTGAACTGAAGAAGGAAGGTGTGCATTCCAAGGCGAAGTTATCACCATCTGATGCCTCTGTATTGAAAGGGGGTCCACTGTCACCATTAATTGTGGGGTCGTCTTCTGTTGATGAAGAGCACTCGTCTGGCGATGAAGGTTTGTGCTACATATGTCATTTGTCTTTACTCGCTAACTATCTTATTCAGCTGCCCAGCCTGTTCAACCTGCAGCTTGCATCCGGGACGGTCCTCCCAACGTACAGCCTAAATCCAAGGGTATGTAGTATATACATCTTAGTATCTACATATTGTTAACATACTTATTTGCAGCGCTCCCCAAACTAAAACACGTAACAAAGGCATCCCGGGCAGCCATGCGCCGTGTACACCAGATGATGTATGTGGTCAATTCAGAAGAGGAGGATGCTCCAGGTCAGAAGGACTCAAAGGCAACAACAGATGCTGGAAAAGGTGGTGTCGTGCTTGCAGACCCTCAGCCTGAGCCCGCAGCTCAGCCAGCAAACCCCACCCCAATTGAACTGCCAGCTACTATGGTCGCCCCATTTTCACCACCAGAAGTTACACCCAGTGTGGCTTCACAACATGAGGGCTCTGAGCAACCCCAACCCTCAAACAGTATGCTCCAGACCACGTCTTCCCCTTCAACACCTGGTAATGACAAGAATGGAAACCCCCAAGCTCAATCCATGGACCGTCCATCTTCACATCCTGCTGGGGAGAGGCCCCTTCTGCAACCTGAGCCTCTTCACACTGATACTCATATTGAGGCGGTCAACCGCTATGCCCATTCTCCATTGCTTCAACACGATGCTCCCATCACATGTGAGGCTCCTTCACACATGCACGAGCTCCCCAGATATCCTTGTGAGCCTTCTGTGCCGTTGCAAGAGCCTTCACTTCATCCTCGTGCACCTTCTGTGCCATCGCAAGACCATCTGCATCATTCTCAAGAGCCTTCTGTGCCATTATGTGGGCCTCTGCTTCACCTCGCAAGGCTTCTGTGCCATTGTGCAACCATCTGCATCATTCTCGTGATCCTTCAGTACACCCTCAGGAGGGACCATCCTACCCACACGATGCCACTCACTATCGTGAGGTGCACGACTCACTCTATGATCAGAACAGTACCATTCACACCCATCTCCATCCTACTAGCAGCCTCAATCCTCACAGCCTTCCACACACCCATAATGTTGAAGAAGCTCAGTATGCTTGTGTACCTATAGGATACAACCATTATCCTTCTCGTTATGACTCACCTGGTGAAGGTTACAATGACCGCTATGATGACCACAGGCATCCATCAGACCTCTACTATCAAGACATGTGCAGTCATGATGGGAGGTACTATGGAGATACCAATAGATGGGCAGACCGCCGCTGATACCTTTTTTCTTGTGCTTGCTTTTACCAACATTTCCTTTGTGCCCTTTAGTAGGCAGACTGCCACTGATACCTTTCTTTCACCTTTTTAGTGTGGCGACTGTCATTTTGTTACCCCATGCTTTGCTATCTCAAGTTGAATGTAGTGCCTCCTTCTGAATAAACTGATTTGCTTTTGTATATCACACGTGATCCATGTCACTCCTGCAAAAAAATTCATAAGAGATCAAAGAATGCATAGTCGAAGGATCAAACATAAGAGCAAGTCAAAATTACCACACTACTAACCACTTCACCACCTGTGCCTCTGACCATGCAGTGTGCACATGATATATGAAGGCATTCAGAATTCAATTACTTCGTCCAATGGGTCGCTCTGATATGTCGCTTCTATCGATCATTGATGACAACAAGGGAATTGATTATCGATGGAAGTAATGTCGTTCCTCTTCACTTCTCCCTCTTGCTATAATTTTTCATGGATTTCAGCCAGCTTGACTATATTCTCAAACGTGTGGCATCGCGCTACAAGGTGGATGCGCAGGAGGTGTTGGACAAATGGTTGGAGAAGCGACAGGTCCGTGATCCTGAGGGATGGAGGCTCCTTGATGGAATACCTTGCATTGTTGGTGGGCTGACAGCGCTTCTCGGTAAGTGTCAGTCAGATCATAGTATAGAACAGCTAAATATTTTACAGGGACCCTCGAAGGATGAGGGGGAAATTTCCTGTGGAAGACACTACCTACCATTCTAGCCCGTTGTGGGTGTATCCTTCAAAACTACCCAGACAACATCCTTCTGCCCAGCGAGAGACGTTCGACACTGGCAAAGAGCAAGGGCATACATGACCTCACTATGCATGAGAGCTTCAAACTTGCAGATGTCCTCAAGAATGACGCCCTCACCATCAAATCTGTTGCAACAGATGCTTGCAAAAGTCTTACAGCCTCACGTGTCTCTGTCATCATTGGAGAAGCACCCATTGCAAATTCACATCACACTCGCGGGCGATAAGTGTTTGCCAATGGATGCATAGATAGGCTTGGCCTGACCCATCTGTCCAACACTTCTCCTTCAACTTCTGGCGCCACATTGTCTAATCCACCCAGACTCCATATGTTTGTAGAGGTACCACTGGCACCACCCTCCTGGAGGTTGAAGGTGATGCAGCAATGTTTGCCAGTCATTGGACCCAGTCATACCGACCTCATCCCACAGATCACCGCTATCAATAATGAAGACACAGGAGTCAGCAATCCCGCTACCGAGGACGAAGGAGAAATTGATCAGCTTGTCAGTTCACAGCTGTTACAAGAACATCTAGATGCTTGGGCCCCTACCATTTTTCTCCTAATCCTCCTCGTATCAGCCCTCGCATCATACCCTTACCCTGACCTCACCCTTGTCATCCTCGTCATCCTCGCATTCCCTTTCGCCCTCTACCTGTCGCTTCAGCAAAGCCAGTACATTTGGCCAGACCCTTTCGCTGACGAAGCATACCTGTGCTCCGTTTCACCACCTGACTGATCCTGCGGACAGTCCCCTTGCCCTTACCGTCTGGACGGTAACCTATGACACGATGCACGACGCATCCCCTTTACCCTGTTCCCTTTCTTGATCCTCTGACTCGGTGCGCAGTCGCACATGCGACTTATACTTAGATCTGCAGTTGCACGATCGTGCCCCTGCGCATTTCACTTCTTATTCCGATCTTTGACTCACTTTCTTATCCAGCACGTTCTACCTAGATCGAACGTGCCTTCCTATTATGGTCTTACCCTTTACCGATTGCCTCTCCCGGTAGTACGAGTTATCATCCACTAATACGTCCCCTGTCCTCTATATAAACTCGCTACCATGTACTATATTCCTTAACTTGAATCTACTTGGTTCTTGACCTCCTACTCTCACCAGAGTGATCCTTCTGCCTCGCCAGCAGTCTATATTCTATCTTCTTATCTGCTCTTCGCGGATAAGCCTATAGTCTCGACCTTTACTCATCGACTTCGTCGACGAGCAAAGCCCCTGTTAACTAGTCGGACTTCTGTCCTTCTAATTAACGACGATCCTTACGATTAACCTTCGGGTGTCGTAAGCCTAGGCCGATATAGCTTATCGTCTCGCACCCGCGTGACATAAGCTACCCGATTTGGACATAGGCGTTAAATCGTACTTGCCGAAGACACGCCAAGTACGACCCCTAACCTTGGGCTAGCCCAAGGACGTCCTCGACCGTTGACGACACACGCTCTGTTTGAGCGTCGCCAACAGATACCATCCAAGTCGTAACAACAGCCTGTAGGAGTGAACTTGATCTGTAAGCCTCTCATGCCTCTCTCTCATGTTCACAAAATTAATATGACCCTCAAGAGCCTCTATTCAACCCTCACGAACCTCCATTTCATCCTCACGAGCCTCCCATCATGGCATATACTAATCAGTACAGCATTCATACATGTGATCCTGTTGATTCAAGTGCGGCATCATATTGCCTTCTATCCTTACTCTGTCCCTTCACTGTTGTCTGCAATGTCACACTCTTCCATCTGCCCACACACTCGAGCACAATACAAGCTTGTGTGGGATTTGTGAATATCAGGACTGGCATAATGGGGGGATGATGAGTATAGATGGCCTGTTAGAGAGGGATAATGAGTGTGTATCTTCTTCGTGGTTTGAGTGTCTTATTGTATGCCATTCACGTTCATGTCTTCTTCGAGTTGTTAGTGTCTCTGTCCCATTCACACCAAATATACTGTCTGTTGCACCATCATAATAGTATTGAGAATTCACTGTGTTTGAAACATGTGTTGTAAAACATATGAACTATCTATTTTAAACAGCAAGGGTGCCGCACGGCCTCGCGCGGTTTATACCTACCCTTGCGAACCTCTGGGAGTACATAGGCAGTACACTAAGGAAAGGGCATGGACCTCTTGTGGCAATTACAGGGAGCCTCGAGAGGCATACCTCACAGGTAGGTTTGCCGCAACATAGAAACCCTACCTGATAGATCGTGAGACAGGCGCTAAAGTGCTGCCAAGGGTGGAACAATGCCTATTTCACTCTTGCTGGCTTCTTGATATCTGTAGCTTGATGCTTCATGAAGCATCAAGCTACAGACATCAGGAACAATGCCCATTTTGAACAGGTACACCCTTCCTGGCTTCTTTGTGTCTCGGCACTGGAGCTTCACACTTTCCCACAATGCCTCATTTCACCCATTTTGGGCAGGTATGCCAGGGTACGCCTTCCTGGCTTCTTTGCCGCATCTCTCACTGAGCTTCACACTCTCCCATGATGCTTTATTTCACCCATTTTGAGTAGGTATGTCCTTCACGGCTGCTTTGTGTCTCTGTGTTGAAGCATCACGCTTTCTCATGATGCTTCAGATCTTTTGTTTCACTCATAGGTACACCTTTGAGAGGTATGCCCCTTCCAGATTCTTTGTTTCACCATGTGAGGTAAGATGCAGGTCCCCATGCACTAACTTATTTGATGAACTTATGCACACTAGAGATATGAAACCGAGGCTGCTCTATTGGTGCATGACTTGTTTTGTTTGTTGATGCTGTTTTAACTGTTTGCCCGCAACAGGTTGCCAATGATTCTTGGGGCTGATGTCCTGGACCTCGAAAAGCTGTTTGTGACAACAGCTCTACTAAATCTCCGAGTCTCTTTATTCCAATTCCCTCCTGTGTCTTTTCTTTTTGTTCTCTTCATCTGAATCTCTCGCATTCATCATGATCACAGGAATCTGACACTAAAGCAACGAAAGGTAAGTGATATAGTTTCTTGTTGTATTCGTTTATTCACATTGATAGGGATATGACGAGGAAGCAACCACACTCATAAGTCTTTCGTTTGCTCAATAGACATCTTTTTGAATCATCATCTAGGTTGCTAGCGATTTATCGAACCAATTCGTTTGGGAAGGATGGATTTATTGGATTCCTGCATGATCCGGACCGTTGTTGTGTTTTTGAGCTCTTTTTGTCCTACTTTTATTACCCCATTACCAGCACGATGTGTGTGCTAGTAGCTAATGCCTAATTATTTGAGCATATTTGCACACATTTTCAAAATCAGGATTCACCATTACTACTTGAAATTTCACAAAGTCCCGTCCATATGTACAAATGTGTATACAGTGCTGTGTGCATGAAATGTTGTCAAGTCTAGCACATATATACAGGTCCAGCACTGTGCATATGATTCACAATAAACTCACTTGTGCACATGAAATTTTCACTAAGTCAGACACTGAAAATACTCGTCCAGAGAATTAAAGGCAAGGAATCAATGATATTAATGAGCCAATGGTGCTCTGAAAGGGTATTACAATACATGCAGTATGTATGGACTGGTATAATGAAAGCATTGCTACAAAATATCGATGGGCAACTCAGGCGCCGGATTTGCGTTTCCTGTCATAAAATTAGCACTGTCCAAGTCTAATGGTGACAGGAAAAGCACACACTTCTTTTGAGTGGTGTTCTCCACCTCGCCTGTCCTAAGTCTCTTTGTGCTCCCTGCCTATCATGTTTGCCTGTGCCATGTGTGTTGACTCCTGATGAACCTGACCTGTCTTCTAGAGAGGGATATCAACTGAGGGAGATGGGTTAGTAGAAGGTCGGGTAGGCCGTGGATGGGTAAGTGCTACTGGTGCTGAGGTAGGCACTGCTGGGCTAAGTGCTGGGGGTGTGGGCGCTGCTGGGGGTGTGGGCGCTGCTGGGGGGGTGGGCGCTGCTGGGCTAAGTGCTGGGGGGGTAGGTGCTGCTGGGGTAGGTGCTACTGAAGTAGATGCTGCTGGGGTGGGCACTGTTAGGGTGGGCACTGCTGGGGTAGGCACTGCTGGGGTGGGCACTGGTACATTGTGGACTGCAGTAGCAGTGACATGGACTTCGTCAGAGAGGGTGAAAGAACAACCATCAAAGTTGAATGTTGGCACTGTCAATGGCACAGTAGGAGATGTAGTCAGGGTCGAATTACTCATTGTATTCCAAAATTTGGACTCCTTCCTCCACGATGTGATGGGAGTATCAGGCAAGGGAGGTGGCAAAGGATGTACCGATAACATTGATGGAAATGCAGGGAGTGTGGGTGTTTGAGGCCGAGGTACCAATGATGAGGGTGGTTGGCTGAACATGCTGGCATCGAAATCCCAAGAGTATGGGTTGTCAAGTCCTTGTGAGCTGCGGACATTGGATAAGTACCTTCGGACATCATCGGATTACCTTCGGACATCGTTTCGCACCATCGGACATTTTGTTATTTGTATTACTGACACATTTTTACTACCAATACCAATTAACAACCCCTATAGGATCGAACACACTTGCTCTGCAAGTATAGCAGACTAGGTCGTGCTAAGATCTACCTAAATATTTGTTGTCTAGGTAGTACGATTTCTGCTGAGCCCAGCAGAGATCAGCTTTCTACAGCGTGTTGGTAGGTGTGCTGGTTGCTGCAGCTTCGGAGAGGATGGTAGAAGCCTTGGCTTCATGTTCTTCAGCAACCTTTGTCTTGCATAATAATTGAATTTCTAATGGCGCAGCCTCATATGCCACTTTTGTCGACTCCCTGACTGCCATCAATTTGGTGTTCTTAGTTATGAGCAAGCTCCACTTGATTTTCTCCTTGATCTGCGACTGTACAGCAGCATCATTTTCGAAAATATTTCCACCTCAGTATGGACCCAAGTTCCTTTTGCCTTGTTGCCGATCATCTTGGTAATTGATTTTGTCATTGCATTAAGTTGTGACCGACCACTTTTGTGAGATCTATCATTGAACCAATTTTTGAGTTGCTGTTTTTGAAATGAGTGTTTCTCAAAGTCAAAAATCAAATTCATCATTATTAACCTTCTTGCGCACCTCAACTGCCTTTCCCAGTTCCTCATTCTCAGCCTCGCTAAGCTCCGAAGGTGTCTTGTCTGGGTACAGCACATTGATTTCAGGCCATTGCTGTAAGAACTCCGCGCTAACGTTAGACCAGAAGTTCAATAAAGCACCCTGAAGCTGCTGTTTCAGGAATTCGCTGAATTGAGACTCAAGGTAATCTCTTTGTTCAATGCTTGTCCAGTGAGATCCAACCATCTGTTAATAATGGTAGCGCAATCAATGACAGCATATTAAAGGCATGCCGTCACCGCTTACCTTGTCTTTTTTGGGTCTGCATCTGGTAAGTCGGCTGGGAGGCTTTAAAGTGCTCAGCAACTGAATGGGATGATTTTAGATATCACTTACTTTTGTTTTGCTTCTGGTTGGCTGGCTGTAAGATTTTCAGGTAGTTCAGGTGTGTTTGACCAAACTAAATATACAGTCAAGCCTCAAAATAAAGTTCAGCCATCTATGAGGGACCAATCATGTTCCTTTATTCCTACAGTACATTGTGTTGGAGTTATATTTCATATTATATATATATAATGAAAAGCTACCGCTGTGAAAATGTCAAAGCCTCATCCCCATTTAGCAGCAACACATATTCATTTTCAAATGAGCGATTCAACTGGTACCTGTATGGTCTGCATCCAACCATGCACTTTGTCCTTGGTTGAACCACTAATCTTCACCATAAACGAGCTTGCTGCCACTCTGCAACTCATCAGGGACCAGGATGGTGAGTAAATTTTGATTCTTTCCCTTGATACTCAATGTTCCATATTATCTACACAGAAATCTTCCAAGCACACAACAACTCTGCTGCTGAACTGCCTCCTCCTGACGCAAACAGTTCAGGGACCAGGATGGTGAGTAAATTTTGATTCTTTCCCTTGATACTCAATGTTCCATATTATCTACACAGAAATCTTCCAAGCACACGGCAACTCTGCTGCTGAACTGCCTCCTCCTGACGCAAACAGTTGCCCTGCTTGCATTTTCTGTGCCCACCACCACCAGTGTTATGTCTGCCATGCTGAAATTCTTGGTGAACCTTACAAAACTGAATCTCAGCCTGGTACCACCGGTAAGTGATTTCCTCTTTGTGAAGTTCTGATCCTGATTTTTCATTTTAGCACATACTACACCCACTACACAGAATGATGGATCGTCTCCTAGCAGCGCTATTGTAGTAGAATAATTTATTGTTTGACCTACGTACCTACTAGGTTTGATCAGTTTACATATAGCCGTGTCACTTTCTTGCCAATGCTATCAATGACCTAACAGTCTGTTCAAAATAACAAACCCGGAGCTATATCACTAAGCATGTTGCTACCGCCGATAATTTGCAATTTGAGTTTGTTCAAAAATAATGAATCCGGGGCTGAAACCCTAAGCATGTTACTACCGCCGATACTTAATTTGCGATTAGGTTAAATTTAACAGATATACATGGTGGGCTATTTAATGAGAGGAACAATGACAATGGTGACAGCATCCATGCTGCCATGGCTGAGAGTATTTGTTGAGTAAATGTGCAGTTTCATGTGTCCTGAAGTACTTGTGCGCTCAGTGATGTACTTTTAGCCTTAAGTCAGACTATGGAGTAATGGAAGTCACACACCTCACCGTACTCTTTCATCGACCACAAGCACTCTTATAGTGCTGCAATATCTCAAGTCATTACACTCCTCTCTGGAATTTCTTCCTTGATTCATGCCACCAAAGTATAAGAATGAGCAACAACGTCACAATGCCTGACTGAGATCCAAGCACAAGTCTTATGAAAGGTAAGCCTCCAAGTCTAAATTTCACTAAGTAGGTATGACATGGATTAATTTTTGTTGTATTTCACATAGGCATAAGCTTGATAAGCACTTGAAGTCTAGGACTCATTGGCACAAGCATCTGGGAGCTACTGTAGTGTGTACGCCATATACTATCAAATTTACACTTTACACTAACCGGATAAACCATGAAACAGGCTACACAACATTTTCTAGCATGACTAGATTTGATATGGCTCGACCTGGGCTATTAGCCAGGCCATTCTCAATACACTGTTCTCCAGGCACAGGGCCTCGCACTTGTCCACAAGGTGGATGACAAAGGTTGGCAGGTCGTAAGACCAACTTATGAACACATAGTAGCAGAGGCGCAAGAACTTCTTTCAGAGGACAGGGAAGTGCTTATGGGTGCATTACATGCAGAAGGTACATGTATATGCCATCTTATCTCAAAGTCTGCAGCCGCTGTTGATGCAGTGGAGCTGCATTGCGATGTATGGAACAAAGCACTCTCATTAATGGATGACTAGCACACACCCATTGTGCCTTTGGCACAGGATTCAAAAAGAGCGCTTTGCGCTCTTTGTTGGCTTCCTGGCCTTCGGCTTCATCCTACTTTGGGCATTTCAATAATTATTTTAGGTCTTGAAATAAATTATATTGTATTCATCAAGTTGAGCATGATATGTTACATTCAGATATATTGAACCCTCCTGTTCTCAGCAGGACATACTGCACTACAGTGATACAAAGCACTTTGTAGCAAATTATGTTCCCTTCATAAGTTCTCTGATTTTCCCATTCTCCTGTTTCCCTGTTCTCTGTGCAGATGAGAAAAGTAAAATTAAAATTGAATGTGTTGATCCCGTCCCCTTGTTGTCCTCCTGTCCTCTTGTTGTCCTCCCGTCCTCTTGTTGTCCTCCCGTCCTCTTGTTGTCCTCCCGTCCTCTTGTTGTCCTCCCGTCCTCTTGTTGTCCTCCCCCTTCCCCCTTCTCCCATTTCCCCATTCTCCTGTTCTCCTGTTTTTCCCATTCTTCTATTTTCCCTTTCTCCTGTTTTCCTGTTCTCTGTTCTCCTATTCTCCTATTTTCCCCATTTTCTCTGTTCTCCCATTTCCCTCATTCTCCCATTGTCCTTTCCTATTTCCCATTTCTCAATTGTCTTTTCTTAATATCTCGTTGAATTTATTGTGTATTTCAGAATCAATAAATGTTTTTAAATGCTTGCTGCTCTAACGGGCAGTGGACCCTTGAAAGCATGTGACAGCCATGCGAGTTTCTAAATTGAGCTTTAAGCGAGGTAAGCGAAACCACATGGCATTTAGCATATCTAAGCATATCTACACAGTGCAAGCGGAAACCACGCGAGCATCTGTCCCTTCCCGCCACCATTCTCCCTTACTTTATAGATAGCGCAGATACATATTTTGAAGCTCTCATGTCCGATCAGTTGGTGTGGCAGAGGGCATTAAAATTATAACTAACAGATATCAGCATCTCTGTAACTACTCGAAATCACTATGTCCTTACAAATATTGTGTATGTGCTATGATGCATTATTGGAATTTGCTGGCTGACTTTGAAAAGTCACATGATCACCGAAACCATGTGTTAGCACCTTTCTAAGTTTACCTTGGCCAACGTTCAGTTCACACTCGCAGCCCGTAGATCAGCGAGTGCCTATTTTTGCTTCAGCTCCCCTCCCTACTGCTTTCTCTCTGTTATTTTAGTGGGGAGAACACGTTCCATTCAAATCCGGGCCAGATTCACACCATACATCCAAGCCTTCCTGCCATTCCTATATCCTGTCCTCAAAGCGCCCAGTATACAGGCGCATTCATGAATGTTTTACTCAAACAGCCATTCCTGTATCCTGTCCTCAAAGCACCCAGTACACAGGTGCATTCATGAATGTTTTACTTGAACAAGTGGTGTGGTCTCGTTCTTATGTTGTTCACCAAGGTTAGTCTTCTGAAGTTCAGTTCAGTGTGTATGCCTCAATTGAGAATCAGGTCCCATGGGAGAACTCCTAGACACGTTCAAGATCTCCATTCCCTGTGGACCGCCCTTACTATCCTGCAATGTTGTTCAATGGGATGAGAAGTCGAGATTCTCATAGGTCGCCTTCTCTCAGCTTGCTGGCATCAAGGAGGCGGAACTTTCAGATGCAATGCACTAGGGTGTGAAGGTGGCTTGTTAGGTGTTGAGATCCGCCACATGATTGTGTTGCTGTCACGCAGTGTCTAGATGTTATGGACTTGGATAGTATCTGTTGACGATGCTCAAACAGAGCGTGTGTTGTCAATGGTTGAGGACATCCCTGGGCTAGCCCAAGGTTGGGGGTCTTACTTGGCAAAGCTTTGGCAAGTAAGATTTAATGCCTATGTCCAAATCGGGTAGCTTATGTCAAGCGAAGCTCAACAATAAGTGTATCTGCCAAGGCTTATGACACCCGAAGGTTAATTGTAAGATCTGTGTTAATAGAAGGACAGAAGTCCAACTAGTGACAGGGGCTTTGTTCGTTGACGAAGTCGATGAGTAAAGATCAAGACTAAGAACTTATCCGTGATGAGCAGATAAGAAGATAGAATATAGACTGCTGGCTAGACAGAAAGGATTACTCTTGTTAGGAGTAGGAGGTCAAGAACCAAGTAGATTAAGTTAAGGAACTAGATACATGGTAGCAAGTTTATATAGAGGAGAGGAAGTGTATTAGTGGATGATAACTCATACTACCGGAAAGGGAACTGGTCAAAGGGTGATACTAGAAAAGGAAGGCACATTCGAGGTGAGTCATAGGTGAACTGGAATGTGCAGATAGGAAATGAGTCAAAGAACAGAAATAGGAAGTGAAACAAGCAGGGGCATGATCGTGCAACTGTGGAGCTAAGTATAAGTACAACGTGCGACTGCACACTGAGTCATAGATCAAGAAAGGAAACAGGGCAGAGGGGATGTGGCGTGCATCATATCATAGGTTACCATCGGGATGGTAAGGGTAAAGGAGACTGTCCACAGGATCAGTCAACGGGTGGAACGGAGCATGGGTATGCTTCATCAGAGAACGGGTGGAATGGAGCATGGGTATGCTTCATCAGAGAAAGGGTCTGGCCAAATGTACTGGCTCTGCTGGAGCAACAGGGAGAGGGTGAAGGGAAATGCAAGGATGATGAGGATAACAAGAGCAAGGTCGGGGTAAGGGTGTGATGGAAGGGCGGAGATGAGGAGGATGAGGAGAAAAATGGTAGGGGCCCAAGTGTCTAGATGTTCTTGTAACACTAGACTCTATACTCTATAAGTTATTAATATTGTTGTTGTATGTACCACGTGATCGTATTGATGATTGTACTGTGTCTATAAGCCTTGCCTCACACCATGGTTAGTAAAAAACAATGCACATTGGACAAGCTCAAGCAAGATTGGTCTATCAATGATGAGCATCAGAAAGTACAAAGCCATGTAACTGAAGAGCGCAGGCTTTACCACAAACATTCTTGCTTCACTCGTACATCTTCTGGCAAGGTAGCCTCTGAAACAGAATTCTTCGTAGCTGAACACGAGCCATCTTCAGTCACATCTCACCCACTATCAGGATCCAACATAACTATGGAAGATTTTGGGTTTGATTTGCATACATACACTGACACTGAACTTATAGACTATGACATGGTGGATCCTGCATATGAGAATTTCTTGAAGGAGTCTACTTTTGGGCTGAAGAAACGTCTCAGGTCAACTGGTGTATGATACATTTTTACTGTATGTTATCTTAACTTAACTTTAACTGTACAGGACCGTACAATGACTCTCTGGCTTCATGAGCGCAAAAAGTATCTTCTCGAGTTTATCAGACTTGAAGGACATGGGAACTACGCATCCAGGGAAACTTGCCAAGGGCACAGCAAATGCACATCTGAGCCTGGATATCATTGCCAGGATTGTTTTGGGACAGAGCTCTACTGTCAAGAGTGTATCGTGAACAGGCACCGCAAAAACCCTTTATACAAGATCGAAGTATGTACCCTATTTTACATTTTTATAGTTGCGTGCTAATCACCCTTCAAGTTCTGGAATGGTTCTTTCTTTGAGGATACTACACTCAAGTATCTCAGACTCCGTGTTCAGCTTGGCCACCCAGTTGGCAAACAATGTTTCAACCATTCACGTGCCTATGATGATGATTTTATCATTCTCAACATTAATGGTATCCATGAACTTGCCTTATATTTTTGTTCATGTGAGAGTGCACTAAGTCACACCAACCAAATCCTGCGAGCTCGCTGGTATCCTGTGACCAGCATAGATCCAAAATCAGCGGCAATGTTCTGTCTTCTAGAGCATTTACACATGCTTACATTCAAGTCCAAAGCCTCTGCCTTCAAATATTGGCAAACCCTGGTATGTCTTACTGATAACACAGGCATCAAGCCATGCAAGGTAAATAGTAGCATGTCTCGATGAAAGCGTAGTTTGCTAATTACAGATTCCTTAGGATCGTTATGACAGTCTCTTGCGCATGATCAAACAATGGCGTAATCTTAAGCTTTTGAAGTGATTCGGCCAAGGTCATGACCCCACTGGCATCAATGCGACTGCACAGGGGTCATGTGCTGTGGTTTGTCCTGCATGCCCCCACCCAGGCAAGAACTTACCAGAAGACTGGAAAGTAGCACTTCTGGACAAACAGTATGTGCTCACGCCCTTGCTTGATTAGCTTACTTATGCCTGCAGGTGGCTGTATGCACAATTTCTGGCCATTGATGTGAATTTACGCTTGGCACGTAAGAATGTTTCCTCAGACAGGATTGACCCTGGTCTGAGTAGAGGATGGGCTTATTTCATTGAGGAGACTGGGTTCAAAGGATTCCTGACCGATGTTGGAACAGTACCACAAGAGGTATGTTAACGTTGTTTTGCAATACAATTACTTAAAATGTCTGGTCTAGAAAAGCACATGCGCTAGTCACAATGCCGTGAATCTTGCTGAAACAAAGAACTTGCGAGGATTGGCTGCAACTGGAGCTGGGAGTGTGAACTGTTCTCATCACAACTTCAAGCGACCGTATGGAGTGGGTGACCTTCAGAAAGGTGAAAAGTATGTATTCAATAATATGAAAATGTTCCCGCTGATCCTTTTAAACAGGTATATCAACATGGATTACTTGTTTTTGTCGACCATGCAACATTCTGAGGATATCATTGTATTGAATGTGTCATACAATATTGCTTGTCAATGGAGCAAACACCTATGGGGCGGATGTCAAAATACCCCTCACGCATGCACTTCATGCATGACGGTAAAATCATGACCTTTCTTGTTCCAAAATTCCACTTGCCCGCTCACATCACTACATGCCAGATTATGTTTTCACACAATCTTATCAAGGGAATGGGGCGCACGGATGGTGAGGCTCCAGAATGAGGTTGGGTGAATATCAACCCCATGGCTACAAGTACATGGGAGATGGGTCCTGGGGCTCGTCAAGATACACTGGACGACCATTTCAGTGACTACAATTGGAAGAAAGTTACAAACTTTGGTACATGTTGTTTACCTCAGCGCACCCGACATAAATAACCAAGAAAATCTTTAGGTGTTAGTTTGCTGAGCAAAATCAAGGTTGCAATTCCTGAACGTGACTGACATTAACAAGATTTTGATGACTTTCATGTTACACTCATGCAAGAATGACCAGGTGAGGTAGCAGGGTGGAAAGAAGCTATTGAAAACTGGGAGGCTGACACATCCAACAAAAATCCCTTTGAGACAACAACCATCAGTAAGTGTGATTCACACTATCTATTACGTTCACTGATCATATATAGCCTTGACGCAGGCTGCTGTGTGCCTTAAACTCTCACAACAGGAAGCCGAAGACCTTGAAAGAGGTTTTAACAAATCACTACACATGGAGGTGTCACACAGCATACTCATTTCGTCAGGAATGGACCTCGAGGAACAACAGTAAGTTTTTCAACATATCTTATTTGGCATTTTATAATAGAATAATTTACAGATTTTACCTGCAGCAAGATCACAACACCCTGAGTAGCCATCCAACAGACTTGCAGCAGATGAAGCTGCAAGAGCGTTCAAATGCACTCCTGTGCAAGATAGAGCAGTGGTGCCATGTCTAATTACTCTACATGCCTGCGGTCGGTTGCTTGCATGCTTCTGAAATGGTAGGTGCACAATCAGCTCGCGAGGAGAAGGCCTACTGAAATCAAGCTTTGGCTACCATCAAAGCTGAAGGAGGCAGCCGAGATGTCATGTGACGAGCAGCTTTGTGAATATGAGTGGGAATTGCGATGTGCACAGGCATACAAAGCTCTCGATGATGTTCACTGGCAACTCCATCTTCGTGCATATCTCTACAAGTTCAAGGACACCTACATTTGGGGGCAACGGGCCAATACCAGGGCATCCGCTGTACTCAGAAAAGCGGAGCAGACCATTGGGACAGCTGCTGCTCAGTATTGTAGGGCCTGGGTGGCAGTCAAGATACTGTCAACGGTGCTGGACAGACCAAATTGGGAGGTAGAATTGCCCCAGCTGCTGGCAGCTGATGTTCGCGGCATGTCAGAGGGAGATATTGGCCAATCTGAGGGAAACCACACACTTTCATGGATCTGGAAGACTGTGGGGTGGCTGCGATTGGAGAAGATGGTGAGGCTGTTTTATCAGAAGGTAAGCTTTTGCATGATTGGTTGTACAGAGCTATCCTTACAATTGGTAGCTTTGCGTATCAAATGGTGCAAATCAAGGGTGCATGCCAGTTGTTGGGCTGAAGAAGTCGAACTCCTGCAAGAGGAGATGCGGTGCGTAGTCAGCTTCCTTTCATGGCACGCAGGGTGGTGGGAGGAGCAAGCAAGCCAGAGGATGGTGCTAGCTGCACCTGAACAGGAGGGTGTCTGTGGATATGCAAGGCGCCAGGCTGCTCTTCGGAGGGCTATGTGAGACAGATTCCAGGAGATGTGGAATGTTGTGCCGGCCCTTCTCCAGTCCCCATCACCTGCTATGGAATCCCCCTGTTGTAGTAGAGCTTTTTTATGTTTTCTGTCTGGAGTGCATGTTAGCTAAATATAGCAATATTCATTTTGTTGGTTCCCAGTGTAAAGAGTAGATCTGGGCTGGGCTCTACTGAATGTGAGTCCCTAGTCCTGAGAGATGCAAGTATGCTTTGTCCCAAGAGACAACCTAAGAACTACCCTGATAATGCAAGGGAAGTCTTATACAGTTAGAGAGTAGACAAGATATTGGAAGAAAACCTCTTTAATGTTCGTCCGTAGTTCCGAGACTACTTCCGAAGTACTGAGAAACTTGTCCGATGTGACCGAAGGTCGTCCGAGGCTGCGAAAGTGTTGCCCAAAGTAGCGCGATGCCTTCTGAGGCTTGCGAAGGCTGTCCGAAGGTCTATATATGTCGGTATGTCGGTGTGTCGAATAACAGTATAAGACTTTGCACAGTGTCCAAAGTCCGGAACAATGCTAATATATCGGGACTCGCAAATAAACGAAGTGCACAATTGGCAGCAGTCTAGCCAAACAATTGTTCCGAATGAACAATCATCGATGGCGCAGTTTACGATTATACCGAGGTGACTCTACTAATTACTATTCGAAGTATGGGAAGTGAAGTGTCCTATCAGTAGCCAGCGAGCAAGATTATATCCTACTTCTGTGAGAGGCCAGAATCCATAGGCAAAACTAGTAGCGAGATAAACAAGTCCGAACCTATGTAATAAGCCGCGACGCATGCAAGAATGCAAGTATACATGTAATAAGCCGTGATGTGTACTGCTTATACATATTCCGAGACTCCCGACAGGATGCCGATGGAATTGTTATCCGTGTAGCACTAAGACGTAGTCAACATATAGTTAGAATAAAGGAAAACACACCAGCAAAGTCAAAAGGACAAGGATAGGACATGTTACAACTTGGATGGTATCTGTTGGCGACACTCAAACAGAGCGTGTGTCATCAACGGTCGAGGATGTCCTTGGGCTAGCCCAAGGTTAGGGGTCTTACTTGGCGAGGCTTCAGCAAGTAAGATTTGACGCCTATGTCCAAATCGGGTAGCTTATGTCAAGCGGGTGCGAGACAATAAGCTATATCGGCCTAGGCTTACGACACCCGAAGGTTAATCGCAAGATCGTCGTTAATTAGAAGGACAGAAGTCCGACTAGTTAACAGGGGCTTTGCTCGTCGACGAAGTCGATGAGTAAAGATCGAGACTATAGGCTTATCCACGAGGAGCAGATAAGAAGATAGAATATAGACTGCTGGCGAGGCAGAAAGGATCACTCTGGTGAGAGTAGGAGGTCAAGAACCAAGTAGATTCAAGTTAAGGAATATGGTACATGGTAGCGAGTTTATATAGAGGATAGGAAGTGTATTAGTGGATGATAACTTCATACTACCAAGTGAAGTAATTGGTAAAGGGCATAACCATAAGAGGAAGGCACATTCGGGGTGAGACACGGGTGAACCAGAACGTGCTAGATAAGAAAGTGAGTCAAAGGTCAAAACAAGAAGTGAAACGCGCAGGGGCACGATCGTGCAACTGCGGATCTAAGTATAAGTAACATGTGCGACTGCGCACCGAGTCAGAGATTGAAAAAGGGAAAAGGGCAAAGGGGATGCGTCGTGCATCATATCATAGGTTACCATCCGGACAGGTAAGGGCAAGGGGACTGTCCACAGGATCAGTCAGGTGGTGGAACGGAGCATGGGTATGCTTCGTCAGTGAAAGGATCCAGCCAGATGTACTGGCTCTGCTGAAGCGACAGGTAGAGAGCGAAAGGGAATGCAAGGATGACAAGGATGACAAGGGCAAGGTCGGGGTAAGGGTATGACGCGAGGGCTGATACGAGGAGGATTAGGAGAAAAATGGTAGGGGCCCAAGTGTCTAGATGTTCTTGTAACACGACATGGTATGGTAACTTGCGAGGTTCAGGACGGGTCTCGGAAACACAAGAACTGCCTGCAGAAGGTTCAGACAAGTGCACGTGGCCTTCAGGAAGGTTAAGGGAGGTCGGGGAATGGTATGAACGTAGTAGGTGTTGGATTGCCTGGTTCCGAGCCCAGTGCTGCAACCATCGTTACACCGGTACCATGAACAGACAGAAGCACCAACGATGGAATCGGGCTCTGAGATCAGGAACCGAGATCGTTCGGTACCGTAAATGGTGGGGAGGCACCAAGCACCAACAATCAGGCTTGCGAGAATAGATATTGATGGGCAGGTGGTGCTCTCTAGCTTGATGCTTCACAATATTCTCTGGCTTGATGCTTCACAGTACTCTCTGGCTTGATGCTTCACTATCAATGGATTAGAGTCATTTATGCATCAAGGTGTGTGTCTGATCTCATACTTTGAAGCTTCAATACTACAGGTACAGGTGGCCGTTGCCCAATATCCTCACATCACCAACTTACATCCGAGTTCTCAAGTACCTCAAGATTGTGATTGAAGCTGAGTTCAAGTCCCAACACAACTCCACTCTCAAAGGAAAAACAGCTGCCGATGTTCGTGAAGCTTTCATGTGCCAGTTCGAGCACTATGTGAAAGGACAGTACCCATTTGACACAATGATGAATGCTGGTCAGGACATCCTCTCATATTGGACCCACTTGACAAAGATACCTGAAGGTTGCATACTTGCTGTAAGTTTTCATCACTCGTCACTCAAGCTTTATCTCCAGCGTATTGCAGAAAAATTGTATTCAATCAAGCCCGGTCTTGTCTGATGAACCCATGGACAGTCCTATCAATGGCCTGGGTAGCACTCAAGACGATTCTGCAGAGGATGATACTGATCTAGAAGGCATGGACACTGAGTGGGGCGGAATTTGGTAGTACTTGTAGCAAAATTTTCGATTTCTGGGTCACGTGATAGTTAATAACATGTTAATAACATGCTAGTTAATAACCCTACACAAGCACTTGATTATTAACATAGGTTAATAACACCAAGCTGACTTATTGTCCATACCCTAGTGCTCACCATATTCTAGTGAGTCATACCATGGACAACACTCATTGCGCATCATCATATTCACACACCTATACATCATCTGTAGCACAAGCCTAATCCATCTCATGGCCTATAAGGTTGCAGGAAGAAAGCTGTCCAACAGTAACAAGAGTAGAATCGTTTGAGGCAAGGGTTGAAGATGAGTAGCACTCAGTATGGAAAGCAGGACAGCCGTGCTCGTTTTGTCACTGTCACATCACCCATAATAGGTAAGTGCAACATGGGGACACCATGTACCACAAGAACCTCTTTCAATAATATATATACATATTGTTTTGTACAACCTGCAATATCAATCAATGTGTTTTATTGAGTCAGGGACTGTCACTTCCTAGCATTGCTATAATATCTACCAATCATCTGTTTCGTCAGTCTGTTCCACATCAGAAAACCAAGCTGGCTAACCCCTCCTCTTCAACAACTTGCTCAACAGGAAGTAAAGATGTATTTGGTTCATCCTGCTCCATGAGTAAATCCAATTGGCGATGGTCAGATGCATCTAATTTGTAACCTACCAGTTAGAATAGGGCTCAATTTAATCAATACACAAAACATACCAAGACCTAGTCCTCCACATACATCACCCATGTAGTGTGCATCATTGGTGCATAGTAACTCCCTCTGATGTTTGAAGAGAGGCAAGGGGTCTTCCTCGATGAAAACATTGATCATTGGTGGCAGCTGTGTGGCAATTTGGATAGAGTGAAGTATATCTAAGTAGACATGCCAGGCTGATTGGCGGTTAAGTGGAGGCTGACCAAGGTCATCATAATGGTGTTGAATGTATTGATCAAGTGGTCAAGGCACCAAGTTGAATACGGGATGGTCAGGCTTGACATACATGTGTTGTACATGGTCTATGCTGTCTTGATCAATGATCACCTAGTGTGTATTAATATGAGAATGTAATATCAGTAGGACAAATAAAACCCGCCTTAAAGTCCATTGCCCCGAAGTCTTTGGGGGAGTCATAGATTAGGTTCGGCACACCATGAGGCAAAATCTAGCCAATTATCATGTGAGGGTGGTGTGCATAACAGTTTATGAAATAAATTACCTTGTTACGATCATGTCTTTTCGCAGTATTATTGACACGGTCTTGATACCTGTCTAATTCACACTGCAGCCATGGGATGAACACCCACCGAAATACCATGACCTGAAGAACATTATCGCTGTCATACCAACCACTTTCCACACCTTTGTCCAATAGTATTTTATAGCTGGGAGTGAAATGATGGCATACCTGAGACCAGGCAATCTCAGGCATAACATTCTTTTTGCTGCGCATCCACCGGTGCTGCAATGTGCCTTGCAGTCCTGGATCATACATTTGACACAGCATAGTATGTGCATTGGCAATTCCGTAGTTCTCGGATCCTGGGTCACTTTGAGTAACCATTAGAATGTCTGTGATAGCCCACTGAGTGAAATGGCACCATGAGTATCAGTGTGAATGAACTTATGGCCTAGTTTCTCAATGGTGTTCAGATAGTAAGTCAGTATAAGCTAGGGGTTGCAGTTTGAGTGCCACACTTGTATCCACATAATACAACCAGAAAATGGCCTATGCCTGAGTGTAGAGCGAGACCAAAACAAAGCCATTTGTTGTGCTAATCGACAGCAAACAAATCATTCACACCAGCAGCCCAGAATCATCTCTGCTGGAGCTGGCAGGCTTTCCACTGAAAGACCAGGGCTGCCTCATATGCAGCAAAGTACAAGATGATCACATTCCTGTGATTCATGGTTAAATTCACTGTAGGTCAATGGAAAACAAAACAGATACCTTGATACACTCATATCCTTCTCATGAAACAGCAGGGAGACCATTTCTTGTGTACCAGCATTAGGATATGCCTCATAAAGCTCCACCATGGCATCACAGATGGAATCAATAAAATGGTTCTGCTGCCGAGTACAGCTGAAGTCCCATAGCATTATGTATCTCCTTGAATTTTGTAATACTGTGCACTCAACATTAAGGACAGGTGAAATCAAAAGTCAATGGACAATGGACTGACCCTATTCCATAGCGGGATGTATCAATGATCTTCTGCAAGCTTTCCACAAGTGCAGGATGTGAAGTGTGATCTCCTCAAGAGGCGCTGCCAGTGCAATTACACATTAGTTAGACATGGATAGAAGATCCATAAGTTCATGTACAGGTAGGCTTCCATTGGTTAGGCATATCAGAATGTTTAGAATATGGACAGGTGAGAGATTCTACAGTCTTGCAGAGCATTGAAGCTCATTTAGATGTACTGGCCAGGGAACCCATATCGACCAAAATGGAATCATTAAGCACACATGTGCAATGCTGAGTTGTATAAGGCCACTATAACACATAAGTGTACATGTGCAGTGCTGAGTTCAATAAGGCCTGAACGAATGGGGTTTGTGATTCAGTTTGATAGATACTCGGATGACTCACTAGGTGACTCAGGGGTGATAATTGCCAGACTGGTCAGAAAATCAGGTGAACAGCAATTCAGAGGAAGAATGAAATTCACAATTTGGTCCGATAGTAACTGAATGAATGGAATTTGGCCTCAGGCAGGCAATTCAGAGGAAGAATGAAGCTCACAATTCGGTCCAATAGAAACTCAGGGTGCAAGATTGTGACCCAAGAAGGCTCACTGCCAACAATAATTAATTCTCACACATATCAACAAGTGTTTGGCTCTCACCTTTGCCCAAAAGGTTGTGACAACTGTTGACAATCATTAATCCTTGCGCATTTCAATGAGCATTTTGATGTTTCTCACCTTCGTGACTGTGACTAGGCAATAAATCTGACTCGGGCAAGGACAACTGTCAATGCTCATTAATCCTCGCACATTTCAACAAGCATTTTGATAATTCTCACCTTTGTGACTATGTGACTAGGCACAATCCGACTCGGACTATTCAGAGAGATGGTGATGATCATCAATCCTTGTGCATTTCAATGAGCATTTTGATTCTCACCTTTAGGTTCACCCTTGGACATTTCAAAGATGTATACACTGCAGGTCAGTTACTGGCCCAGTCAGATGCAAGTAGTAACTAAATCTGACTTGGGCAAGGACAACTGTTGATGCTCATTAATTCTCATGCATTTCAATGAGCATTTTGACAAATCAGTTACCAGACCAGTTAGCTGTAAGTAGGAATCATACACTGCTGAATTCCCTGACCGGTATTGAGTTCTGCGGGATAGTGCCATGCACTACTGGATTGCCCACTCGCTGGAAGGCTCACTCCCTGATTGGGATTTGACAACATGCAAGTCAGTTACCAGACCAGTTAGCTGTAAGTAGAAATCATGCACTTATATGGTCAAAACAGAAATAGGTTTCAAACTTTGGAAAAAATATCTTTTCCTGGGCTGGTACATCATTTAGAGGCATCTTCCAGGAATCATATGAACCAAGAATTAGAAAAAACAGTGGTTGGGATATGGAGATATGATTGAAATACTGACTTTTGTGCCCCTCCACCAAACCACAATATTGGCGGCCTCTATGTAGCCTGGCACCATCACCAATTGATTTGTATGACTGAAAAACACTAGGAATACCATTTTTAGTATCGGTCTTGAGTTAGATTCGAGTGTGGTGCAATATAGGAAGGAGGAGGACATTCTATATCTTAATAACCTGATTTTTCCTGCCATATTGGGCTTTACCATCATGTTCAGGGACATTGAGAGCCTCCCATAAAAATGCTTTTGGAGGGCATGCAAGTCATGGGAAGGCTATAAAAATTGATCTTTGAGGGGGGTATGTGACAAATTTGCACATTTCACTTTCTATGGTCTCGAATCACTCTGGAATCATTTCCAATCAATTTATATCATTGGAAAACAGTAGGGACACCCTTTTACATACCAGTATTTACATAATAGGAAGATATGTGAGTTTGGGGGGGGGGGGGGGGCGGAGAGGAAAGGACCTTCTGTATCTTGACCACCTGATTTTTCCTGACCATTCAGGCTCTACCATCTTATTTGCAGCTATCAAGAGCCCCCAGGAAAAATAGATTTGGAGTCATGGCAAGTCATGGCAAAGCCAGAAAAATCAATCTTTGAGGGGGGGTATGAGGTTGACTTATACATTACATTTCATATTGGCCAAGAACACTTTGAATCCATCTGAACTTCATTTGTATGATCCAGATACATAATTTAAATCCTTTTGACATCAGTATCCACAAGATGGTGACAGCAAAGACTCAAAAATTAAGGATGGTGTTAAGTGACTGACATAGTACTAATTTAATTTAACAGAATGTCTCATGCCATTTTTTCTTTGCATATTCTCGAACATATTATCCCTGTCACAACCACAGGTAGTATATGAGGTAGGTGGCTTCTGTACTCATTTGGATGCAATTGTCTACTTTATGTATGGAATTTGTATCGACAGTCGACAGGAATCTATTGTGCTGCTCATTTTCTCGTACTTACAATAAGTACAAATGGTTAACTTGCATTTAGCCTGCAATTGAGCTATTGAAGTCATTATAACAATGTTTCTGCATTTAAAGAAGAAGGGCTCTCTGCAGATTCCATGTATTGGAATTATTGTTGATATCTAATCTTTATACATAATTCAATCCACTTCCATTCTCTTGTCTCTTTCGACATCTCCTCTATCTTCCATAGGAAATGGCCTGGCCCTGCGACGAGGTAGTGGTGGAGGGACCCTTTGATTTCTCTTTGCCATAGTCATTTTCTTTTGAATCTCCTAACACTTTTGCCTCTCTGTCTTTCTTCACAAATTTCCATCAGCATCGAAAGATTGTGAGTCCATTAGATTAGCTGCAAATATGCACTTTCCCTTGATCAACTTCACCGTATGACATGCTTTTTGAACTCTCCTCTGATCCTCACCCACCTTTCCAACAGAATAAATCCTGTAAAATATAGGATTTGTCACAAATACTATTGCATCATTCTTCTGCATCCACACTCTCACACCACTCGCAGGAAGGCAGTGAATGTCCAAAAATACCTGACATAAACCTTGTTTCATTAAGGCCTGCTGATCCTCATTCATCCTCTTCATCACCCTGTGGAACTCGGTGATATACTCATTCCCTTCCCACAGTGTTGACCACTAAGCTGTGACTTTATTTGAAGCATCAGAATCAGAGAAGAATAGAGAGCACCTGTCACTGAATGCTTTTGACTTTGGACCCATGTGACCTGGAGTCACATCCGTATTGTCTTGCAGCCCAGCATTACATGCTTCGAAAGTGACATTGGCAAGGATATCATTTATGCTGGTTATTGTCCAGCACTTCATTGCCTCCTGACGTGAGTTGGGGTAGGGTCAGATTCCTTGAAATACTTCGTCTATCAGCATAAGCCATAAGTGCCTTGTGAACATGACCACTAATATTCCAACAGAGAGTTCAGTGTTAGACAATCTAGATGACCATGTCCAAGGTCTCATGATCTCAGCAGGAGAGCTTGCGATGACAGCCTTGAGTCGATTCTATGTTGGTGTCCGACCAAGAAGATAGTCTTCCAGCTCTGACTCGATGCTTCTCCATCCTTCCTTCCTTACTACCACTCTATTCCTTTGAGCCTTAGAACTTGCACTCATGAGAACCAGGACATTCACATCATTCATTTGCTGCACTTCCTCCAAGCAGATGTCACTGGTGAGATCAAAGTCCTGTAAGAAGAACATCCCTGCTGTCTCCAGTATGTTCCTGTATTCAAGGAGGACAAGGGATTCATGGACATGAAAGTCATAGACAATAGGGGTAGTCATAGTAGAACAAAGCATGTGGTTAAGCACACCAGTCAGGATGCCAAGGTTGAGAGGGTTCTTTTTGATGAGAGATATCTGAGTTCTTTGGATCTTCCATACATGTCGCCTGATCAATTGGAACCAGGAATCCACAAGATAGGATCTGAATGCAGATACTCTATGGCCTGATTGTAATTAAGCCATTAAGCAGACATCTTAGTGCTAAATTATGTGTATATCACTGACCTTGTCTTCTATATTATCTAGCATTATTCTAGCTGCATATCTGCTTACTCAGTACTCATCTCTGACCCCATATGTTTTCTTCTTGCAGCCTTCGATAACCTTCATTATTTTGAAGCATTCGGCCATGTATGATGTAGATAGCTTGTAGGCATCACTGTCTGAAGTGAAGTTTACCTGATTGTTGTTTGTTCTGATGGATTTGTAGTATAGGTTGTAGCTGCTCCTAAATGCTATGTGTGTCTGCTGTGATCTCTCCTGCTGCATTTCTGCCTGGAGTGCACCATATCTGGAGAGGGTGTTATGGTGATGAATCTCGCCTTGCTTATATCCATCTACACCATATGATGCCTCCAGTGCATTTAATCTCCATACACCGACCACTGGAACCTCCGGAGAGCAGGAAGTGAATGAGATACCCACATCCACCAGAAGCTCACCATGCCTATGATTCATCATATATGGCCAGTCAAGGTCAGAGAGGTTACGACGCAGAGCCTCTTCTGGTCCTGAGAAATGTCCTCTCTGTCCATCCTTTGTGAGCAGCTTGATTCCCTTCCACTCCAAAATAAAAAAATGACCCAAACATGCTAAGCTCTCCCTCTCCATCATATATCCAAGCTTCCATGTGCATCTGCACGTTCCTGAAGTCATTATCTGAAAAGGGAATTGTCTTGGGATGACCCCATCCTCCTTGGTGTCCATGTGAACTTTGTGCCTTGTATTGTGCCTCCTTCAATGTATGCTTAAGGTAAGGTGCACAGCTGACATCGGTGCAGTCATCCCAAAAAATATCCAAGACCTCCTAATGTGGCAACACCCAGTATATAAGGCCTAGGACTATAACATGGGGTGACCAGTCACAAATGCACAAGTCACAGCGCCATTAGTGAGTTTACTTCCTGCGGCCACGTCAACGCCAGTGCAGCAGAAAGGGTCCGGCCAGATGTACTGGCTTTGCTGGAGCAACAGGTAGAGAGCGAAGGGGAATGGGAGGATGATGAGGATAACAAGAGCGAGGTCGGGGTAAGGGTATGATGCAAGGGCAGAGACAAGGAGGATAAGGAGAAAAATGGTAGGGGCCCAAGCATCTAGATGTTCTTGTAACACTGAACACCATTGCGAGGCTGGCAGCTATCGCATCAGCGGCACACAGTATCATGCATCCAGAGCAGTACTGGGCAGGGTTATGAACATTTGCAAGCCTCAGAGAAAAGGTAGAAAGCAAGGAACTGCCAAGAATGTCCGAGATCCTCCAGTACTGGGCATCCGTGTTTAACACGCTATCTGTCATTTCCAATCATCAAGCCCCACATCATCAAGACCATTTATCAATTCCTGAATGCTTCAATATTCTCACCACTGTGGGGAATTATTCTAATACTCGGATGAGCATGCCAAGCCTTCAGCTGGAGTTCAGGTATGATCCTGGGTGTATGATTGGATTTTCTGGAAGGATTGTCAAACATGGGGTTCATGAGGTGGAGGGGGATAGGGTTGGGTGGGCGTGGTATATGAGGGACTCTGTTCATATTTATGCCAGGGTTCCCTCATGCCAATGGGCTAGGGTGGATTGACAAACCCTACCACCATGTGGAAGATGAAACAAGTAGAAAGTGTAATTACCCATGTCAGTACCTGCTTTCGAATACCAAGTATGAACCGTCTCTCTTGATGACACTCAAGCACCAAAGCATTCAGCATGAGGGAGTGGGGTTTCACTTGTGGTGCACAGTTACAAAAGGCCGGCCCTGGGTTGGAGTAGCGCAGACGATATAATCGACCTTGCCCTAGGCAATGCTAAGAAGAATGGTCTGTTGCAAAAGGAACCTACAAGTCAAAAGGGCACAGAGAAGCAAAGAAATGTAAGTATTAATGCTGCTGTACAAATTTGAAAATGGTACTGAGGCAACAGAAGATATTATCGACCTTACCCTAAGCAATGCTAAGAAGAACGGTCTGTTGCAAAAGGAACCTACAAGTCAAACGGGAACAGACAAGAAAATAAATGTAAGTATTAATGCTGCTGTACAAATTTGAAAATGGTACTGGGGCGAAGCCTATCATTGTATTTAGACTCAGATCCTATCGACGTTCATCAAGGCCAACTTGGAAATTAATATCCAGACGTCGATAATCGGGACTCAGTGATTGGGACATGATATCAGGACCTTGGTAGTTGGATTTCGGGAGTCAGTAGTTGGTAATGGAGATCTGGAACTTGGAGTTTGATATGCAGAACACGAACATCAGTACTCGATGCTCGGACCTCGGAACTCAATATTCGGAGCTCGGTAATCAGGTCGCAGCACTTGGGTCTCAATATTTGGACCTTGGTAGTTAAATTCCGGGAGTCGGGAATCGGTAATGGAGGTCTGTAATTTGGTGTTCGATATTCAGCAGTCAACATTCGGTACTCGACGCTCGGTACTCAACGTTCAGAACTCAAAACTTGATATTTGGAGTTCGGTAATCGGGTCTCGGCACTTGGGCCTCGATATTTGAACCTCAGCAGTTAAATTCCAGGGGGTTGGGAATCGGTAATGGAGATCCGGAACTTGAAGTTCGATATTCGGCAGTCAACATTTGGTACTTGACAGCTTCGGTACCCAACACTTTGGAACTTGGTAATCAGGACTCAATATCCAAAATTCAGAATTCAATATTTGGAACTCAACACTCGATATTCAGGAGTTTGGTAATCAGGGTCTTGGCACTCGGGTCTCGATATTCAGACCTCAGTAGTTAAATTCTGGGAGTCAGGAATTGGTAATGGAGATCCGGAACTGGGAGTTCAATATTCGGCAGTCAGCATTTGGTACTCGACGCTCGGTACTCAACATTTAGAACTCAAAACTTGATATTTGGAGTTCGGTAATCAGGTCTCGGTAATCGGGACTCGATATCCAGACCTCGGTGGTCAGGACATGGTGATCAACATCTGCACCGTTTATTTCGGGACTCGCCATATAACATCATATTAGATATTGCAATGTTTACATGTGATTTTCAGTGCTCTTAAAACACATATGCAACTTGCAGTTCAACATTTTCAACTGAGTGACTAGAGCTACTCTCCTCTGCCTCTCTTCAATCTGTCTAGAATGGCAGTGTAGATTTGTATCTCTGCCATCTTGTTATGGATGCCCTCATGTTGCTCCTCAAGTAATGTCAGGAGGCGTTCTCTAATCCACCTCAGTCCCATCAGTGATGGAACTGAGGTATGATCCACCTGCTCCAGAATTGTCAGACCATCATTCTCAATGCCATCCTAGAACAGATCAGTCATGAATCAAGGAAATGGAATAAGAATCTTACTAGCCAATGCTGGTAGTGAAAGATACAGCAAGTCATCACCTGATCCCATTGCCATGGTTCGTTTGGGATTGCAGTTTCTCTCATCCACCATGGGGTATCATAACCAGATACGATCCGGGATGGATCCACAGGATCTGCGATGTCATAAAACAAACAGATGTGATAGGAAAAGATGTGATCCAGAACCGTGTTCCAGGTGTGACCAGGAATCAAATAAAGAATATGAGCAATAGGGCTGGGAATGGCCGAAATGATGTTCCTGGCAGCTGAGTACTGCAGGATGGGTGTGACAAAAGTCTGTGGAAGATGTCAGCATTAACCGCCAGTGTTGTCAGGGTCTTACAGTGATCTCCCATTGCAGCCCAGCTTTGAAGTGCCTGATCTGAGCCAAAGGGGAAAGATTGTTGTTTGCAGCCTTCGCCTGATATTGGGAGATAGATGTGCAGATGCGCGATGCAGACATCGACATAGTAGTTAAAATGTCTGCAGGAGTGAGAGTGAGGGGCTGGTACTCATTGAGGGAACTCTGATTGTCAGAAGTGGATGCAGGAGAAGGATATAATTCAGGCATGGCTGATGCAGGAGTATCACACTGGCAATGACAATGACAGTTGGTTCAGATGTGAAGATATCATCCACTGATGGATGGATAAATTTTTCAAACTCCGACATGAGCTGACCCAGCCAATTCCCGAGACTAAATTTGTATATCGAAATGGTTGTATATCTCATCGGCAATAAACCATTCATTCATCTCGGAAATCTATCAAAATGGTCTGCAGGTGTTGAAACGCTGCCTGGGCGTCCTGCGCCAGCAATGAATACATTTGGGATTGCCTTCTGGAGTAGCATGCATGACCCGGAAGTCGTTTTGTGAATGATTCCTGCATCTGGTCGCCCCATTGGGTTGCTTTCCACAAGAAAAAGTTACATATCCAATCCATCTCGAATTGGACCAACATCAGCTCTTCCTTCCATTGATCCTGTAGTGCCTTTGCCCGGAGCCAGTGAACTCGGTAAACTTCATATTTGTCCGGTCAGCTCAATGTCGGACGTGTCGAGCATTAGGGAACTCACATTCCTCATTCCATGATTGATCTGGACCACGCATGTCGACCTCGACGGACCAGAACCATGCGAGGGATTCATTTTGTTGACCACAGGCATTTGGATCACCCACAGCAGTGCTGACTTTGAGCTGCTCGCGAAGCAGGGGTTTGTACTTCTGAAGTTGGCCATGCCCCATGTCAAATTTCATCATTTGTGTCCTGGTCTTGGTATATATACTCGCATGCAGGGAGACAGCCTGCTGCACTGACGTCACCTGCGACCAGGCTCGAGTTTTCAGGGCTTGAGATTTGGCTTGCCTGACTGTCGTTCGGAATAGGACTGCCTTGTTGCACAAGTGAATGCGGAGGTTGTGAAGTGCATCATTTGCCTGCCCTTTGTGAAGGGACATCTCCAGCGGAATGAGATCCTCTGCCATCAAGCATCTGCATTGATCTACCCCGAGGTTTGATGGCAATGGGATCACAATGAGCTCGGGTGAGTTCATCCATGTATCAGATGTCTCGGTAAAATCTTCTGGGTCATCATCGAGATCATCTAGGATGTCTACATTCAAGTCATCATGATTGTCATCTTCATTGAATCCCTCTCCAATATGCATGACAGCAGAATGCATAAATCCACCTATCTGGCCTTGGAGATGATCTCATTGCTGAGCGACGTCTAATCTCTGTGTCTCCATAGTTTGTTTTCCAATTCTTCGGACCTCGATGAGCAATGCAATTTGAGCCTCCTCAATTGCCAACCCCATCAATATCCATGTTGCCACAGATCTCTGAGATGGTGCAGCATTACGGGCATTACCCTGCTCTAGCAGTCTAAGTTCGATCTCCTTTTTGCTTGGTGCTGAGTGCGAAATTAATTTGCTATGGAGACATGGTCAGCTTACCCTTCTTGATATTTATCTTGTAAACATCCATCGCTGCAGGATCATTTATTCTGCTGGATTAAGTAATCCTCTTATTGGCCAACCATTCTGTCTTCAAATTGACGGGTGTGGCTTCATTGAGTCTGTCAAAAGCCTTTTCACTTTTGGCGATCAATTTTTTGCCTGCTTGTATTTATGGCAAAGGGTCCTTTTCATGTGGATCATCTTGCAGAAGTTGGAATCATTCATCTGAAAATTGAGACATTCCTGTCGATGAGGGGACAACATTCCCCGAGCAGCGGGAGAAATTAGGTTGAGATGTGCCCAGAGAGTCTCCATGATCTCTCCATCTATCTGGCCAATGCCTTCAATGAAATTCGACCCATATCGGACATAGCAGCTGTCTTGATGTCCATGCATGTGCCACAAACCGATGCCAGGAATGATGGTCAATTCCGGTACCATTTTAAGAAATCGGCTTTGATCCACCCGAACCTGAAGGTGCTTGTTGTATTGACAGTTGATGTCATAAAAGGTGACAGCCCTGGTAATGCCTTCCGTGTTGTGCTGGGCAGCCTCGCAAAGGGCGTAGTCCATGTTCATTTGTCTGCAAACCATGCATGATCAACTTGTGAATGTAGAACTTCATGTTGGGCTTGTTTTTTGCCTTTCTAAACATCGACCATCAGCACTGAGGGACAAAGCAGCCATGGCGGGCACAAGCAACTCCCCCAATACTCGTCAACTCCAGCTTGTGTCAATCTGCATTTGCTTGATTTACCACCTGGTGATTGTTGCAGTTAGATTTTTCCAAAGTGTCAGCAGCCTCCGCAAGATGCGCTTTATACCTGTACTTTCCCACCATGAACCCCAGCCCATCTGCAAGCCATACTTCATCAAATGGCTTGATGGGATGCAAGTGTTCGGCTTTGAAATTACCGTCCATCACAAATGACCAGGTATATTTTCAGCTTGGAGTTCTTATCATCACTTAGGTTACTTAAGTATAAAACTAGACTCACTCATCAAGTGTTTCATCCCCTGACAAGGGTATGTTGATCCCAGGCTGAGAAAATGTCAGGCAAAACAATGCAAGATCTCCAGCATTTGGGGTGTTGGAACAATGGCCAAAGCCATGCCATTTCATGGTCTTCAACTGCCTCCACTGTCGAGCGACTCTCATGAGCTCTCTGTATTGGTCCTTGCCAAGTGCCTTGTCAATATAATGTCCTTTCATGAAGGTGATATATAATTACCGGAACAAGGTGAGGAAACATGCTGGAGGTCATTCGCCAGAGCTTGCTGTAACAGTTCATTGCGGAGGTGTCGCATTCTAGGTTGTCCAATAGAAAATTGTCGAGCACTCTGAAGGTGAACATAGTCTTCATTTTGTTGAATGATGCAGGGAAAAATCCATTTCAAAACATTTGAATGTCCGGACTCATGGTGTTTGGACAATCGCAGCATCAAACCTCAAGGCGATGAACTTCGGACTTGTCGACGATGACCATGGTGTTTTCCTTAGGCTGGAACTCTGGTCCCGACACAGATGGTAGATCTTCAGGCTCAAGCTGGTCTTCAGGTTCGTCTCCTTCGAACAAATCCCACCTATTTGTGAGTGCAGGACATTCTTTGCCATCATGACCGAGGTGTATGACGAGTCTGACATGAGCAAGACAACTTTGCTCGAAGAATTGACCATTCCATTGACTGATCCAGTGGAAAGGATTGCGACAATGTTGACTCCTGCAACATCTCGTGCAATAGAGTGGCTCCCCAAGACAATCTTGACATTTGTAGACCCCATCCTGGTCGCAGACAACACATCTCCTATCCTCTGGAGGAGCTTCTCAATCCAGGAGGTGATGCAGATATGATTCCTGCCTTGGGAGCCATTGCCTCAGGTAGTCATTCTGGCTCTGCATTTGTTATACTTAGCAAGGTTTTAACGACACTCCAATTGTTTACATTCACTTGCCATTGTTTTTGGAAGCTGAAAAGGCTCAAATGAGCCTTGGTCTTGCTCATAAGTATTATCAGGACAGTCTTCCCAAGTAGGTAGTGCTGGAACAGGCTGAAGTGTTGGTGATTCCAGGGGAGAGTTAGGCATGGACCTCTAGGCATGTCATCTTGTGCTTGCAAGTGGGACCTTGACCCAAGGTTTCCTACCTTTGCTGTTCCTTCTTCTACCCTGTGAGATTTTTGCAGCAGGGTGCATAGACCTATCTTCATCTTATTTTTAAATGTTGCAAGAACAGCATTAGCTCAGGAAGGTCACACGAATTGTTATTCCAATGCTATGTTGTGCAGTATTGGTTGTTCATTACAAATTTATTTCCATTAATGGCATCATGTCCAATATGGGTTGATTAATCAACTGTTAGGCTTTGGTCAAAGTTGAACTTTGAACCAATATTAATTACGCCTTGCTTACCCTCAACACATTCACCAATCAGAGTCACCATGGCAAGATCAGGTCATTCCACTCACTTGTCTCCTGGAAGACATAGGGCATGTCAACCCCAGACACAGAAGCTAAGCCAGGAGATCCTGGTATGTTCAACCATTATCAGGCGGCTGGGAAGAGAGTCATGGCTGAATTGTCTGATGACGAGTTGGAGAAGGCAAAAGAAACCACCAAAGAATGGTCCAACAACTGTCCTCCTCCCGAGATACAAGCACAGGTCACCTGTAAGAAGGGACTGCATATATGGAGCACTTCTTGAAGGAGATGTAGAGGCAATGCGGGATGAGAGTGTTTGTGTTGTCAGCTTGGCAGAATGAACAGGGCAAGGTGCTGTTCGGGATGTGAGTGAATTTTACCTGTCATTGCAGATCTTTCAACTCAATATATTTTACACAGGCACAATAATAATGAGGCATTAGGAGATGGGGACAGCTTCATGAAGACAAAGGACTGGGAGGACATTGAGCCAGTGTGGCAGGAGTACGCACAGGAACAGTTTGGTGAGTGTTTAAACTGTTGATACCCGGAGGGGTGTGTTGATGGTCTCTGTGATAGGTGCCATGGCATGGGAAGGTGGCTGACAGATGAAGGGAGGTCGCAAGAGAATCCAAAAACCAGCCTTTGAGCTCAACACTGACGAGGATGGGATGTCATTGCTTCTGGACATCACCAAACAAAACTCGAGGAGAAGAAGGCCATAGTGAGGGCTTTTCTCACATCGCACTATCGTGAGTCAATCCTTGCTACATCCGAGATGTTGTTGAATACATCAACATAGGGATTTTTTCGGGGATCGACAAGGCAGTAGTGCCATGGAGCGCCATCCTTCAATGCCAGAATGATTTTGTGTCATGAAGATATCTTCTGGCGGATGTCGACTTGAAGGAGCCTTCCAAGTTGCAAAATTGGGATACGACAGCCCTCCTCAGTTTCTGGTATGCTCGGCAGGAGAAAGGTGAAGGATCAACATTCATGTTCAAAGCGTGGAAGAACAAAGATGGCGACATGGTAGCATTGGTCGTATCAGGTGGGTTGCCTTCCCATCAGATGGGTAAAGTCAAAAACATGCAAAAGGTAATCATCCGAAGCTGGGAGTTTATGTTCTGTGAGGAACTGATCAACTGATTCACTGATTATTGATAACTTCGAATTTGAACACAAGGCGCCAGCAATTGCCAAAAGTTGAACCACGACCAAACAAGGACAAACAATCAATGAAATTTTACATTGTTAATCACTGATCTTGTTTTTACTGAAACATCATCCTTGTGATAACTGATTTCAACCTGATCTCAACAATTTCAACACTTTCAATTGAAATACCATGTCTACTCCAGTTGACACCTCTTTGACCAGCCTCAAGGAAATCACTGCCAAGATCATGGCCATCATCACTGGTGCTCAGCAGCTTCCTCTGGGCCATAGCCACTTTTCTCTGACAACCCAGGTCAGTACACTTGTGGTAGGTAGCATTGTCATATTTTCTCCCCTTCATTTTTTTCATCATCTGGGTAGGCTGATGCAGTCTGGCACTATGGGAGTGGTCCCTACCTTCCAGGTCTCGTGTGTTCGTGCTTGAGGGAGTTAATTTGAGTTCGGGGCATGACTCCTCAGGTCTGGCCCAACTGGCACAGCATCGGGTACGACAATACCCATTTGTTGATGCACCCGTGGCGCAGCAAGGTTCTTGCCTGCGAGGAGTTAGGTGATCACACCTTTGATCTCCCGGTTGTGGCCGGTCCTTCAGTAGGTCCAATTCTTGTGGATCTTCCACCCTCGCCTGTCATCGCCAGGCCTTCTACCAACCCTGCCTCCGAGTCCTGGGAGAAGGGAAAATGTAAGGCAGTTCTCCCGGACCCAGAACCAGAAGTGGAAGGGAGTCGGAAGAGGAAGTCTCCCATGATTCTGGCACTTCCCTTCCAACCCCCGAGGTCCACTATGAAGACTTGGAAGCAGGCAAAGACAGCTGGCCTTGGCAAGTACAAGGTGTTTGTTGAGTCGGAAGATGAGGAGGACTCAGTCACTCAGGTATGTCCTCTGGTTCATTGTTTCATTGTCTTACTCATTTTGTAGCCGATTTCATGTGGAGTGCTGGAGGTCGTCCTCCCCCGGCTCTCCCCAGATGTTGCAAGGACAACTGGATCACCTCAGTCACCCCAGAGCCCAAAGAAGAAACCCTTCGGGCCTACTATGGTAAGTCGCACTTTTGCATCCGGCACTCAGGTGGGTCCTTACAATGTGCCAGGCAATTGCCGGCAAATGTCCAGAGGTCATTGAGCCCCCTCAGGCAACTCCTGAACCTCCGATAGAGGTGCCCCCAGTCATCGACGCAGGTGATATACTCATTCCTGGACCCATAAGTACACTATTGAGACTTGGTGTGTCTATGAACTGACAGATCACACAGAATAACCCTTGCCAGGCTTGCCACAAGATGGAATGGCCCTGTGCAACTTGGTTTGACAAGAGGACCGGCGCCCTGTGCATGTCCTGCGTCTACTGCACCACCAAGAAGATCAAGTGCATCTCCGTGAGTATGGGAACCCCGCCAAAATGTGTTCGAGGTCAATCTGTCACCCGGACCACCCGGACCACCAGGAGAGCCAGATCCAGGACCCCTTCCAAAGCTCCCTCCAAAGCTCCGGCCACCTCACAATCTACCGGCTGGATGTGGAGTCAATCTCGGGTCTCTTCTGTCAATCCTGGTCCATCTCGTGCCCAAACACCAAAGGTCTAAACACACGGTCGCAGCAAGACTGTCACTGCTGCCAAGGAACCTACACCTGCACCAGCTCGTAAGTCACCTGATTTTTGTATGTCCATCTGACATAATGTTCTACCTGTAGTAGTCCCATCTTCGGCTTCCAGAGTTCCTCGTTTGGCACTCGATGTGCCAATGACGGATTTACATGCCATGGCAATGGCGATTCAGGAGGGTGCAGCTCAAATTGCTGCTCTCAAGGAGCATCTTGTTGAGCAGGATGCTAAGATTGACACCCTGCAACACCTTCATGAAGGCCTTTGATGTGAAATCATCCTCCGGCACCCAGCATTTCCACTTCCAGACGCCCAAGGTGATGCAACATCATTTTTGCTTGATCAACCTGTCCCTCTGGCCATGTCAACCTCCGCATCCGCACTTCCTCCTCTCATTGACCTGTCTATGAAAGGGATGGAGCCCAACTCTCTCAACCTTCAGGATCAGTCTGCCATCAATGGACTCATATTTGAGCTCAACCAAATTCATCCTGAGGTTTCACAGACGCTCGGCAAAATTGTGAAACTGGATGATCCAGGCAATCTTTTCCCAGAGTATGATTCAGTTGAAGAGATGGATGTTCAAGTGAAGGGTGAACCTTCTGGTGAGGATGTTGACATGACTACATAATTAAATAGTCATAGATGTATATGCAATGTTTTCAATCAATGTTACCTTTGTTATCAGTGACTTATCGATTCACCAAGTGCTGAGACCCAAGACCCAAATGTCAAGTGCTGAGGCCCGAAATCCAAAACACAAAATGAGTGTTACGACTTGGATGGTATCTGTTGGCGACGCTCAAACAGAGCGTGTGTCGTCAACGGTTGAGGATGTCCTTGGGCTAGCCCAAGGTTAGGGGTCTTACTTGGCAAGGCTTCGGCAAGTAAGATTTGATGCCTATGTCCAAATCGGGTAGCTTATGTCAAGCAGGTGCGAGACGATAAGCTATATCGGCCTAGGCTTACGACACCCAAAGGTTAATTGTAAGATTGTCGTTAATTAGAAGGACAGAAGTCCGACTAGTTAACAGGGGCTTTGCTTGTCGATGAAGTCGATGAGTAAAGATCGAGACTATAGGCTTATCCGCGAGGAGCAGATAAGAAGATAGAATATAGACTGCTGGCGAGGCAGAAAGGATCACTCTGGTGAGAGTAGGAGGTCAAGAACCAAGTAGATTCAAGTTAAGGAATATGATACATGGTAGTGAGTTTATATAGAGGATAGGAAGTGTATTAGTGGATGATAACTCATACTACCAAGTGAAGTAATCGGTAAAGGGCATAACCATAAGAGGAAGGCACGTTCGGGGTGAGACACGGGTGAACCAGAACGTGCTAGATAAGAAAGTGAGTCAAAGGTCAAAACAAGAAGTGAAACGTGCAGGGGCACGATCGTGCAACTGCGGATCTAAGTATAAGTAACATGTGCGACTGCGCACTGAGTCAGAGATTGAAAAAGGGAAAAGGGCAAAGGGGATGCATTGTGCATCATATCATAGGTTACCGTCCGGACGGTAAGGGCAAGGGGACTGTCCACAGGATCAGTCAGGTGGTGGAACGGAGCATGGATATGCTTCGTCAGTGAAAGGATCCGGCCAGATGTACTGGCTCTGCTGAAGCGACAGGTAGAGAGCGAAAGGGAATGCGAGGATGACAAGGATGACAAGGGTAAGGTCGGGGTAAGGGTATGATGTGAGGGCTGATACGAGGAGGATTAGGAGAAAAATGGTAGGGGCCCAAGCGTCTAGATGTTCTTGTAACAATGAGTGGAAACCCACATTTTGCAAAATTGTTGACATGGAAATGTTAGATTGTCTTCAACAGTTTGCTGGATGTCATTTTCTGATCCCCGAGCCTGAAACACGGAAAACCCACAGAACTCATTATGGGTTTTCCAGGTTTTTGGTTTGGGGCTCAGGGATCAGAAAATGACATCCGGCAAACTGTTGAAGACAATCTAACATTTCCATGTCAACGGTTTCCACTTGTTTCATGTTTCGGATTTCAGGCCTCAGCACTTGGCATTCAGGTCTCGGGTCTTGGTGAATCAATAAGTCACTGATAAGTTTCATGGTTTTGCAATGGGACCTCCATGAAATTTGTAAGAAATACCATATGGTGTATTGTGTCCAGTGTTGTGTTTTGAGCCTCAGGTTTCAGGCATGGGCACTCGGCACTTGGCACTCGGCACTCGGCACTCGGTACTCGGTGATTTGACCATTGAGTTTCGGATTTTGGTGTTCTGGGAGTAACACTTTCATGTCAACAATTTTGCAACATTTAGTCTTCCACTTGTTTCAAGTTGCGGGTTTCAGGCCTTGGGTCTCGGCACTCAGCACTCAGCACTTGGTGAATCAATAAGTCAATGATGAATTCCAGGGTTTTAGGATTGGCATGCAGTGAATTTTGTAAGAAATTCCATATTGTGTATCGCTTCCAGTCTCGGGTTTCAGGCTTTGGCACTCGGCACTAGGTGATTCAATCAGTCAGTGGTAACACTTTCGGTTTTGTGGTTCGGCTCTTGGCACTCAGTGATATGTCTCAGGACATTGATATTTCACACATTCCTGCAAGTATCCAGTTTCCAGTCTGGAGCTTCCGGTCATCGGGCATCCAGAATTCAAGACAGTGATTTCTTGTGGAAAAATGGATGTTGTACCATGGGATTTGATTTTCGGGTGTCGGGACTCGGCAATCCATGCATGTCAGACAAGTGCTTTATATATCTATATAGTAAACCAATACCTTGGCCTATATGTCCACACAATATCTCCCTACCTCAGCCCACCTGTCTATGTAATATATTACCTCGTCGGCCCACCAGTCTATATCATAAATAATTTCCTGCACTCTTGGCCCACCCGTCAATATAATAAATGTTTTACTGCTCACTCGGTCCACCCATCTGTACAATTCACAATGACCTCGGCCCACCCGTCTATACAATGTACCTTTACATCGGCCCACCTGTCTATATAATAATGATTGCCTCTCATCTCCCTTCAGCCTAGCTGTCTATAATATACATGTCCACCCATCTCCATCAGTAAAAATATTCATCCCAGCCCATCTGACATCATCGAGCATATATATAACATTGGCATAGATGGGCTCACCTGTCTCCATCAGAAATAATATTCCCCCCAGCCCATCCATCAACATCAGGGATATACATCACATCGGCCCATAGTCCGCTGGCCCATATAATACGGAATTTGTCACTGAAGGGGCTCCAGATCCTTTCTAGGATTCTGCAACTTCTACCATCATTTTATCTCCCATTATTCTGATCTCGCTCACTCCCTCTTCAACCTTACCAAGAAAGACACTGTATTTTCCTGGTCCACTGACTGTAAAGCTTCCTTCCAGAAGCTGAAGAAGTGTTTCACCACTGAGCTCACCACTGAACCTGTACTCTGGAATCCCAACCCCTCTTGTCAATTTGCATTGGCCACAGATGCTTCGCTTTTTGCGACAGGAGCAGTCCTCCTACAGACTGACAACAATGGGTCTTATCACCCATGTGGATATCTTTTGCAATCCCTTAATGCTGCAGAACAGAATTATTAGATTTATGACCACGAGCTTCTTGCAGTCATCTATGCCTGAAAGCATGGAGACATTTCCTTGAAGGCAATCCCTATCCAGTGATCGTCTTCACTGACCACAAGAACCTCCTATACTTCTGTTCCTCACAGACCTTGACATGCCAGCAAGCTTGCTGGCAGCTCACACTCTGCGAGTATGATCACCATGTCCCAGGCAGCAAGCTTGCTGCACCTGATGCCCTTTTCCAAAGACCAGATCATGACAATTCGGATCATGATAATGAGGATATTGTCCTCCCTGATTCTCTCTTTGTTAAACTCATTGATACTGCTTTAGCATTGAAGTTCAAAGCAGCGAATGACAGCCCTGCTGATCTTACTATTCAGACAGTGGCTGATGCCTTAAATGGCCTCTGTGCCCCTCCTGTGAAATCTGCCTTGTCAGATTGGTGCATCGACAATGGTATCCTTTATTTCAAAGACCATTGAAGATGAGGATTCTAGACTGTAGGGAAAGTTGGTGCTGAGCCAAGAAAACACAGATAGTCCCGGGTGCGCATAAAATATTGTCTTAAGGGCAGCTGTCTGAGTCAAGGGAAACCTCTCTTATAAAAAGAGAGACATCAAACTACTACTAGGGTAATAGGACTACAGGACACACGAAGTGTGAGGCAAGAATGATGCAAAATACAATAATACGGACACACAAGTGCAAAAGACAAAGTGCGAGGTATGCAATGCAAAGGTAACGCATGCGAGTTAGAGCAAAAGATGAAAGAGTGAGATAGACTAAAGAGAGATGAGGCAAGACAGTTGATAACACCCCAACTAAGGCTGGCTGATGTTTAAAGCAAAGTGCGGACAACTAGTACATGAGACTTAGATAGTCACTGCAAACAATGAGTAAAATTCTCTAGTAGCTAAGTACACAGAGAAAGTGGGCAGAAAATCGACCCAGAACATAAGTAATAGAGGGGTATAAGTAAAATAGCTAAGTGCCACTAGGCATACAGGTCTGATGTGACAAGCCAAACAGGCTATAAATAGTACACCAAGTATATAACAGGGTCTCAGCTATGTGCAAAGCACAAAGCCGAGTATTAGCAGTGGAAAACAATTAAACAAAGTGGAAATATGATGAGGAAAATGCACCAATGGACTTATAAGGACATGGGAAGGATGGGCGGATGAGTGTGTGGACAATAAGAGTATGGATGCATGATGTGTGTGAACATGGGAGGCCATGTGCAAAACCTGCAAAAATAAAATATGTGTGCTAATGCACTAGACATATCCTATGAATTAGAGCTGGAGTTTGTAGGGAATATGGGAGAATTCGCAGGGAAGTGCATGTAGAAACATGAGTCTCTACCCACCTAACAACACCTCCCCTTATGCCTATTCCTTCCACTTGCACCTGTCCCTTCTTCCAAGTTTCAGTAGATCTTATCACTGACCTCCTGGAGAGCACTGGCTATGACTCCATTATGGTTGTGATCAACCATGGGCTTACAAAGGGGGTAATTTTCTCATCTTGCAAGAAAACCATCACTGCAGAAGGTGTTGCTGAATTATTTTACAAAAAGGTGTTCATACGATTCAGATTATACAACAAGATCATCTCAGACTAAGGCCCACAATTTGTCTCAAAGCTAGCAAAAAAACTTGGATAGCTCCTGGATTACCAAGTAGCCCTCTCCACTGTCTATCATTCCCAGACAGATAGACAGACAAAATGAATGAACCAGGAATTGGAGATGTACCTCCACATCTACTGCAGAACAACTCTGAATGACTGAGCCAAACATCTTCCTATGGCTGAATTTGTCCACAACTCCAGATGACACAGCACATGGAACACATCCCTCATACCTTTTCCAATTTGGCACTACCAGCTGCAGAAGACTGAGCCAAGTGACTCATGAAGATTAGAGAAGAAGCCCTTGCATGTCACAGCCTTGTACAGCAATGCATGGCAGAATGCACATTCAGGCAAAAGTACCAGCCTTGGAAGGTTGAGGATAAAGTGTGGCTGTCTGCTGCAAATTTGATCACCCACTTCCCTTCAAAGAAACTTGCC